ACCCTAACCCTAACCCTAACCCTAACCCTAACCTAATGTTTTAGAAATGATTTTAAAAAAGCGAGAAAAAGGGTATTTATTATAATATATTTAATTACCAATTGAAAAAGCGGGGTAATGTTTTAGAAATCTTTTTAAAAAAGCGAGAAAAAAAGTGTATTTATTATAATTAAATTGAAAAAGCGGGGTAATGTTTTAAAAATCTTTTTAAAAAAGTGAGAATTTAATATAACGTGAAATTAAAAGATATAACATTACAATTTAAATATTATATAATAATAAAGTGATATATAAAATTATAATGGATAAATCTATAACGAAAAAGGGGAGGAAAATAAATGGGATACTTAGTTTAATAGTAAAGCGCCTTTTTAACTAAAGGGAAGACGCGGGTTCGAATCCCGTAGTATTCGTCTTTTTTTTTTCTGAGAAAATTCAATTATTAATTAAAAAAGCGGGGTAATATTTTAGAAATCTTTTTTAAAAAGTGAGAAAAAATCGTATTTATTTCAATTAAATTAAAGAAAAGTGGGGTAATGTTTTAAAAATCCTTTTAAAAAAGTAAGAATTTTCAAACCTTTAACCCTAATTTATAAGTAAGATAAGTATAAAGATGGTTAGTATTAATCACCGGGCGACCGGTTATAATTATTAAAGCGACGGGATTATTTATTTAAACGAGGGAGAGTGAATAATTAAAATATTAAAAATAAATTGATTAGTTAATAAGGTTTAAGATTAAGATATATCAAACTAGCCTAGAAGTTCTAACAATTTCTTAAAGTTTGGTGCGCCTAAGCCAGTGGCAGGGTCCCATCCATTGAGGGCATCCCATCCAGTTTCAACTTGCCCATCTCCATACGTACAACCGCCTGTTCTGCCAGAGGTAAGGTCCACTAGAGTACTACGAACCTCATCTGTGTAGAGAAGTGGGTTGAGCCAGCCCAGTGTTGGCTTCCCAGCCCGAAGCCGGTGGTCGTTAATGAGGGTGATCATGGAAGCCCACACCGGCGTGCTGGCACTCGTGCCCTTTGCCGTATAGGCTGATCTTCCGGAGCCGCCAATCAAGTAACGGACTCCTACCAATGTCAAGTCAGGAACACCCCGACCACTTGCGTTATACCATCCTGCGTGCTGATCACCAATGTTGTTGATATACTGTTGTGTGAAATTCTTCTGCCACTCCGGCGTTTCGAAGTACTCGGAAAAACCGCCACTAGACCATGACGTCGGCTCGAAGGGCACGTACAATGCTGTCGCGCCAATCGATGTTACATACGGACAAGAAGCAGGGAATGTCGAGAGAAAGCGATTTTGGCCCTTCAGTGGGCCGTCATTGGCGGCGCACTGCAAGTTCTGGCCGTTTCCATCAGCACCTCCATCACCCGATGCAACAAGCACCGAGACGCCTCGAGCGCCGAGCTGCATAAACATGTCACAGATTTTGAAAGCGAAGGGCTTTGGGGTGGACTGCTCGTCGTCGGTGTAGCTTATGGACAAGACCTTGGGCAGCGTATCATCATCCAAGGCCAACAGATACTCCAAGAACTCGATCCATGGTTCGTTAACATTGGACGGACTATCGGTCATGTTGGATCCATCGGGCCCGATATAGGGGCCTCTTCCACCCGTCGAGAGATAAGCAACGGGTAAAGGCTGTGTGAAAGGCAGAGTGTAGAAGGTGTCAAGCATGGCTTCTCCACCAGATCCCGTATCGGTTGTGTTCCCTCCATTGACCGAGGTAATTGTAAAGTTGTAATCGGCGCTGTAGCCGGAGGCGTTGCGTCTTGGGCTGTGATCCTGGAGAAATTGGTGCATGCCGGCTTGGGTAGGATACTCTTCGAGGAATCCAGCTATACCTAGTGTGCTGCCCGACAAGGCGTCAGGGGGGATATATGTGATGTTGTAAAGATCGACCAGACAGTCGGGCGTAACATAATCATGGCAAGAGGGAGTGCCTATCTGGAATCAACACAAGGTCTCGGGAAATTTGCATTCAACTTACTCTGAGCCTGTCGGCGTATCAGGTCCTGAGTCGCGAGCTCCTGCACTGGTTTGACTTTGCTGGCCTCGACAAATTGGGTAGTTGGGTATATGAACTGAATGTCCCCTGCGAGGTGATTTGGGATGCTGTACTCCAGCGCCCTTAGAACCAAATTCCCGCTGGGCGATACGTATTGATTGAACTCGCATTTGAGTATTTCATTCATCGTCTCAACAGGCCCTGCAAAATGCACCCATGCTGACTCGGCACGGATTTCCTCAACATTGGACCCAGTCAACCACCCAACGACGGAACTGACAGTGTCATCACGAGGGCTCGAGTATTGTTCAACTTGGAGTTTTGTCAGGTGCTTGCCAAACTCGGAATTTTTGATGTTGCTCGTATCGGCAAGACGCTTTTTGAGCTCGCCCAGGCCAGGTTGAGCGAGTGCCACCGAGAGCTGCACGTATAATGATCCTTCCGCCGGGCCGATCAACTTCCAGTCTTGAGGGACAATAGCCGTCTCGAGCACATTGGTAAGAGCGGCTGGCGATGCAAGCACAACTCGAACGAGAACGAGGGCACTGAGGAATCGCAGCATGGTTCGGGACGATAGTGATGGAAGACGTTGCGGCCTACCGCCATGTTGTCAAAACTCCAGGCCGTCGACGTCTTATCAGGGTGGAAAGTTCGTTAGTGGGCATTGGAATCATTTCATGAGTCGTGAATGTCCCAGCTCGTATTTCGGCCCAGGCCGTTACATTCGGCTAGCTGCATTGACCAGAACCGGGGGAACGAAATTACACCTGCCCGCTTTCAGCTTGGGTAACCCACTTTGACGTAGACAGTTCTCGTATTAAGCACCCCAAATTAACGACGATCCTTGATGAAACCGCAAAGCCTAGAAAATTAAGCTTCCCCTTTGAGCTTATATTAACAGCAATTCGGCACTGCTATCTGCCATTAGGACGCTAATATGATGTCAGTCATCCCAACACGAGGATAGTCCCGTCGCTCGTATGCCGGCCCCTGACAGCCAAGGATCGCTTGGACGACTAGCCATCGGCTTGACTAGGAGACTGGTTTGGCTTTGACTACTTAAATCACGGTGAACGCCGTCGCGAACTCTAGACTACCACCATGTAACCAAGGCTCCACCAGTTCTCATTCATCACTTCCATCACCAGCGCAGATATCGTTGCGATGAAGTCCTCCATTATCGCAGCAGCCAGCGCTGCCTCTGGCCTGGTCGCAGCCGACAATGTACCAACCGTTCATTTTCCTTTGACTCTGCTGTACGGCAATAACGAGAAGATTCACACTACTCTTACGAAACCCGAGACCAACACCACTATTCCTGTGGTCTACGATAGTGGTAGCGAAAACTTTTTCGTATTTGGTCCAGGTGCAATTGATAATTGGGGCTCTTCGAATATCGGAGTGCGCGGGCAATGCAATGCGAGTGTACCCGAGTCCGACTTGTTTGACTACAAGTTGTCGACAACCGCCTCACAACCAGTAGACCACCCTGCCACATATATCTATGGTGGTGCCGACAAGATCTACGGCGGCTCTGTCACGATCAATGACACTTTTATCTTTGTCAACGATGATGGGCTGTCCTACACACTGGAGAACACTCGCGTCGAGCTCGTGGATTTCTTGACCCAGCGAATCAGGGATACGACCTGCTCATATGCTCCTCTATATGACCTCGGCATATTGGGTGTCTCTCCTTTCTACCAAGGCGCCGGTCGCAACACCACAGGGCCTTCGGTGCGCCAGGATTTGCTGGATCGCGGAATTATTGGTGCCTCAGTACAGAGCATGTGGTTTGATGAGGCACCCGAGGATCCGCTCGCCCCCTACACCGGCAATGGCCTCATTGGTGGTATCGACACCTCCAAGTACTCGGGCGACCTGGTCAAGGTCAAGACTGTTGTCCCAGGCGGCGCAAACGTGGGCTACTTTACCGAGATGCCTACTGTTTCCATCAATGGCCATACCTTTACCCAGACCGACTCGGTAACATACTGCCAGCTGGACTCGGGTACTCACGACGACACTATCCCGATCGCCTATGCAGAGAACGACCTCTTTGAGAACATCACAGGCATCATCACCAGTCCCATTGGCTACACCTCATGGAACGGGACATGCGACACCATCCCTACCAACATCACCGTTGACCTGACTTTCCCAGGTGTGGTGGATGGGACTTCCGTCACTGTCAAGACACCTCTGCGCGCATACGCCCGAGTCGACTATGGTGAGCCCGGCTACTGCGCCATGAGCGTTGGCGTCAGCGGTTGCTTCCTTGGCTCACCATTCCACTCTGCTGCATTCTTTGCTGCCGACGACGAGCATGGTGAGATTGCGCTGGCACAAGGTGGCGTGTCAAAGCCCGGCAGCAGTTTTGATCCTGCATCAGTTGTGGGAAGGATACCTTGAAGAAACCATCTAGTTGTAGTAAATAATAGAGCCATGCTAAAGAAATGCTTTTTCAGCTGTATGCTCGTACAGAGGATGCACCATCCGATGTGTTGCGTCTCCATGGTAGTCTACGTTGGTGCTATCCATGGGACTCGATTTATCAAGCTCCTAAGGTCCTGGTTATATCATTTCCGAACTTTGAATCAAATCAACTCCGACCCTATCGCGCAATAGAGGCATTAGGTAGCCATCATTAGAGTTCTGGGAGACTAAATACTCTTCGAAATCCAAGTGTATATCATTACAAATTTGAAAGGTGGACGTCCTCTGACTTTCGAGCGGCCGCGTACCGACAACACTTACGTCGACGGGACCCGGAATCGATGGAAATATATTCTGTATATTAAAAGATGAAAGAGCAAGTTGTGCGTGAGGCAGTACGTCTCGAAACTCTGCACGAGGATCAACATATACCCCGCTTAGATTATCGCGTATAAAAAGCTGATAAAGGTTAGGATAGGGCAGATTGGAATAGAAGTCGAGAAGCTGCAAGTCGGGTATCGTTCAACATGTTTGGCTTGTAGTTGGCAGTATTGTAGCCAATATATCTTAAGGCGTCTTGAGCTAGTTGACAAGTCCATATACTTTCATCGCTTCTTTTAGCATCGAGGGAGAGTTTTTGCATCATCAACTACGCTACCAATTTCTAAAGGGTAAGGGTGGACGTACGGTACCGTAGGACCTGTGAGACCTAGATGATACACCTTAGCACAGCTAGCATGACAGAGGAGGCGAATTCGAGATTGAATAGATCGACTAGGACACTCATTATTGCCTGTCACTAAAAACCAGGGACCAAGAAGAGTGGCGAGTGTTAATTCAAGGTAGAACAGTATGGCGGCTGAGTTTAAGTGCCTTTACTGCCATTATTCTCCTGCTTAAGCCGTAGACTTTACATCTAGTCGTAACAAGCTGGCCGCATTCTTCCAGCGGATGCCTTCCAGCTCCTCCTCGCTGACCATGCCGCTCTCCTCTAGCATCTCTAACCACTTAAGCCCGTCACGGCTCTTGGCGAAGGGATAGTCGACGCTGTACATGATTCTGTCCCGCTTCGTATTGCGAAGAATACACGCCAGGGGGTCCAGTGCCCAGTTCCCACTCGTCGTCAACCAGAGGTTGTTATCCCATACCTTCCGGAACGATCGCTGCTTGCCCCAGCGCGAAGACACGCGCTCGATGCGTTGGAGCATGTACGGGATCATCTCGCCCATATGCCCGATAATGATCTTCAACGTGGGGAAACGATCGAACACGCCGGACGCATACAGCCTTAACACGTGCAACGCGACGTCGCTATGCCAGCCGAACCCAAACGCAAGGATCGATGTCGTCACCTCGTCTGAGAGATGGGGCGATTTGTACGCGGTGAAAAGTCGCTCTGATGGCCAGGTGGGATGGATATAGATTGGAACATCCAGCTTCGTCGCCTCAGTCCATAGCACATCAAACTCGGGACCGTCATAGTACCGCCCTCCCTCCGTGTGGCTGTCTACCAGAGCGCCTACGAACTTCACCCCGTTCATGTCACCAGAGCAGGTCCGACGCAGCTCCTTCGCGGCCTCTTCGGGCTCGTCCATAGCCAGCTCGGCGAACCCGGCGAATCTTCCGGGGTTCGACCGCACAGCTCCGGCTAGCTGGTCGTTGCACTCTCGACACAGCTCCGGGGACAGGTCGCCCGGTCCGTGAGAGATGACCTGCAAAGTCACCTGGCCGGCGTCCATATCCGCGATCCGCTTTGGCCCGAGCTCAGTAAACTGATTAAAGAGCCCCGGGATGGCCTTGAAGCTCAGATTGCGGGCATTTGGATGAGAGGTGGCAGCCTCAGAGAGGAAGTGCTCCTCGAGGGTGATGATGGGGCGAACCGCAATGGAAGACGACATCTTAGAATAAGATCAACCAATGTCACGACTGAGTGCTGTTAGATAACGGCTCCAAAGCGCACGCGTCGCTATCTATTTAACTCTTGTAAAAGGACCGGATAATTGTTTAGTGTCGCGGGGTTTACGTAGGCTCTTAACGCCGTGTTCCATAACTCCAGGGCTACTAACCGAGCCTCGGGGCTTAACGGTTGTAACAACGGAACACCCGAGTCCAATTAAACAAGGTGGCCGATCTTACCACAGAAATTAGCCCTTCAGATCGGTGTTGGTGGACCTGGTCGTTCGCTTCTCTTATCCAAGCCATGAATACCTGACTTTCGCAACTGCATAGAGTCCCTAGAGTGATGAATGGTTAATTTCGTCATGCTTCCAATTATAAAAGTAGATAGCCTCGTATATACTATTCGAGAGATTGCAGCTTCTCTCTGCTACATCTGGTTGATGAGGTAGTGAGCTTTGAGGCGTCTATTATTTACAATGGCTACAGGCTGTGATTATTAATGCAGATGGCCTCGGATGACTCTTGCACCTAACAACCTGTCTTCAACAGCTCTAATTCTGTCTGTCATATCGATGAGTCTCTCCTCACACTCGCGCACAAGACCCATTGTATCCATTAGGAGCATCCGGCATTCCGTGCTCTCCGTAGCAGCTCTATGCGTTTGCATTCGTTCGAGTTTAGTAGAAATAGCCGTAACACCCCCACGAAATCTCAGCCAAATAAGCCTTCGAGGCAGATCACACTGGTAGTGCTGTCGCGTTGCGTCAAAGCTCCATTCGAGGTCTTTCTCTCTGCGCTCGTCTGTTTTTCCGGGTATCACAAGAAATGGTGCCTCGTATGCCTTAAATTCGCGGATCAGATCCTTGATCGCGTCCGTCAGTACTCGAACGGGACCGGATTCTCCGTAAACATCTTTGACCTTCGTGCGGTAATTGTCGTGGCGTCTTATTGAGGGGCGCCGCTCTCGCCTGCGAAGCCTCCTCAGGTATTCAAGCTCCTCATACAGTCGCTGTCGTAGCAGTGATAGTTCATCCTGGATTTGCGCAGGTGCATGGCCGAGTGTCAAGAATGCCTGCCAAAAGGCGTTCAGCCAAATAAGAAGAGTGAGACTGAAGGATATGAATCCAATCACGATTGACGCGAGGCTAATAGCTGGGAGACCATCCATGACTCCTTCACTCCAGCGGCACCACCGCGTCCGCCTTTCCGGGGCGCGGACACAACCTGTTATTTACAGAGAAATAAGATTTCGGGTGTCCGGTCGCCAGATGCCAGACTTTCAGGAGAAGCCATAGTTAAATCACGAGAGAGAGCCATGGTGACGCTAGCAAACTGAACTAGTTGCCATAGTTCCATTTCCATTGACTTTTAGTTCTCCGCCGTTGCCGTAACTGTGCTTGGCCTCGGCACAAAGATGAGCTTTGGAACTGTGACGCGTAGCCGGCATTTTCCGTCCAGCGGCTCACGCCCCCAGCCTCAAACGTCCCTCACTTGCATTTATGATGCGATGCCCCCCGCAATACTGCATTATAATCGCCGGTTTTAAGCTTCAGAGAAGAATATTCAAAGAGTAAGTTAACATGTGGGCTTGGCTTGCCTGGGATTTCTCATAGAGTCGCAAAGGAAAAAGACAAGGAAAAAGACAGGGAAAAAAGTCACAGGGCATGCAGTTCTACGTGCCTGAATGGTCGTCTTGAGTATGCCGAGCCAAAACAGTTAAACTAAACATAGCATATTAATATCTTAGACTATTACGTACTAAAGATTCTATTTTCTCGCGGCGAGAATATTTAGAATTCTCAGTGACTTTCGCCAGTGGCTCTGGACTTTGAGTCCTAACTACATATATAATCCCTAGACGTATGTCTTGTTACCCACAACTGCGCGGCGAAAGTCAGCTTAAAGGAAATGTTAGGGGGCGTCAATTTGCAGAGCGCTTCCCACTTAAACCGTGCAATAAGTCTGATGCAGTGTGGTCATGTCTTATAACACAATTCATGTCAATGAGGTTCAGTAAACCTCCTCATTACAAAGACTAACATACGAGCAACTGATGGCTCCGGTAATTTCAGTGGATCCTATTCACCGTTGTGCGGCATGCCAAACTTTTCGCCAAGGATGAACTACACTAAGTACATTGTGCTCCCAAATCAAGCCGACCTTGTGAGTGACACCGTTGCGGTAATGCTGAGTTTCACGTGGTGGCAGGCAGGCAAAAGGGCGGGAAATGATCTATGGATTTAGAAGCTAAGATCGTTGGTCACAAGAAGTACTGACTCTGACGAGCATGAACCAGAATGACAACTCGTCTGACGAGGGGCAGAACCTCTTGTACATCGTTCTGTGGAGTGTATTGAAACCCTGCAGTCTACCAGAAGTCTCAAATAGCGAAACAATCATGAATCTGAACGACCAAAAGTCTAGTTATCCAGCGCTGACTTGGTTGGGTCCCAAGCGATAGGGCTATACTCCGGAGATTCCAACCCGGCAACCTCGGAATCAGTCAATGAGAAATCATAAACTTCAGCATTTTCCTGAATTCTACTCGGCGTCACGCTCTTAGGCAGAGGGACATATCCTTTCTGGAGGCTCCATCGGATGAGAATCTGTGCAGGGGTCTTCCCGTACTTCTCTGATAGCTTCTTCACTTCTGGGTCGTCAAACTTTTTGCCTCTCACCACGGGGCAGTAGGCCTCGAGAACAATGTTTCTCTTGGCGCACCATTCAGCGATGTCAGTTCGGGCACACCATGGATGGACTTCGTATTGAGCCACGGATATGACACCGCCTTTTCCCTTGCCACCTCGCTCCTCTTCCAGCTCGGCAATGTGGGTCTCCAACTCGTCGAGATGGTGGATCCCGTAATTGCTCACTCCGATGCTGCGAATTTTGCCTTCTTCCACAGCCTCGACGAGCGCTTTCCATACTCCCTTGCGGTTCGCCGACCCTCCGTAGGGTGCATGAATTAGCATGAGGTCAATATAGTCAACACTAGCAGTCTTCAGGCTAAGGTCGACCTGTGACTTTGTCTTCTCGTAGTCGTTTCCACTGTTTGGTATTTGTGGGATCTTGGATGTATAGAAGATATCTGACCTGGGAATGCCGCTTTTCTTCATGGCAGATCCCGCACCGGATTCATTGCGATACATCACGGCAGAATCAATGTGCTTGTAGCCGGCCTTGAAGGCCTCGAGGCAAGCCTTCTCTGTCTCATCAGGTGGACTGGTCAGGTTAGCCAATACAAGGTAAAGAGGTTTGGGCGGCATATGGTGTCCTCACGTTTGATAGACCTGTTTCAATATGAGCCAACTTGAACAAGGAGATAGACACCATCACTCACGCCAAATCCCAGCAATGGAATTTCAAATCCGCTGTTGAGCTTCACTGCAGAGTTGATAGTGATAGACATGTTGATATGGGTTGCTAGTGCGAGTCGGGTTCTTATAAGGGACTGTGGAATGCTAAGAGTTCGCGAAAGCATACTGGGACATTGACGTCGGTAAAGGCGGGGTGGCGTACGATTTATAGGGGAAACGTGTCGGACATAACGAATACAGAGGGGACCTAACTCCACTCATTCATTTCTGGAGATCTCGGAATCCGAACTTCGGCTCGCACTCCCGTATGTCTGAAGGGGATTCTAGTCAGAAATCGGGTTGATGCAGTCCTGTTGATCATTGCCTGAGCAGAATGCATGGCCGCCTGCCTGTATTACAACAAAGGCCATTCACTTCGCTCTGTCGTTGTCGCTGATCGTTGCGAGATGCTGCTGAACCTCGTGGAGTGGGTGTCTCGAGTGATCGACGGTCCGCCTGCTCTGGCTCATGAGGCGCCGCCAGCTGCTGGCATAAACCCCCACCATTAGTGCACCTCGCACGAGCGTCGGTGACGACAGCGGGGTATCGCAGCCTAACTTTTAACTTTGAGGAACTTTATGAGAATCTTTGAGCTGTAATCGCGTTGTGACCCAGCTTAGTCGAACACCTTATTTGATATCGCATCCGGCTCACAAGTATTTAATTAATCCCGCCTCCGACACTAACCGGTCCTGGAATTACTGGCACGGCCGTCGAACTCGAGCAACACAGATACAAGAACCAGTCGCTAAGAGCTGGAATTCAATCGGCGTCGCCGTCTGTCTACGAAAAGTATCTTGCCAAAGTCGCCCATCAAACTCCCGAGGGCTCGCAATGCAGCTGGTCGGTTCCAAGTCCGCCCAGCGGCTGGACTCGTCCGTTGGCGATGCCAGCCAAAGCGTAACGCTCTTGCCGATCGAGCCTGAAGACATGTGGCACGCCAACAACCTGATATCCCCGGAAGACACCATCAAGGCGCACGCTGTCCGCAAAGTCACGACCGAGTCCAGCACCGGGAGCACGCAGTCGCATCGAGTCCACACCGACCTCACCATACGAGTCACATCCACCTTCTTCGACACGGGCGCCTCCCAGCTGCACGTCTCAGGGACGGTGATCTCAGAGAACAGCTTTGTCAACATTGGGCAATACCACACATTGGATCTGGAGTTGAACCGACCATTCACCATATGGAAGCAGTACGGCTGGGACTCGGTAGCCCAGGAGACCCTGCAGGAGGCGCTCAAGCAGGACAAGGAGGGGGCTGTCGCTGCAGTTGTTATGCAGGAGGGGTTTGCAAACATTTGTCTGATTACCGAATACCGGACGATTCTGAAGCAGCGAGTCGAGAGTACGATACCAAAGAAGCGGGCCGCCAGCTCCGATCAGAGCAGTGGCATGAAGCGCTTCTTCGACAAGACTCTGGGCACTCTGATGCGGAGTATCGACTTTTCCAAGCCACGCCCACTACTTCTGGCGAGCCCTGGCTTCGTCGCTGGAGATTTCAAGAGGTTCATCAGCGAGGAGGGTACTCGCAAAGGGGACAAGGCCATGGTCGCGATGGCCAAGTATGCCACTGTCGTGCATTCCAGCTCGGGCCATCTGCACAGCTTGAACGAGATCCTCAAGAGTCAAGAGGTCTTGGCCACCATGAAGGACATGAAGTTCTCCAAAGAAACCAGGGCTATGGATGAGCTATTCGACCGCTTACGAAAGGATGATGGGCGCGCCTGGTACGGCACGTCAACGGTGGAGAAGGCAGTCACTGAGGGTGCTGTTGGGCGCGGTGGCGGTGTTCTCCTCATCAACAACTCCTTGTTCCGCAGCCTGGATATCGCAACCCGCAAACGGTATGTGGCTATGGTTGACAAGGTCCGAGAGGACGGTGGGGATGCTCGGATACTGAGCAGCGATCATGAGAGTGGTCAGCGGTTGGACGCTCTGGGAGGCATCGCTGCGATATTGACGTACCCCATCCATGATCTCGACGAGGACGATACAGGAGAGGAATCACAGGAAAATGAAACACGAGACATGATCATATAAAGCCCTCCGTACAGGATCTACCGTCGTGTAACCTGGTGCACCCTGCCCAGGCTGCCATAGAAAGATAGAGCGATATACTGATCTAAATTCAAATGATACCCTTATGAAAACGATCAATGTAGACCCGGTAATTGGGAAAACCCATCTGGCAGAGTACGTACCTCAGAGTCCCTAGGTCGTCTAGGGAGCACTGCCACAGAACCAACAACTACTGAGTCTCTAGTTGATAGCGTCACTAAAATACTACCTGCTCGCTGCCAACCGCCGTGTCTTAGAAGCTCTACGTGCCACAGCGCGGGGTGCGGCGCTATTCTCTTCGTGGCTGCTTACCAATCCACACCCTTGGAACGCCAGCACTCGACGTCTTTCCAGAGCGGCACTGAACTTCAAAGTTGTCTCCGGCTCTGGGGCATACGGTTCTTTATGTTTTCGGAGCCAAAGATCCCGCGAGAAGCTCGACGACAACAACAGCCATGGCGCAACAGTCTCAAGTCAAGGACATCGCTAGTGCGAGCGAGTTCAACCAACTGCTGAAGGACAACAAGTATGTGGTAACGGACTTCTACGCGACCTGGTGTGGGCCATGTAAGGCAATGGCACCCCTCTATGAGCAACACGCAGCGAAGAATGCAGCAGTGGGAAAGGTTGCTTTCGCCAAGGTCGATGTGGATGCTGTGCCCGACGTAGCTGCGCGCTATCGTGTTACGAATATCCCAACGTTTCTTTTCATCAAGGACGGCGAGGAATACGACGAAATCAGACAGGCCAATCCACCAAAGCTGAAGGCTGCGGTGGATGAAATCGCGGTCGAGGTTGCGAAGCTGAACGACGGGGACAGCGATATCACCAAGGCGATACAGGACGAGGACTGGTGATTGGAAGCAGCCAATGTGATATACTGGTCCGATCAAAGAGGCTTGGAGGAGGGGGGCCGAGGCAATTTGGTCACGAGGGGGGTTGTATTACAATTCGTCTTGATACGAAAATCAACCCCAATGCGTACTTGCGGGCCAGTCATCAGTGCTGTAGCCAATGCAGACCTTGAAAGAGTATTGCGCTTAGTGCACAAACCCAGGGCTGGCCATCTAAACGTCCTTGAGACTAAGCGCAATACTCTTTCAAGTACCTGTTCAATCGACATGTCCACTATAATCCATTTCCGGCTCCCCCATTTTCATTTTGTCCGTCACTCTTCTTGAACAAGGTAGATGGACCTGGGCATAGTAACGGGCATGCATCGCTAGCCTTAGTATCGTACGGACGCTGCCGCAGAACGGACCCCACGGTATGACGCACTAAAGGAGCCAACGTCATGGCTTTCTTTAGAGGGTAGATCGGCGATTTGGTGCAGCCTCCTCCACGCCTTGCTTTAGATAACGGCACGATTCGCATAGCTTAGGCATGTAACAACAACTACTACAATCACACATTTCGAAACCCGTGATCCACTAGGTTATCCTTCTTCACCGTTCACCGGCCTCCTAGCTGACTTCTCCGGCTCGGGTCCTTGCTTTCCCCACTACCCACAGAGGACTGACAAGGCTAGTCGCTGAACGCCAAGACCGGACAACGACCAGACTACGCCGTACCGAGCTTACGGATTTTTCGCATTCGTCCTCGGGTTTCAAGGGGTCCGTATCTTCGCAGGCTGGTCGCATTCTGCGCCTCGGTGCGCCAAAATGGATGTCGACCGCGTGCCATAACACTTGTGTGTACGGTCAGGCTTTGATATCTTCATACTCATATCACCCCAGAAGCCTTTCGCTGGCTTCAGTCATGGGAGATGTCGAGCTCGATCCTGACCGCGGATGCCCAGCATGGCACCCGTGGTGCTCATGAGGAAGACCAGGGAGCACCGCCGCGAAAGGCGTCTCTCACGTCCGGGACTGCTCTTGCAAACATCCTTACGAATGGGCGACCCGGATCGCCAACAGCAGTGGACGGCGTAGGTAAGATTGCCCAAGATCCACATTCCCTCCCTCGTCCTCGCATGTGCCGCATCCACGCTAACCGATCCTTCACTTCTGCAGCAGGCAGCACAATTCCGGGCAAGAAAGGGTCGGCCAAGCTCTCGCGCAAAGATGCAGTGCCCTCAGAGCCAGCCATCGATCCTTTGTCGCACGTTCGTCTCCTTCTCGAATTCTCATTGTGGTTCGCGGGCAGAGTTAGCGGCTAAGAGCATTGTAGCATATCTTTGTGCGAACAAATACCGATCATTCAATTCCTTCGAAACTTCGAGCTGCCGGAAGGCCTGATAGTCCTGCTGCCAATGAAGGTCTCCCGAGACCTAGTTCTGATCTTTCGGCGAAGCAAGCAACGACGGCGCAGCTCGAGCCAGGAAAAGACAAAAAGAAGCCGGCTTCGTTCCTGAGCCGCCTGAGTATGATTGGAAACAAAAAGAAAGATGACTACTTGTACGATGACGAATCCGAAATCAGCGAGCTGCGCACCGAGGGCGTGAACGCGGTAGCTTTCTCCTCCGTTGTAGGTGGTGCAGGCTATATTCCGCACCACAAGGAGCCACCTCGGTATATAAAGGTTCGGGCTCATGGCAAGAAGGCGAAGGAATTTGACCGTATGTTCCTTGCGCAACAACTAGTCGGAACTCAGGTAAGAAATTTGCACTGTTTTACTTACTGCGGCGAAATACAGCCGGCATCTTGGTTCCTTCCATGCTACTTCGTATATGGATCTATCCCCATGCCCCATTTGGCGTAAACCATTTGGCCTGACTCGGCCTGACTCGGCCTGGGATCCAAGTTGACTGCTACATCCACAGTCTTTGCAAGGCTCACAACAATCCAAACCCGCTGGGTGCCTCTGTATATATCATTTTCTACTTTTCAATCTCTTTTTAACTCAAGCTTACCTGATAACAGCCACCAAAGGAACACGTGGACGCGAATACTGCCATCAACGGTGCCCCTGTCCAGCCAGTTCATGGGTTTGGTCATCGAGATATTAACAATGGTGGCCCTATTTGGGCCATGGAGTTCAGCAAGGACGGTAAATATCTCGCCACCGCCGGCCGCGACCGTATCGTACGCATTTGGGGGGTTATTGCCACATCTGGAGACCGAACAGCATACGAAGAGGAAGTCAGTAGTGATGTTGGCAGCACTGGCGAACGCCTAAGCGCCCCTGTTTTTCGAACCCACCCACTCCGCGAGCTAGCAGGTCACACTGGTGAAATCCTGGATCTCAGCTGGAGCAAGAACAACTTCTTGCTCTCTTCGTCAATGGACAAGACCGTGCGATTGTGGCACATTAGCCGACAGGAATGTCTATGCACCTTCAAGCACAAAGACTTCGTCACGTCAATCGCATTTCACCCACGCGACGACCGATTCTTCCTCGCGGGTTCCCTCGATTCCATTCTCAGGCTCTGGAGCATCCCGGACAAGGCAGTTGCTTATTCGAGCCAGATCTCTGACCTGATCACTGCCGTTGCGTTCTCTCCTGATGGGAAAACATGCATCGCCGGCTGCCTTAACGGTCTATGTACGTTCTACGAGACCGAAGGGCTAAAGTTTGGGACTCAGATGTATGTGCGGTCATCGCGAGGCAAGAATGCAAAGGGCAGTAAAATCACGGGTATTCATACCATGGCGTTTCCGCCTGACGCTCCTGATGGGGAGGTGAAAGTCTTGGTTACGTCGAACGACTCTCGTATTCGAATTTACAATCTTCGGGACAAGGCCATGGAGATGAAAATCAAGGGCCACGAAAACTCGTGTAATCAAATACGCGCCACATTCAGTGATGATGCAAAATATGTCATATGCGGGAGCGAAGACAGAAAGGCCTTCATCTGGTCTACTGGGCCCTCGCAGGGTGATAACAAGGAGAAGCGGCCATGTGAGTACTTTGAAGCTCATTCTGCGATAGTCACGCAAGCTGTGTTTGCACCGACGGTTACGCGCCAGCTTTTACAGGCGTCGGAGGATCCGATCTTTACACTCTGCAACCCGCCACCAATCACGCTGGTCAGTAAGGGTGAAACCAACGCGAGTCAGACTACGCTGCCACAAGAAACAGAGTGCGATATAGCCAAGGTCACCAAACCAGAAAGCACGCCGGCGTTCAAAGCCCGATCAAAACACCTTGATGGAAATATTATCGTCACAAGTGACCATGACGGGATCATTAAAGTTTTCCGTCAAGACTGTGCCTTTGTGAAACGCCGGCATGAGACCTGGGAGACAGGTTCAACATTCTCACGGAAGCTGGGCCGAGACGGGCTTTTAGGACGAACTGGTAGCATCATGACCAAGACGAGTGTCAGCAGCCGAGATCCTCATTCTCGCCGCGGATCGATCACGCAACCACCCCAAGTGAATTCGGAGCGCATCATGTCGTGGCGACAGGGGATCGAAGGGACACCTTCGTCAAGACCTAGCTCGATCGCGATGGCGACCCCGGCTCGCAGTGAACGATCCGTCAGCCCTGCCAAGGCACGTACCCCTACAGCGTCCAACACTACGAACTTGGCCTCCGAAGCCAGGCGTCCGCCATATACCAGTTCAATAGCATCACCATCCCTGCCACCCATGAGTCCAACTCCCAGTATCCAGTCTCATGAGCATGAGCGTCCTCATGCAACCGACAAATTCTTCCAGCCTCCCACTCCAAGCTTCACGTTCAGGAGTGTTGATGATGAAAGCGATGGCGGCCTCCGACTAGACCCTGCTGGGGCTAGTTACTCGTTCTGGAACCTGAATCGGTGGCGTGGCATCGGGAGTAAACCTTCCGAAGATAGTGGTCACGGGTCTGAAGGCCCTGAGAAGAGACACAATCGAGTTGCAAGTGAAGCACCGATAATCTCGATGGGCCACGACTCTGAGGATCAAGGTCGCCGGAAGAGCTTGGGTGCACGCGTGATGCGGTCTCAGACTGACAAGTCAGATAAAAGCGACCTTAACAGTCGGAGGAAGAGTGTCCCCTTGAAGACGCACGATACCAGCCGCCTGGCGCCTCCGGATGCTCGTCCTGGATATGAACGTCACGAAAGCGTTGTAAGCACGTTGACCAGTGAGGGTTTGACCAGTGGCAGCACCAGCGATGGTGGCAACGACCTGAGGTGTTCCAAATGCGGCGGTCGTGATTTTAAGACAAAGAAAGTGGGTACCCGACAGAGACTGATATGCTCCCAATGTGGAAGGATGGCAGAAGCGTAACAGGAAGATTACTTGGAATGCATCCAAATATATTATATGGGCAAGTTACAATTCTTCGTGTTCACAATTTCTACTGTAGCAAATCACATCTCTGTTTAAGGGTTTTCTTAAAAAACTCGACTGGGAGGAATGTCTCCCTTGCCTAGGTAATCACTAACAATCGGAATTCTACGAAAAGTTCACATGCATAAAGACGTGAATTAAATAATGATTTAAGTGTGATTCAAGTGCCCAGTGCAATTTGTAGCACCCTCCATGTTTGTCGTTGCACGTGATAGCCTATGTTAATATGTAGTCTGCAGATATCGTTACTATCACAATGGGGTCGAAGATCAGGTACGATAGAATGTATTCCTCTAGCTCTTGTAAGAATACAAGACTGAGTCTTGTCCTCCTATTTCCTGTAGGAAGGACTGCGACACTAAGTAATAATACTCAAGGTCCGTCACCGGAGGTCCAACGAGACCTGCACGGTACGTTTGATTCTGGTTAGCGTAAGTTACGAGTAGGTTTTGTTATTATGCCTCTAGCTCGTCCTTACTACATACATTGGCACAAATCCAATGCCACATTTTTATGACATGATCACGCTTTAAAGGATTTCTCTGAGCAATGACCTCCGACATCTGCGCAGCATGCAAAGTCTCATACCTACACCATGTCGCTTCGTCGGCGCCGTTTTCCGCCTGGTGAGAACAAATGTCCCCATCTTTCCTATACTTGTCGTTCCAGAAACCGAGTAGCTTCTGTGATGGGTGGCCTGGGGCTCGCACCCTCAATCCTGATTCTAGACGCTTTACCCACTCGAGGGGCGCGACTACATCGAAGCCATCCCCGGTTTCATCCAGTAGCCAGTCAAGCATTTCTTGCCAAGTTGGACGATGACATGAATTCAAGACGTGGTATACTCGTGTGTTTTGAGCAATGCCAGTTTTTTTCGGATCCATTGTATGCTTGTCGTTGCATAGTGCTATGTCAAGGACGGCTGTCGCCGCCTGATCAACTGGAAGCCAGTTTAAGGCTTCGCTTTTGAGGTCTGGTAAGCACCCTGCCACTTTGGCTGTGGATAACATCAACGGATATACCTCGTTGGTATTCCAAGCGCCGGCTTTGTTGCCGCAGAGTTGCCCAACACGGATGACAGATATGTTCGGGGATGGCGTATGTTGGGCAAGGTTGGCTTTGCACCTATCGCTTGCCGCAGCACATATTTGTTCAGCAACCCACTTAGATCTTGCATACCCCAAGGGTGACGCGCCGGTCGGGTGGCATGAAATTCTCTCTGGTATCGGTGGACACAAGCAACTAGCTGCAGCGGTGGAGCTGATGAAAGCAAAGTGGATTCCTGAAGAAAGTCCGAAGCAGAGCAGATTCTGTATCCCTTGCAGATGGTCTTTGAATGAATTTAGTTGCAGGCTGAAGTTCACTGTCCATGCTGCATGGATAACCACAGTAGATTCCTTGCTGAGTCGGCATCTCCAATAGTCTGTCAACCCCAGATTCCGCTCAGCCAGCTCACATGGGAGGCATACAACTTTGCTTGCTCGATTTGGAGGAGATGTTGTGTCCGGCAATCCTGGTAAACCCCTAGATGATAGCCCCTTTGAAATCCGCTCGTGGGCGTCCAAGGAAGTCTGAGCTCTCAGCAAGCAGTAGATCTTGGAGACGCTGGGGTCCACACGTAACGAATGCAGTAGATGGGCGCCAAGTCCTCCGGTTGCCCCCGTGAGAATAACAGTATTTTGCGGATGCTGGTAACCTGCGGGACGTACTATTAGACGACTGAAGTTGCTGAACGCCTCTGCTAAATCCCACATCTCGTCCATTTCATCAGCCCCCGGTGGCATTCGCTGTGCCCCTTTTGGTTTATCACCTCCTTGTCTGTTGGCTCTTATATAGTCCGCTATCGCTCGAATGCTTCCGCACTCATAGATGATGTTCGCAGGTAATGGCGCACACCCGTCCGGAAGCAAGCTAGACTCAATAAGCTTTCGAATCTGAATGCAAGCAGTTGAGTCAACACCCTGATGAAAGACATCTCCCTCTAGACTGATACTCCGACCAACAACCTGTGTGAACTTCCCAAATATACCAGCCACGAGTTCATCATCGTCAAGTTCATCCGCTTTCAAGCTTTGATCGGGTGAGCTGACATAGACAGATTCAATAAACCTGCTATACCGCTCTTCTGCCTGCCGTCTCATGATTGTCCCTTTGCTACTTTTCTCAAGTGCGGGCTCATTTCCAGACTTGGGAACCACGACCAAAGCATATCTGGTTAACCGGGCGTGGCTTTGAGAATTTGGATTAGAACGCTCGATAATGGGCCATACAGCAGATAAGACTTCCTCTTCAGTTGACTCGTCTGTAGCTGTAGCTGGAAATAGCAAGGCTCCTGGAAAATCTTTCCCAGTGCCAAAGATGAGGACGTCCTCCAAGGCCTTGGTGGAAGCAAGCAAGGCGCCTTCTATGGGTGAAGGATCAAATTTTTTCCCGTTGGCCAAAACTATTAGAGAGTCTGCCCGGCTGTGATAACGCCATGCGTTACCTATACTAGAATGTGGTTGAAACAAGTCGGATGTAGCGTAAGATCCATCTTCCCGATTTGTTACAGCCCTGAGTGGCCACCCCGGCTTAGCTATGAGCTCGTATAACCCGCCTTCTCGTGGTTCAAATGAAAGTAGATCTTCATCACATGCTGGGCGGAGGTATTGCCAATTGGTGTCTGTTGAATAGTCTCGATGTGAAGACATTAGAAACCCGCATTCGGCACTTCCCAGACGAGAAACAAGGTTCACGCCAGCGCTGGTAAGCTGATCGCCTACTGATAAGGGAAGTGCTGCACCACCCACGCCCACTATTTCCATTGTCTGCAAGATTTTTACTCCCATGTCATGGCCAGCGAGCAATTGTAGAACGTACGGCACGGATGTGAAGTAGCCTATTTGGTAGGGACTTATAGTCCGTGCGTGTTCAATTGCAGAAACTACGCTCTTCGCTGTGATAGGCACAAGTCCTTCTGGAAAGAACCATACCATAGCATCGCTCGTCCATGCTCTAAAGCAATCCGCAAGACCTCCGTGGTATAAAGGTGTGGTAGAGAAAGTTGCAATCTTGAAATCTCCAGTGAGTCGAGGCAGAGCGCCAACGGCACCCCAATTCGTTTGCTGAATCGGCTTTGGTAACCCTGATGTTGTGCCTGAGGTATGGCGGAGATAGGCCAGCTGTGACACTGCAATATTGATATCTCCCGGCGGATATGACTTGGAACTATTGTAATAATAATTCGGTATGGGTTTTATAGATATTTTGTTTGGCATTTGGGAGGCCAGCTTCGTTTCAGATCGTCCGGCAAAAATGGATTTGACTGTTGCACTGTGGCACAAATGTTCAATTGCTAATGCACTCAATTGTGGACTGTAATATTGGTCAGCAGTTTATCTATATTCTCATATATCAGACATACGCAAGGAGAAATACTGTATGTCCCAACCGCATGAGGCCCAGCCAAGTCAAAAGGAAATCGAGACTGCTACTACATAGCAGACCAATTGTTTCTGATGACGAAGGAGGGGCAGCTTGTTCCAAGATAGCAGCAGCTTGCACGGAGAATTCGCTCAGCTCTCTGAAGGATAGAAGGGACGGCTCTATTGGTGGCTTAGCATATCTGTACGAGAGAAACAAAGAAGAACTTACGATGCAACGTCTCTGCTTGGGTATCTGCATCAACAAAGTTGGCGAATCCAATGGCTGCTGAATCGGGAAGTTCTTGAGCCTGTAAGTCTACCAGCTCAATCACATCCTTATACGCCTGTTGTTCTTGGTGTCCTTGTCTTCGTTTCCACAAGGCGGCTTCTCCGAGCGTACAGGTAAAATAGTTTAATTCTGGGGCGGGCATTGCGACCGGGGATTAGGGACAGGTTATTTGATTTCAGACGGCTATAAGTTCCTGGGGATTTCCCTAAACCAGGGTTCAATATGGGCTGTTTGGGTATGTCTTGGTGGGCACGAAAAACTTGTTCTTATTAGACGGCGGCGCTGCAGGTGGTGGGCAGAATGGGCGAAGAAAGTAACACACGAGTGCGTTATCATCTTGCTCTAACAATAGATGCGATCGACAAACCAGACTCTTTGGCGGCGAAGTGATGCTCTCCCAAGAGCCCAGCCAAGGTATGCTTACGCGCTTATTACAACTTTGGAATACGGGATGACCAAAGAACTCAGCTGTCGCTCGCTCCAATAGAAATCTTGTAGGTTCTCCGAGAGGAGTACCTCCCTCTATGCTCTAGTATCGATCGTTCTCATACTAATTAATCTACGACGACGTATGAGGTCATTGACGGCTTAAAATCTACGTAGGGTAGCCCACCCTTTTGCATAGTCAAATGCCGGCAATTCAATGACGGTTAAGTGAATATGACCATCATGACCGTGAATTGTGGATTTAAGGGAAGGTGGCACTACCGACTTTAGACTTAAGTCCATCGCGAAAGTCACAATAGCGCGAAGACTCTAGACAATTAGTCCTTCTTGCAGGCCCAAGAACCGGAAGCGATGAGCGGAAATTTGAACGAGGCAAAATCTGTATCCCCTAGCTCAGGGTGACAGAACTGAGGCCAGACTTTCAAATTCGGCCGATCAAAGTTGCATATACAGGTTTTCTCAGGTCTTACGGTTTGTGGTGTTGTGTAGATAAAGCAATGCAGCACACCGAGATTTCTCTTTTCATAGTGAATCATTTTCGGCTCCAAACTCAGTCATCACATGAAATCAGCAGGCACAACGGGCAGAGTTGGCATGACTTAATGCGCCTAACAATTGACATAGGGGTTAACTTGCGAACACTTTTGTCGTACTGACGTTGAGCCTGCTCCACCGTTGACCCCATAGCCATGCCGAGAAGATTGTTAGGGTCCAATAGATATGGTAGAGAGCGAAGACTGGAACGGGATCCCAAGTCTCAAAAATGGCTTCCTTCCACGAAACAACGTGAACGACAAATACTTCGCATGACTCTAGAAAGTCGGAGGCCTTCAATTTCCCCATCACCCAGTGAATAGCGGGATGGAATACCAGACTAACAAGATCATGGCCAATCCAATAGCGCGGCAGGGGACTGGATGGTGTTATGATCGAATCTTCGCTTAATCCGTCCTGTTGGAACACCACTTGGGGGTCTGCAGGTGCTTTTTCGAGTGTGGAGATGTAAGCTTCAACCATTTCTTCCATTTCATGGCCTTTCTGAGCAAATAGTACCACAGCCGTATGCGCCCGTGGATTACATTCTATTGCGTATATTGACCTTGCAAGGCCTTTCTCACTAATTGAGGTATCCTTGACCATGAAATCAAAACTCAGGTGGCCGGTGAGCAATTCAGGGTGGGCCGAGCGTAAGACGAACTCGCGCGTGAAAGCAAGCATCGCTCTCGAGAGTGGAGAGGTTCGTGGCAGGGCACGGTAGTGCATCAGCAGCTCAGCGCTGGGGCATGCCACGAAACACTTGACCTCTCCTCGGACGACCAGTGAGTGAGAGCAGTACTCTTCGCCTCCTGGAATATACTCTTGGAGGATCCAAGGTTTAGATGGCGATATTGGAAGATGAACCACGTGCTCTTGTGTTTCGAAGTCGGACCGAAAAGGGAGCAGACTCATATCTCCTCGGTGAACGTCGTCCACGTCGACAGTCTTGAGAATGAACTTCCGCTCCGGGTAAGTGTTCCGATTATTTGACAGAACCTGAAGTACATCCTCGGTTGAAGACACGCTATAGGTCTGAGGAACTGCAAGGCCGAGCTGGTCTGCTTCTCGCATGAAAGAGTCCTTCTGGTGCAATAACGCCGTCTCCCGTACTCCAAACTGAACACATTTGCACGGAGTAGATTCTTCGATAAGTTCCTTTGCTCTAGCGTCATCTAGCGAGGTGGCTACTCCTGAGCAGGAAACCCAAAGATCTATGCCCTCATCCTTAATTATCCTCAGAACCTGGTGTGTGTATTCCGCTTTAGTGTTGGCTGCGTTCTGTTTTTGCAAAGTTCGGAACACAGAAATGCTGTGTGAAAATCTTCCAGAGCATGGGATGCCGGTGCTCTCAAAATCTGCTCCGATGACACGATGGCCAGTAAGATAAAATGCACGGGCAAGAGTCAATCCCTTAGTCATGCCGACTCCCGTGACCAGAATAGTCCTTCGAGGCGCGACCAAGGCGTCTTTCGAGTTATTTCGACGAGGGCCCAAATGTGAAAAAAGAAGCTGTATGCATTTCAGGATGGACACAAACACAAGTGTCCAGGGTAATAGCAAGATACTTGTGCAAATGAGACCAGCAGCCTTAATACTGTCAGTGGACGATGTCCATGCCATGATAGCTCTCATCAAGTCCTTGCTTGTAATAGCGAAGGATTTGCAACAATGAAGTTGGGTCACCAAGAATACTGTGCCGATAAATTGAAACCGTAAAGTAATTCACATTCGACGGATTTCGAAGACGGTCTAGTTGATAGCCCCCGTTTTTGCATAATCGGATAGATTTCCAATGGAAATCCCCGGTTAAGTCAAAGCGCTTCAGAAAGACTAACATGCTGCTGGCGCTTACATGCCACAGCCAATCACAACCCATCCCTCGTCTGAGCCTCATTCAGTGATGATTCATCAGCCCCTTGATAGTATGACGATGACATTGACACGCAACGCGTGCATTAGCTGAGGACTCCAACGTCGAATGCATCGACGTTGGAAACATTGTCTGCCATATCATTCCGAATGTGACGTACAACGACTGATCAATATTATCCTAACCACTCACAGAGGCGTCGTGCTTCACTGCTGAGAATATCTGCCCAAAATCGAAGTGCCTCAATTTTTACATGACTCGAATGTATATCCTCACCTAGATACTCAATCATTCGCGGCGATTACTCCGAGGCGAGTTTCAATTGCAGTTGCTGTCACTGTCTGTCACTACCCGTTTTCAAAGACTTCGGCCATCTTTGCGTAGCACGTTGCCTTACAATCATCGTGTATTTATATAGTGGTATAATCTATGAACAACGAGAGTTGTTACCTCAGGATTCTACACACGTCGTAATCTCCAAGGCGTCCTAATGAAGTCAGTTGGGCACTTCAATGACTTGAATCACTTGAAATAAGATGGAAACTTACAGGCACTCCACTTGGCTCCCAGCCCTCAACAAATTCGCTCTTATACACGAGATTGGGGTTCCCTTTCAGTCCATCGTGTCCGAGGGCCGCAAAACGCTTCTTTTTTTGCGCTACGGTGCTCCTTACATATTCAAGGTAAGGAGGATTTCCAGGTTTGACAACTTGAAACGTTAGCAGTGTAAACAACTGGGAGTAGTATGTTTCTGACCATTGTCTGCAGCATATACCGACCCAGGTCCTACTAGGCCAAGCTCCTCGCACAGCATCAGATCTGGTGTGTAAAGAGGCTTCTGGTGGTCGAGGAACAAGAGATCAATATGATCAATCTCTCTATTCTTAGCCAGGCGCCTCAGAGTATCCGAGCTGGACCCAATAACAACCTTGACAATGTCACTGAGCCCCGCTAAATCCACGAGCATTGTAGTCACGGCACCAAACTCGGGGTTGTGTTCCAAACTATAGTATCGCCTGCCGCCGGCATCTTTGACTGCTGAGGCGAAAGCGATAGCAGAGTAGCCAACATATGCACCAATTTCTACCATAGTCTGCGGCTTCACTTCCCTGATCAGGTCGACAACCGTTTTCGACTTATATTCGCCGATATTCATAAGATACTTCTTAGTCCTGCCATATTCGTCAATGGCATCGAGGATCTTCTGAGGGTGCCCGCGCATGTTCTCCAGCTCTGGGTGGCTGTAGACATAGTGAAGAAGAGCGATTTCGCGACCATCGTTGAACTAGGTTATGCATTAGAGTAGTAGAGCCGGAATGATGTCTATACATACAAAGACCTCTTCTTGAGGTTGATACGCCTCTCCCTGGAAACCGTTCTTCTGTAGTTTGCCCATGGGGAAATCTACCTAGGTGTGTGGTCGTGCGAATGAAGTCTACCGCGGCGCGTTTTGTCGATTCAGATTTAGCATTGCCTCCTCGCGCGTGTTTCGGCTGTCTGAACGACCATGGCTTTTACACATGTGATTTTTACAAGGAGCTTCCCATGAACTTTTCTCTATGCCACGTGCAGTCTCGCAGGAATGCGTGGTGTCACTGTCCCGTGTCCTGAAGTCATTGACTCTGTGACCCTACAAGAATGTCCTAGTAATTGTGACGCGGACATATTCCAACCAATCAGGTCAAGTTCTCAAGCTGCTCTGGTCTTACTGTTACATTGCACGCATCAAGACAAGACCGCTGATCTGCTCGCCCAAACCTTGTAAGGGACTAAGATCCAACTATGCACGTGGTACAAACTCAATTCCTGGTATTTAGCGCATGTAATCGTGAGCTGAGGTCTCCTTCTAAGCAAGCCTGAGTAGATTAGGGTCTACACCACTTCACGCTACGCGTGATATCGAGCAATGAAAGGGCGTTCCTGAAGATGTTCGGGAATATTCGTTAGCTAGCAAGCGTCAACGAAATTCTCATGATGTGTCGAAGACGTCTACTTTCGAAACAGGGGGGAACAAAGGGGACTGTTTCTCCATACAATAGTTGATGACGCCTTTATTTGCTTGGGAAGACACTTGGGGATTAGTAGTCTCATCCCCTCTTGTCCCTGAAGCAGGGGCAGACTTATACTTTCCCATAGTTCCTCGAAATTAATGATTTCAATTATTCCATCAGGCTTAAATCATCGCAGGAATTCTACACGCCTATATCAATCTTAACTTCATATAGCATTACTGAGGGATCACATTTTCTTAACCGTTCTCATCTTTCGCTCAAGTTATAATAGAAAATATGTCCGATCTCCAGGCGAACGTATCCGAGACGAAGACTGGGTTCCACGTCGAGGGCTACGAGAAAATCGAATATGATTTCACTTTTGTTGATGGAGTATTCGACACCACCAAACCCAATCTTGCTGATTGCTACAAGACATGGGGCCGAGTACTTGCTGTCACAGATAAGAATGTTTATAAACTTTATGGGGAAAAGATGGAGCAATATTTCCATCATTTCGGCCTGCAGTTGACGGTCCACAAGACTTCCATTGGGGAAAAGGCAAAGACAATCGATACGTTCTTGGGCATTTGCGACTCAATGACAGACTTCGGCATTATTCGAAAGGTATTGCAATCTATCTCTCCATAGCCTTTCGACGTTCAACTAAAAGTGAGATCACAGGAACCGGTCTTGGTGGTTGGAGGTGGTTTGGTCACCGATGTTGCAGGGTACGAACCCGTTCTACTCTGATATCCTAAACTTCAGCTCATAATACGTGCCAGGTTTGCTTGTGCTGCATACCGGAGAAACACCAATTTTATCCGTGTGCCTACCACTGTCATCGGGCTCATCGATGCCAGCGTCAGCATCAAAGTTGCTGTCAATTACGGCCGGTACAAAAACCGCCTGGGAGCGTATCACGCGCCTGTCCATACTTTCTTAGACTTCACGATGCTTCGCACTCTACCAGTTGCTCAGGTCCGAAACGGATTTGCAGAACTGATCAAGATTTCTTCATGTTCTCACCTCGAGGTCTTTAACCTTCTTGACAAGTATTGTGAGCAGCTGATCGATTCGAAATTCGGCCGAGCAGATAACTCGGCTGTTGAGGTTCGAAAGGCGGCAGACGTTGTATGCTTCCATACCCAGGAGTACTATTGGCTTTTGATTAACAATGTCATCAGATCAACCGTGAAGGTATATACGAAATGTTGAAACTTGAGTCTCCGAATCTCCACGAAATCGGCTTGGATCGTGTCATCGCATACGGCCACACTTGGTCTCCTCTGCACGAACTCATTCCCGACACCCCTTTGCGACATGGTCATGCTATCTCAATTGATATGGCGTACTCGGCGACCTTAGCAAAGCAGAGGGGTCTTCTGACCGATACTGAGCATCGCCGCCTGTTTGCCTTGTTCTCCAGAGCTGGGCTTACACTTGATCACCCTCAGTTTGACGATGATGTTCTTGAGAAAGGAACCACCGCCATCCTCAAAACAAGGGATGGCCAACTGCGCCTACCAGTGCCAAATCCTCTAGGAAGTTGCAAATTTTTAAACGACGTTTCCGACACGGAACTCAAGTCTGCACTGGTTGAACACAAACGGATTTGCAAGACTTTACCACGGGAGGGTGCCGGCTTAGAGGCTTACGTCGATACCAGTGATACTGGTTATACGGATAACGTACTGGAAGCTGCCAATGCTCGTGAGACTGCTGATGAAGCTGATCTCTTACAAAAAGAGCAACCCACTGATGGTGTGAACGGTCATGTTAATGGTGACGCTTCTTCGTTGGAGAAGGCGAAGGCTGCCTTCAATCCAAGTAAGAACAGCCATTCAAAGATCCACACAAACGGCATCAGAGTCCAGGCATAAGGCCTTGGTTTGCACACCGAGTGTGCTGAAAAGTGGCAAAACCTGAATGCGATGTGTTTGGTATCGGAATACCTCATGAACTCAGTGCATAACCAGATTTCTCGAAACAGATTATGGATTTGCAGGAGTATATCGTGTGCGATTAGTCTATCAAGCATATCAAAATATGTTCGCCCATTACCCTATGAGTGTGGATCATTTTCTCACAGGGAATGTGACATTGAGTGTCAACCGAGCTTAAGATGTATTGGTGCAGCAGCTATGAATTTCACTTGACTTATCAGATGTGTTTCAAAACATGTAAAAGTGCAATCTAAGTCTAGGAGCATTCCCAGTGCACATGACCGGGCAAAACGAATGCTAGGTTCGGATGACGTAGTAGATGCTGAGACCAACCGGCCTCGTTAACCATCCATCACCGCAGGCGATACTTCGCGTATTTTGCTAAACAAACATTCCTGACAACCGCGATGGATGGCTCTACCCGACGTGCATACGCCACACTTATCACGCGAAGCAGTTATCTTGCAGGTGTGGTAGTCTTGGCTCACACGCTTCGGAAGCATGGAAGCAGGTACCCTTTGGTTGTTCTTTGGACAGCTTCTCTCTCGAATAATGCCTTTCGTGCGCTTGAATACGAGGCTCTTCACGGCAATCTTACTCTGCGACAATGCGAGATTCTTCTGCCACCAAAAGGGAGAAGGACTAGCCTCATTGCGGAACGATTTGAAGACACCTGGACAAAGCTAAGAGTGTTCGAGCTTGTTGAGTATGATGTCGTCTGCTACCTCGATGCAGATATGACTGTCTTCGGAGATGTCGACTCCATCTTTGAGAAGATGGGGGAGATGCCAAGGGGATGGTTAGCTGCGAATCACTCCTGTGTCTGCAACCGGGACGGGGACCCATGGGCACCAGACGACTGGCGAACAGAGAACTGCGCTTACACGCCCATTGTTCACCCAGTAGCACTCAGCCATCCTACCCAGCCGTCCCCTGATGGACCCAGAACACACAGATGGCTCAACGGTGGGATGTTCGTATTTCGACCGTCCCAGGAGCTTTGGGACGATATGCTCTCGCTTTTCAACACAACACCCCTGCTATCCACCTTTAAGTTCCCTGATCAAGATTTTCTGGCGCACTACTTTGATTCCAAATGGAAGGCTCTTGGATGGCAGTATAATGCATTAAAAACTATGAGATACTGGCACGAGAATATATGGCGGGATGAAGAGGTCATTTGCCTGCACTACATTGTGGACAAGCCATGGACCAGGCGCATAGGGCCAGACGGGAACGCAGGCTACAAGGAACGAGATGGTGTGACTCATCAATGGTGGTGGCAAGCCTATGGTGACTGGGAACAGAGCAGGCTACTTCTGGGTGGCCCAGGAGACGAAGTTGTAGCGTTGGTGAGAAAGGGCGTCGCGCCACCAGCAGGAGTGTTGCAAATTGACTGGACCACGGCAGAGGGTGAAGACCCAGACATGAAGGCCATTGGCAGTGCAGTACAGGGTTTTGCCGGGAACAAGCTCCCTCACGAGGCCGGCGGAAACATTCGGTGAGGAGGCTAGATATCTGGACACAGAGGCTCCGAGTCAGACTTACAATACATGTCTCATTCTTACTCTCATACTTCAGGCCCCGCTGTGTGCTTCGAATATGAAGGAGGAGCGGCTCCTTAGAAGTCACTGTTGGAGGGTTAGCTGACGCGCACAACGGCCATTCTAGGTAGTTGTGTATTACACGGCACATCTCGCACTGGACAATCACGGGGCTCGCAAACTGTGTTCACATAGATAGTCCTGTGGAATAATGGACTGGCGGATTTCCAACCTTGGTCCGGCGGCCCCACACCAGCTTCCCGTCACGGGCGAGACGCAGGTGCCAGGACCATTCCGTCCGGACCTCCAGGCCCAGCCAGCAAATGTTGGTCAACCCTCTCATTTGATCTTCACAGTCCTGCGTTGGTCTTACGAATACCCAAACTGCTCAAACCAGCTTGCGGGGTTGCCTTGACAACCGATTGGTGTTCTTCGGACTCGTTTTCGGCACCTGGGAACCTCCATCTCACACTACACTCCCACCGCACGCCTGTAGCCCCGCGCCTTCTCAACCTCCGGGCCGCCGTCTGTGTGGTGTGTGGAACATGCCCGACAAAATCACTTCCAAGAACCTGTCTTACGACCAGAGCCTGCCGCCATTCCTCGCACGGCTGCGCGGCCAGCAGACATCCGACGCCCACACCCCCGACCCCATTCTTGCAGCGCACAGAAGACCAGGGCGCGTCCGCAGCGCCAGCGAAGAAGCCGAGGACGAGCCCGTCGTCGTCGACGAGGAAGGGAACGTGGTGGTCCTGAGGCCCGATCAACTCGACAGCACGGAGGCCAGGGATGGCGATGAGACAGTAGCCAGCTCCAAGGACTCGGATCAGCTCACGGATCAAGTCGTCGATAAGGAGTCGGAGAAGGTTGCCGTCATTGGCGCCGCCCGGAAACGCAAGATCGGCCGCGTGATCGGAGGAAGTGAGGAAAAGGAGCGCAGCAGTGGCGTAGACGCAGACATTGCAAAAGCTGTAGAGGCTACCAAGGCCCTCTCGCGGGACAATCCGAAGGAGGACACGGATCGTCCGGCAAAGAGCACCAAGAAGGGCAGTAAAAGGGCGAAGAAGATCAAGTTGAGTTTCGGCGACGACGAGGGCTAGTGCACCGAGACGCGCAAATACTAGAGTAGCCGGTGCGTCGTCCTCCCGGTGCGTCCTGGCCAGACTCGCGCTTCGCAACCCTGTCACAGATAATGAAGCCTGCAACCTGACAGAACGGGGTGCTCTGATAGCATACGAAGGTCTAGGTGCCTTCGACATCGGATGGCCGAGCCCACAGAGTCACTGAGACTCTCCGCTCGTTATCGATCCCTTTGCGGCTTGCTTCGAACACATGATAGCGTGACAGCTAGACGAAGCATCGTGATTTGATGTCACAGGGACAGGGGAGCGTCAGCATCAACTGCGTGCTTGCTACGCCGGTGGTTCGGATTCAGTGTTCCGCTGCTGGTCGTTGCAGCTGCTAAATGTCCGTCTCGTCTCGTCTCGTCTCCCTCCCAAAGCCGGACGCGTGTAGACACAGCGTTCGAAGAGATCATGGATCTCCGCTATACTATTACCCGTTGATCATTGCCCATTCAGAGTTGGCTACGCGCTGTGGTAGAACTATTCAATTACCCATGTGATCAGATAAACGCCACAAACCCCTTGCCAATGCAGTGTAACGAGACTCGCACCAAGTCCTGCTGTCATAAAATCACCCTTCTCCAGCCCAAACGATCGCTATCCACATGTTTCCTTTTCCCCGCCCAGTGACTCTCCAAGCTTGGAATATGCCCGGCATCTAGTATCTCGACATCCTGTTACCACCGTTGGGAGAGTAGCCCCGGTCGTAAGCACTTGATTGGCCGTAGGGACTGGGTTCGTCGGCGTAGATAGTGGTCCGCCTCTCGTCTTCCGGCAACAGCTCCTTCACTTCCCAGTTGTTCAGCCTCGTGCCGACGGAGAACTCGAGATCCTCCTTGGTGATTGAGTCCCAGTACTGTGCGCGGTAAGTCAGCATGTGAAGAAAGTGGGAGATTAGATGGGGCATACCTTGTAGATCATCATGACAGCCAGTAGGTTGCAGGTTGTGGCGAAGAAGAGGCCATCAACATAGTGGCTTGTGGCGTCGCAGATGGTCGAGCTGAAAGCGTATAGGACAACCTGGCCGATGACGAAGAAAAAGACGGCAAAGGCGATGTCGCCCAGGGGCCATCGGTCCTGAAGAGTCCGCACAACCAGCAGAATCTGGAGGGCGCCGTAGACGACCAGCTGGATGCCGTTCAGGAGGTACAAGACGGTGAACAAGCCGACCGTGTTCACGGGGCTCAGGCCTGCCCATTGCTTGAAGGTGGCGAGTGAAACGAGGAAGGAGATGGCAAATGCGGCGAAGGAGCATAGCCGAAGGAGCCAGACAGACAGCGGCGTACCGTCCTCGTACAGCTGGAAGCCCACGAAGCCGTTGATCAGGAGGCAGGTGACGAGGGACGAGATGAGGCCGGACTGGATGGAGACAAAGTACGGATAGGGGCCGGAGCCGGGCGGGACGACGCCGGCATCGACGCAGAGGGAGAAGAAGCTGAGCAGCATGTAGAAGTAAAAGAAGGCGAGGATCTCCTTGCGCCCGACGGCCGTGAATTTGCCACGGATGTGGAGGATCATGATGACGGTCATGATCAGGGCGATGATGTGCATGAAGCTCGAGGCGCCCTGGAAGATGATGGTGTTGGCCAGCTCAATGTTGCGGGCGAAGCAGTCGGGCTCGATGCCGACGCCGCTCGAGATGGACGTTATGGGACCGACATTGGCGCATAGCGGCAGAGGCGCCGTCTCGCAGATGGTGGTGAAGTCGCCGAAGCCGCCCATGGCGAGTGAGCGACTGATGACTGCCGGGAAAGGGGACAGGGACGGGGACGGAGACGGAGAAGTCGGACGATGGTCTTTGGAGGCTCTCGCGGGCTGAATTCCAAGGCCGGGTTGGACAGCGAGCGCGTCGGTGGCTGGCGGAGGCTGTGTCTGAACCACGAGTGGAACGAATGGAGAGATAGCTAAGATGTGATCTTCAGTAACGATGGACAGGGACGACAGACGTCTTGCAGCGAATGACTACAGCGTCGAGAGCCGTTGTTTTTGGCTGGGCGGAGGTGATGGGGGAAAGTCTGTCGTCGTCAGGTCGTTCGGATTCCCGACCGTGGTCGAAAATCAAGGATTCAGCGCTGCTGCAACCATTCGTTGCCAGGGCGAAAGGGCCAGCAACAGCGAGTTGGGTGCTGGGGTCAGGGGGGCAGGGGGCCGGGGGCCGGGGGGTCAAGGCCTTCAAGGACATTGGATCGAGTTACCGACCTTGTTAGCGGTAGATCTTCCCCCCGTGGGCCCTTGTCTCTCCTGTGGGCCCGTGCTGCTCGTGTCGACCGTGGCACCTTGCCTCTAGCGGACTGGCGTTCTCTTAGCTGGAGCGAGTCCCTGCCCTGTTGATTGGAGCGCCGTTGGAGGCGTCGTTAGGGCTGCATAAGATACTTGGACCGCATGCATGGACGTACGAACCTCCCTGAGCCAGGTGCTGTAATACCAACTTAACTATTACTTTACAAAACGCAGAAGCAATGAAAAGGACGTTTGAGTGGGTGTATGAGGACTCGGAGCATTATTCCAAGGCATGCGTAAACTTCCCAAGATGGCTTCAAGAAGGGGACGGAGTATACTGGATCACTGGCAAAGCCGGGTCAGGCAAGTCAACATTGATGAAGTTTATGCATGACAACCCTATGACGAAGGACTGTCTCCTGATGTGGTCAGGTTGCCACCCTTCGCTCACTGCCAGCTTCTATTTCTGGAATTCCGGACTGAGATGCAGATGTCAATCGAAGGACTACTCAGATCTCTACTACACGACATTGTGAGTCAGCTGACGACCGACACTGCTATGAGCGAACTGTTTCCAGAACGTTGGATAATTCTCAATCTGTTTGGCGATGACCCACAACCGTGGGGTGTGGATGAGTGTTTGAGAACGTTTCGGCGGCTTTCGCAGCCAATATTCTCACAGTATCGCATTTTCGTAGCAATTGACGGGTTAGACGAATTCAATGGCAACCATATTGAACTCGTTGCAGTTTTGATGTCTCTCGTCCAGTTGCCCAACATCAAGCTTTGTTGCGCCAGTCGTCCATGGCCAGTCTTTCAGGACGCCTTTCACGAGTCTCCGAGTCTTACACTTCAGGATCTCACTCGACCAGACATAGAGTTCTTCGTACGCGAAAGTTTGAGAAACATCCAGGTATCAAGGAGCTTGAATCTGGTATTCCCGGTTTAGCCGACAGCCTTGTCAAGGAGATAGCTGAGAGATCGGCTGGTGTCTTTCTCTGGGTGGTCCTGGCTGTGCGGTCCCTTTTGGAAGGAATATCAAATGGAGATAAAATCTCGGACTTGCATGCCAGGCTAGAAGAACTTCCCTCGGAGCTGGAGGCCCTATTGCACCACATGGTATGGGGTATAGAGTCTCGGTATAAGGGCCAGTCTTCGCAGCTTTTCCAGATACACCGGGCTTCAGGGGATTTGACGCTTCTCCATCTATCTTTTGCAGATAACGATGACGATGAGCTCTGGAAAAGACTCGAGCCTAATCCGCTCCAGGGGGATGAAATGCCATGCGACTCAAGGTCATGAAACGGAGGCTAGAAAGGAGGACGAAAGGACTGCTGGAAGCTGACAATAGGAAAATGTCCACCGAGGAGTCAGTTATTCTCCTAGCACACTAGTAACTGCTAACTCGTGGAAGAATGACACGCAGTGGCCCGAGACAACGAATGTGAAGCATAGCCCGCGTGTTCAATTGCTTCACAGGACAGTACGCGACTACCTTCAACAGCCGAAAGTGTGGATACAGATGAGCACCTTGGTGAACCCTGGCTTTGATGCACATGTATCCCTCTGCAAGGCTTCATTATCGCAAATTAAGACCTGCAACATACAGACAGCACCACTAGGGCATCTGCGTCATCAGGTCACCAATATCCTCAGGCACTCAATCTGTGCACGGGAGGATGGCCATGAGTCCCTGATACCTGTTCTTAACGAGCTAGACAAGGCCATGGAGGTTATAACGCAAAGGCGGCCAAATTTCTGTGACAATCAAATGTTTTCTCGCGTACTACCTGGACACCGCTCTTGCCAATTGCGGTGCTCCTGGACGCCTCGTTTTGGGTGGAAAGCTTTTCCCACAACGTCTGTCCGACGGTTCATGATTTGCTACTGCACTTAGCAATTAATTGAGAGAATCAGTCACGGTTTATTTCGGTATACGCAAATTCTCACCAACGGCACCGTCGGTGCGATTCTTATTAGATCGTGGTGTAGATCCAAGTCATCTTTGCAGTCCCAATGGAAAAAAGCTGTGTCAACATGCCGCTACCCTAGTTCAGGCGGTTCTCCAAGACTTTCCCACAAAGTATGATTTCGAGTTTTGTGTCGACTTAGCGGAGACTTTTGTTCACTATGGGTATCGCATAGTGCAAGAACAACTTGTGCCAGTAAGGTACTCGGAGCGGATGGCTAAGGTAGAGAAACTCCTTAGCCGTACACAATACAAAAAGAGATCGACACTGTCATCCAGCTATAATGGGCCATGCGATGGACAACCCCGTTGGTTTAAAAGGGTACGGAGATCTTGACGGGATCTTGGTGTGTGCAAATGCTGCTACGCTACGAGAACATTCAATAATAAAAGGCATGAGCAAAATTTCATAGGGCATGAGCAAGGCACCGAGATACCCATGTAACAAGCTCTTAGAAGATTGCAATACCTGAAGTACCAGATTATCTGCATTCGAAAGTATCGTTCCATCATCAGCGTTATTAGTTTGTACACGACTTGACCTACAAACCCTTCCTAGCTTCCCCGTTATCCCTAATTCGTGTACTTGGACGCATAAGATCAGGCAGAACAAAAGCAGCGCAAGAGTGCCAAGTGAGTGCGGGCAGCAGGAACATGGCGCTCAGGGCCAGTCCGGACCAAGTAAATCCGCTTTCAATAGGCTTGCTGGCGTGCCAGCTCAATACACCAATTAGGACCAACTCGCCCGCTGTGAGAGTCTTGAAAATGAGGCTCCGCTGTTCAAAGACAGTCGGCGAATTGGGGATGACAAGGAGTATGGGTATAGTAAGAGCAAGGACAAGGCCGCCGTAAATTTGCCATAGCACAGCGGCACTGGGTGGTACTGTATCAGAAGAGACGACGTATGATAGACACCAGGCTGGATATCTGATGAACACCGCAGCACCGATCACGTTGAGGACGGCTTCGACGAGAAGGCCAAGTTGAATGACCTGGGTCATTATTGAGAATAGGAGTGCTAGGTGATACGGCAGAGTTTGGACGTTTGGAAAGACCAGATGAGATACAACCACCTCGGAGCTCCTGGGAGCATAGAGGTGACGATGGGACTTTGAGTATTATCCGCAACCGCCAGTCAAGCTTTGCAGGTGACGGTAACATACACACGCGCGCACACACACACACAGGGAGGGAGAGAGGGAGAGAGACGTAGATGGAGGGAGAAAGGGAGGGTACATGGTGCGTTGGGTTGTGGGGGGGTGCGTATTCGACCAGGTCGCCCGAGTTTTGTTAATGAACAGTGCCTAGGTATGCCGGTACCTTGAAATGTCCGAGTCACGCTAGAGGCTGCAGGTTAGGTGTGTAATGCTGCGCCTCAAGTAACAAAAGTTTGCACCAGGCCGAGATTGATTGCCCGAATGCATGGATGCGTGGATGCGCAAACCTCAGCAAGGAATACCTAGAACTAGCTCTACCATAGTATGTTAACCGCCTATCTAGTGACTTCGACAAGACTGTATACCTAGGTACATACCATGGTAGCTGAACGGGCAAAATTACTACTACCGGTAGCTTGAATGATCGTTCTTGGCCTTGACCGATTACCACGGTTTGACAGCCCACTGCTTGCAAGTAAGTTACATGGCTTCCTAGGCTTCGGAGTACGGTGTTGTCATGGGTACCTACCCTTCCCACCAACGTATACATGTACATGTAATGATGTAAGTTTCGTTCCAAAGGTTAGCCACGTAGGCGAACCAAGAGCCTCGGGGTGCATCTTCACCGCCTGCCCATGGTGGAGCAGATCCGACCGAACCTCCGATACGTAGTGGGCTCGTGGACCGACACCCACCAAGGAACCACGGCGTTGGCCGTTGGCGGGGTCAGGGTCTGGCAGAAAAATTATTTTGCGACTGGCGATAGCGTCTGTCTCTGCTTGCCCCTCGGCGGTCGTTGGGCGCCACTCTAGACCTACTGTGCACCTCTTTCTTGCAACGCGCCAACCCTGCGCCTTTTGCTTCAATCGCACTTCCCGACCTCGCGACCATGTCGAAGCGTACCGCAGACGCCGAGAATGGCGACGTGCCCATGAAGGGCGGCGTGCGGCCCGAGCCCATGGACGTTGACAACGAGATGGGCGAGTTCGAGGACGAATTCGAGGACGAGTTTGAGAGCGAGGACGAGATCTTCGAGGCCGGCGTTGATGGCAGACCCGACGCCGAGCGCGAAGCCGAGGAGCGTGCAGGTCAGTCGCTGCGCTCTATCCCACCCCGTCGACCCTGGGCAACACTGACCGGATAGAACAGCGGGCGCCATGGATGTGGACAACAACGGCAACGGCACCTTCATCGTGGGCCGCAACAAGCTAGAGGCCGGCCAGCACCTAGCCCCCGACCTGGGGACCTACGAGCTGCTCCACAACCTGAGCACCCCGTGGCCATGCCTCTCCTTCGACGTCATCCGGGACGGCCTGGGCGACAAGCGTGAAAAGGTCTATCCCGCCACCATGTACACCGTTGCCGGCACCCAAGCCGAAGGCAAGCGGGAGAAGGAGAACCAGTTGATGGTCATGAAATTCAGTGGCCTGAGCCGCATGGAGCGGCAGGACGAGGAGGACTCCGACTCGGACGACGAGAACGACGAGGACGCCGACCCCATCCTCGAATCCAAGTCGATCCCCTTGAACGCAACCACGAACCGCATACGTGCGCACCAGATCCCGTCACAGGATGGCGCCTCGCCGCCAAAGACCCTCACCGCCACCATGACCGAAGCGGGCCAGGTCCTCATTCACGACATCACCCCACACCTGGAGTCCTTTGACAACCCGGGCACCGTCATCACTCCGCAGCAGAACAAGCCTCTCTCCACCATCCGCGCGCACAAGTCGGAGGGGTACGCCCTTGACTGGTCGCCACTGGTCCCCGGTGGCAAGTTGTTGACGGGTGATAACAACGGCCTGATATACGCGACTACTCGCACGGATGGCGGCGGGTGGGTGACCGACACCCGCGCTTTCCAGGGCCACACCAGCAGCGTCGAGGAGATCCAGTGGAGTCCACAGGAGGCATCGGTCTTTGCCTCGGCCTCGAGCGACGGTACCGTCAGGGTCTGGGACGTGCGGAGCAAGAGCAGGAAGCCGGCGATCACCGTGCCGGTCAGCAAAACCGACGTCAACGTCATGTCTTGGTCGCGTTTGACCACGCACCTCTTGGCTACCGGAGACGACGACGGCGTATGGGGTGTGTGGGACCTGCGGCAGTGGAAGGGAGGCGACGAGAAGCCATCGCCCATCGCGAGCTTCAGCTACCACAAGGAGCAGATCACGAGCATCGAATGGCACCCGACCGACGACAGTATGATCGCCGTTGCGGCCGGCGACAACAAGGTCACTCTGTGGGACCTGTCTGTCGAACTGGACGACGAGGAAAGCAAGGACACGGCGGGGGTGCAGGATATGCCCCCTCAACTTCTGTTTGAGCACATCGTGGAGCATGCGAAGGAGGTACACTGGCACCCGCAGATTCCTGGTACCTTGGTGGCGACAGGCGCCGAGTTCAGCGTATTTAGACCCATACCTGTTGTCTTTGGCGTACATGCCAAGTAGAAACTTTGCGACCCAGTTGAGTAAATACTCATTCCCAGCACGACCTATGTCTACATGTTACTTTCTTGAATTGCCCGTTCACAACTATGCGCCCCTATGGGCCGCCTACGAAGACTCAGTCGCCCAAAGGGGTCAGTTGAAGCCCCAGGATGCCCAACAGCCAGCTGCCCATTGTTAGGTGGAGGCCATTGGCGGCCTGCTTTAGTTGCATACGGCCGGCCACCCATTTGGCAGGCAGGAATGATGAATATAAGCACGAATCTTGCATTGATGGTCGGTCGAAGTGTTACATGACCGAGGTTGCAGGTAACTGCGTTTACCTCTCGTTCTATTTCCCGCTGACTACCTACCTGTGTATTAAAATTGCACGGCAACGTAGTCAGCAGCAACGGCTAGCTGCAAATATTGCAAGCATCGTGAGCTGGCAGTACGAGTGTAGAAAGTAGCGGGTACTTGGCAGGGGAGCGAGAGCTTGGCACCTAGCTAGTGCAGATCCACCAAGGTCAAGGGAAGCAATCGACATGCAAGTGCAGAGAGCGTTCCTAGCTTGTATACTTCAGAGTAGCCAGGATTCCCTCTTGGCTATGGGCGGCCCGTCGCTTGAGAACGAACATTTGCGCCTCGTGTAGTGTTGATGAAGCGCAACTTGTCTTGCTGCAAGTTATCACTCTCGAAAGCGGCGGGGCCTTTGCTAGCTTGGCTAAGTAGCCTTCCGTGCGTATCGATGCCAGGCTTGCCAGGGTGCCTTCGGGTTTACACCGGGGTCGAGAACGGCTAGTGACAACATGAGACTACGGGTGCTTGTACGTACAGCGTGGAGTGCCTGTTTTAACAACCTTGGAAACATATGTCTGGGCGGTTGGTATTAATATTTACAGCCCCGAAATAGTATAAAAATGGATGTACAAGCTGGAGGCGGGACAAGAACTATCGAGAGACTTGAAACGGACAGTTGCTATTCGATGGCAATACACAGTAGATCCAGCCTACTTGTCTGCTTGTTACGTCGAGATCATTGTACAATGCCCAACACGCTCTGCAAGTTGCAACTGCTCATGCATAGTAGTAACTCTACCTGCCTCTGCAGTGACTTGGTGATTACCGCAGCTTCAACCCCAACAAGCCGAGCCAAGCAAGTCAGTAGTACCGGCCACAACGACTCTTGTGTCGTCGAGTGCAACTGTGACAGCATCAACGCGCTTACTTGGGAGCTCGTGTGATTTCGCAGACTAGAACGGACCAGGATCCTAGCATTTGTTGATCTACGCGCTGGTGGCTCACCTAGGTCGAGGTTGGTACTATGTAAATAGCAGACTCTCACGTCAAGGTCGTGAATCAAACCCTAGCCATAGCACCGTGAGACCTTGGCCTCTACAAAGCACGAAAGGTACCCTGGTACGTAGTTATTAGTGTCGACTGAATCTGCTCAGGCTATGGCAAGACTTCCGAGACCCTCAAAACCTGGTCGGTCATGCTTCTCGGCGGTTGACGCAGGCTGACCTCGGGACGACCAGCCTGAGATCTGTTCTCCGTCGTCCCAATCAGCGCCGACCTGTGACCCCAGTACCACAGTAGGTAGGTAGAAAGAGCCTCCGGCCGCTGGGCCGTGGGCAACTGCGAGACCCATTGGATACATGGTACAAGGCGGCTCTGAGACAGTTGCGGGCTGGCGACAGGCAACAGCCGGCTGGGGCCGGGACAGGGGCAAAGGGGGCGGTACCGTGTTGGTTTTGACAGGACCCCCAATTCGTCGTGTTGGGTGGGCGCGAGCTCGGGCCAGAGAGACAGTCGAGGTACTTCTTCAAGTCCACACCCCCCCTACCTGCGACTTTCTTCACCTTTTCCCACCTCCAGCGCCAGAGTGAGAACCGAACCCACACCCCCGAGCAAATCTTGGGCCACTCCAAAACCGCTTGACCAGCCCGAAGATACTTTCATCGCAGGTACTTCCCCCGGGCCATCATCAGCATCTCGAGTGGTAGCCTGCCTGGTTCCGCCCATCACCTGGGCCGTCGTCGACGCTGAATCACCACTGCGAATAACGCGCAAGCAATCGCGTGCGTGAAATCATCCCCAGCCTCACCCACCCTGGAGTCGTTGCAAGCCGCGCCCGCGCGCCCTCATAGTTGCAGAGTTTTGCGCGTCATTTTCTACTTGCCACTCACTGAACGCGCACCATCTCTCCGGTACTAGCAATTGTTGCTGGCTAGCAGGAGGCGGGAGACCCCCCAGGGGACCAAAGGGAATAAAATAAAAAAGGTACGTGCGGTGCTGAAACAGAACTGCCAAGCGCCACTTTTAGAGCCTTGGACCCCAACTCGTCCAACCAGCAGCCAAAGCCAAGGCAAAAAGGCACTGGAAGGGAAGAGAAGGAAAACCACCAACCTGGTGCCAACTGCCACTGCATCATCCTGCGCCACCCCAGCAATCCAGCACCCGCCGCTCCTCTCACTTCAGCACATCACTTCTCAGCAACGGCTCGAGACAACACCAAGTCCATCAATCTCTCTCATCTATCAGCATCCTGTATTTCCGTTGCCCCCCTGTGCTCCCACTTCGCGCCCGCGAGGAGCCGAGCCGAGGAGAGCGCCGGCACAGCAGCAGCGCCGGCCATCCCGCACACACGCACACAGCTGTTGTCGCGCATGTCGCGCTGCAGAGCTTGCACCAAGTCAGTACTTGTGGGCTACTTTGCACCCCTAGACCTTAGCTAGACGCACCATCGCGCGTCTCTGCGCCGGGGGTCGCTGTCAAGGTCACGGGCTGGTCCTGCGCAACACAGGCCCGACGCCCGCCCCTCCCCCAAAGTCCCCCCTCCCCCTCCCACCTCCAGTCCTCAAGCTTTCCTCTCCACCCCGAACCTGGGACGGGGCCTGGTAGAGAATACATCAGCCCCAATTCCCTCTACCTCGCTCGCTACTTTCGTCGCGCTCCCTGCGACCAGAGGAATACTTTCTGTCCACCTGCCCGCACCCGTTCTGCCCTAAACCCCGTCTCGTACTCTACATGCTCCTCGGCATCCATCCATTGACTCGCCGTCGCATTGTGCAGCACATGGCCTAGCCCTGGTCCATGGTCAATCGTGTTGTCGCACATCCCTCTGACCCATCAAGCAGAAGTCCTAGCACATCTACAGCCTCGCCAAACGAGGCCACAGACGAACGCACGCATTCCGTCCATCTCGGCGTCGCGCTGTCCACCACGTCTGCCTATCGCTGTTTGTGTGCGACTTGGCCGTCAGGTCAGACCGGTTACCACGCTCTTGATCAGAACTTCCCCGTCGACCTGAGCCGACAATCGCTTGCCCGTAAGTTGTCCGCTTTCCTCTGAATCTGCACCTTAGCCCCGCGCACGCGTCGTGCCACGTCCTCGGGCAGAGATGTCTCCTCTGTATATGCTGTGCGGTTCATCAGCGTGCAGTGCTTCTGCTCTAGACGGCCGCCCCATCCGCTTTCATTCAAGCTGTTCACCCCTTCCTGCTTCACTCCTTTTCAATTAGGTCGTTGATGTCGGCGACTACCTGTCTGTCTGCGATGAACTTGACCTTCGTCCGTGTCGTGTCCCCCTGCTCTCCAAATCCCCTCCCGCCCGTCATCCAATTCCCGTTTCCCAGCCTGCTAGTTTCTCTGGTAGCCACATGTTTTCTCTGAGTTATTGCCAACATGGTCCAAACCCCCTTCCATCCCCTTCAATCATTCTATTTCACTGCCAAAGGCCTTCTATGTTTCTATGAACTCTGTTATACGAATTCCTTCTTTCTTTCTTTGGGCCGTGCTCCAGAGTCAATCCGGCGGCAGCAGTGAGAGCTAACGCTAGTCCAGATCATGCAGCAGTGGCAGGTAGGCCCCGTTCCGGAGTACCTCTACTCCCAGAATCCGGCGGCCCAGCATGCAAACGACATGCAGTAAGTACCTACTTTTCTCTTCGTACTTGTTACTCCCACCTATTGTCTCCTCTCACTTCATCCCACTCTCCACTTCGATTGATTCCCACACCAAGGGGCCCCCCTCTTGACACCCCTGGTCCTACGGCTCTCTGGTTGTGTCTGTCCCATCCCATCCTCGCGCCCGTCACAGGTATTGCAGTGGAGCGAGTGTTCCCCAGATCTAGATCGACGATACAACATCCCTGGGTGCATCCATCGGGAATAGGACAGATGGGCCAACGTGTTGATTCTCCCAACCCCAGTCACCATGTCGGGTATGGTCAACAATTGGTGGATCAATGCCAATCCTATAATGGAGTCCGCCATCACTCGCCCTGTCTTTCACCACGCCATCTTGGGCGGTGTTTGCTCACAGTAGTGCTGTGATGGTATACTGCACACGAGTATCACAGGGATCAGGCCTCATATGTACATGGAGTATACCTGCAAGTACAAAGTCATAATTGTTCCTGGCTTTGCGCCAGCCCGGGGCCCAGCTCCATCCCGAGTAACATGGCTGGCATTGGCTGCTTGTCGTATACCTGGAATGGGGTTCTCGACTGCCACTGCACCGAGATGTTTGCTCTTCAAGTCAGCCATTGGCACCCAAGTTTACTCGATCTGTTCGCGGCTGGCTTTGAGATGCTGCGCGTACAGATCAGGAAGCCATCAAGCCTTGCAGGCTTCACGCTGCCCTTCTGACCTCAGAGGGAGAAGCTTTGGGCTAATTCCGCCTTTCATAGTGCCACCCACACATATCAGCAGAGCGACATGCAGCGTCGTCCTGACTTCACTGGCTATGCTCAACCGCCGAACACAGCTCAACATCAGCCGCACGCCCAGCACCAGCAAGCACACCACCCACAGCACCAGCAACACCCACAGCATCCTCAGCATGCCCAGCATCCTCAGCACCAGCAGCACGGGGGCCACGTGCAACATGCAGCTCACGCGCAACATGCTCAGCATCCCCAGCACGCTCAGCACCACCAGTCTCAGCAGCCGCAGCAACATCACTCGACGCCGGTGCAGGCGTCGATGAGCATTCCCCAAGCGGCGCCCGCTCCTCCCCAACAGCAGCCGACACCAACCCCAGCACCGGCGCCGGCGCCCCGAGGACGGAAACGAACTCATGCCCAGCAGCAACAGCAGCAGCAGCATCAGCAGCAGCAGCATACACCTCACCAACAGCCGACTCCTCAACAACAACACCAGCAGCTTCACCAGCAACAGCAACAGCAGCAGCAGCAGCCGGTTCAACACGTCCAGCATGTACAGCAGCAAGCAGCTCAGCAGCCTCAGGTTCAACACGTCCATGCCCCCGCTCCAGCTGCTGCGCCCCAGCCCGTTCAACAGGTGCCGGTGACCGCTGCTGCTGCTCCGCCTGCCGCTCCGGTTTCAGCTACGCCTGCTCCGGCCCCGGCACCCGTGGCTGCGCCGCCTCCACAAGCAGCGCCTTCCATGCCAGCAGCCCCCACACCGACTCAAGACGCCAACGCGGCTCCTGCGCCTCCTCCAGCCAAGAAGAGTCGGACAAATACGCCGTGGACGCCAGCTGAGGAGCTTCGGTTGAAGCAGATGAGAGATGCAGGGAACAGCTGGGCCGAGATCGCCAAGACATTCCCCACAAGAACTGAAGGTAGTGTGAAGAAGCACTGGTACAAGGATATGCATTACGCCGAGTTTGCCGAGGATGAGGTAAGTTTTGTCATGTGCTAAGGCGAAGCGTAACCAGAAAACTAACGCGATTACAGAGCCAAGCACTTCTTACGGCTATCAAGGAGTACGAGAACAACAAGTGGAAGACGATTGGCCAGAAGGTTGGCAAGCCTGCCAAGGTAGGTTCCTGCTCCCCCAGCAGTGCACAATTGTAGACCGGTAATGCTAACTGCGACCCAGGCCTGTGAGCAGTATGCTAAGGAGCACTTCCCGGACCTGTTCCCCAACTCCAAAGGCCGTTAGAAGGAGGCTCGTGCTCTTCAGCTTGGCGTCGCTAATCCCAAAGCTGATGGAAACGGCTTGAGCATGCAACTCTGGCGCTCTGCGTCTTTCTCTTCATTCTTCTCATACCCCTAATCGCGTTTCTTTTCGTGACTGAATGTAGGTTTATCTGGCACAAAACTGGTTTAGGGAGGACAGGTATCAACTGGCCCGCGGCAGGAACGAGTGCATGGCCAAGGACGAGTCAATGTTATGTAGCTTGTTCTCAAGCAATGAATCACAATATCCACCTAGCCAACCGGTGAAGTTTGGTGAACCTTATCCAATCCTGACTTTACGTTTAGTCTTGTATACACTGGGACCAACGTATGTTCCATTGAGTGGCAGTCGCTTGGTAGTATACTATGGCAACTGGCCTTACGTAATGTTGGCACAACTCAAGACAGCTCGTGCGCAGAGCCCTCCACTATGGCATTGCATCTACGACAGAGATAATGCGCTTGCTACTTAGGTGCTGCTACGTCGTCCTCCCACTGATCAGTGACAGCGCCGTGGCTGGCATCGCCGACCAGACGTGCGTATTTTGCCAAAACACCTCGTCTGGCCCTTGGAACCGGCGGCTTCCAATCCTTTCTACGCTCTTCAAGCTCTTCAACGGTGACATTGACAATATCAATGCGGTTTTGAACTGCATCGATAAGGATCGTGTCCCCATCACGGACCAGTGCAATCGGGCCACCTCGAGCTGCTTCCGGGGTGACATGGCCAACAATGAAGCCATGACTGGCGCCACTGTATCTGCCGTCTGTCACCAGGGCTATGTTGTTCAGCCCAGCGCCCATGATAGCCGCAGACGCTTTAAGCTGCTCGGGCATGCCGGGGCCGCCACGAGGACCTTCATAGCGAACGATCAGGACCAGATTCTCACCTCGGGGAATCTCGCCGCGGTTGAGGGCCATGTTCAGCTCGTTCTCCTTATTGAACACGCGCGCCTTCCCCGTAAAGCTGAGGCCTTCTTTGCCGGTGATTTTGGCGACTGCTCCCTCGGGCGCGAAGTTTCCGCGCAGGATCCGGATGTGGCCCGACTCCTTAATCGGATCTGACAGGGGACGTATCAGTTTCTGGTCTGGTGGAAGACTGGGCCAGTCGGCAACATTCTCGGCCAAAGTACGGCCAGTCACAGTAGGGATGTTGCCATTGATAAGACCGGCGGCAATCAACATTTTCAAAACGGATGGAGTTCCTCCAATCTTGTACAAGTCCTCCATGTAGTACTTCCCACTTGGGGCAAGATCAGCCAAGAATGGCGTCTTGTCGCTGACCCTCTGGATATCATCCAGGCTTAGAGGCACTTCGGCCGTGTTTGCGATAGCGAGGAAGTGCAGCACTCCGTTTGTTGAGCCTCCAAGTATCATGGTTATAACTAGCGCGTTCTCAAAGGACTCCTTAGTGATAAGGTCTCGCGGTCGAATGTCCTTCTCCATGGTTGTCCTGATGACTTCTCCCGCACGTTCACACTCCCGGGCCTTCTCAGGGGAGAGTGCTGGATAAGACGAAGACCCCGGAAGCGTCAATCCCATGGCCTCGATAGCCGTAGCCATCGTGTTGGCTGTGTACATGCCTCCACAAGCGCCTGCTCCGGGGCAGGCGTGTCGCTCGATATCGGTCATGACATCGCTGGGCGTGCGGCCTTGACTACCAGGATCTGTCTTGGCATGTAAACGGTCGTATGCGTAGGCTCCAGAAGCTTCATAGCACGTGCTAATGTTGATCTCCTTTTCCAGGAGGTTTGAGTGACCTTTGCGGATCGTACCGCCGTAGATCATGATGAAGGGTCGGTTGTGTCGCGCGGCGGCCATAACGACGCCTGGCATATTTTTATCACAGCCTGGTATGGCAATGTTGGCATCGTGGTGTTGAGCACACGTAACGGTCTCAATACTGTCAGCGATGAGATCACGAGACTGCAGAGAAAATCGCATTCCTGTCGAAGCTATTAGGACATAGCAGGGGCCGGGGTGATACTGGCAAATTATACGCACCTTCGCCTCCCATGGTAATAGCATCCGAGACGCCTACGGCATTATACTGCCATGCTAGCATCTTTTGCTTCTCTATGGACTTTTTAACTATTTTACCAAAATCGAGCACTGCCATATCAGTCAGTTCAGCCCTAGGTGCTGGATCCCGACAGAAAACCTCACTCACGATGTGTATTACATGGGTTGCCCTCCCACCAGACAGTGGCAACTCCAATCTGAGGAGCGTGTTTCATCATCTGCTCGTTAGGCACTCCCGAGCCATAAAGCATAGCCTATAGATTTGAAATAGCGTTAACAGCACGTACTCACTATCCAAGTCGCAAAGAACGTAGACTCTATGTTTCCAACCAGTTCGAACCATCGTGGCTGAAGACACGAGATCGCGGAAGCCGCCGAGCGCCAAAACTTGGAAAAAGGATATCTCACCTGAGCTCCGGGGAAGTCATGTTCTCTTGTAATCATATGGGACCATCGGTTCAACGCACCGCCTGGCGGCAGGCATTTAAATTGGATGTATTGAGGGTCAGACTTGGGGTCAATGGACCCTGAGCCTTCATCTTCGCGAATGTCGCTCATAGTTGTGTATTTTAGCCCCGAGATGATTCTATCGTGCCGTTAGAGTATGCTGTGGGGTCACTGCGGGGTAGTAACAGGGTCCCTGGGAAATGGGAAAACAGGGCAATCGGTTCGTGAGAGAAGTAATCGACGACTGGAGTGTCCCCAGTCCTTATATATGGTATATCAGTCCAATGGGCGTACGTGAACGAATGTCAGGGCTCATATCTTCTAGGAGTTCGCGAAAGGAGATGAGTTGTTAGGCGATTGTGGGTTGGGTTGGCCAATGCAGTTAAATCTAAACACGATGACCGATCCTCGGGCGCGGACATCGTGGGGAAGCTTGACATGTGGATCCCAGGCTTCGATTTTTACCTTATGCAATGGTCGGCATCACGACAAACTGACCATTTACGGCGTACATTGCCCCAGGCTGGACTGTGGGGTAGGCAGGACGTCATGGCTGCCAACCTTCGGGTTTTCATATAGCGAACGAACGGATATGCTCGGAAATGTCCCTGGCAGGGTAGTGGAGCGAATTCGGCAGTGGCAGCTACTCCGTTCCACCTCAGCGCGGACGACGTGACAATCAACTACCGATGGTTCCCCCATTCGCTGGATGGGGGCATCTTGACCTTGCGTTGTATTGAGAAAGGAAGATAGGAAGACAGGGACGGACAATTACCGTGGCACACAGCGAGTGATGTAATAAAGCAAACCAGAGAATATCTTATGTTCCTGCTCTCTAAAGCTTATAGCTACTGTACAGGCCTTAGGTCCAAAGACACTGAGGGAGGCTGTGTTATCATCACTCGTTGACAAGATAGAAGAAACCCATCGCATCTCATCGCCCAATCCATACCATCATCCCATGAGCTCTGATGTACGTGGCGCAAAGCGCAGTCCTGCAACCTGCGTGACCAAAGATGCCATCACGGCAATTCAGGAACTCCTTTTCCAGACGATGGTTCGTCATCCAACCCAACTCCAAGCAGAACAACCTCCGCTGCTGAAACAAGACAATGGAAGAAGGGCAAGAGATAACTTGAATAGAAAGAATTGACACAAATTGAGAACCTTTACCGGCCTCCTTCCAAGTAATACCAGAAGCCATAGAGTGCTCTGCAGGCTTCACGTGCCTCTTGTGAATATTGAGTGTCGTGCCGCCATGATAATAGTCGCAACGAACAGGCGGTCCCTATGTAACAGAGCTCGGGGGGGCAGGACTTCCAGTCCCCGAGCCATACATGCTCATGAACAGGGCGCTTGGTACTTCAAGTGGGTCGTTACTAAGCATTTCATGCGCTGGCAACCACACCCACACTCCTTTCCTCTTCGAGCCTTCTAACCATCTCACGCTCTCTTGGGCTCCTTGGGTTGGCATCGATTCCCAAGATAGCACTGATCCGAGTCCGATCCTGCTTCTCGTACATAGGATCACGGTCATTTGGGCTTGTCATGGGAGTAATAGGGGTCTGGGTCCCAGTCGACAAGATGTTTGCCTTCCAAGCCTGCTCCAAGACGATGGGGCTGACGCCAGCACCGTAGTCGTTGGCGATGGCACCCCAAAATGATGACCGATGAGCCGAGTAGATGGACTGAAGACGAGGGAGGTCGACTAGAGCTGAAGGCGGGGGAAGAGAGCAGTCAAGGCGCAGAGCCGGCGCGTGACTGATTGGCGAGGGCTGAGGAAAAGGCGAAGGTCCAAGGGACCTAGCTGTCTCAGGAATAGGGGTAGGGTATCCGAGACCGGGAGACATGGCTGCAGTGGTAAGATTCATCGCAGCTGGCTTCGGAAGGATGGCAGGCAAGCGCGGCGAGGAGCTGGTATTGGCCATGATGCTGGGAAGCTGGACGGGGCCAGGAGAACTAGGGCCGTAGCTGCCAGCACTCCCAGGGGGGGTCGAGTCTCTGGACGAGCATTCCCGAATCGGAGAAGGGATGGCGGCGGGTAGTATAGGCGAGTGCCCCGAGGATGAGCCAGATGAGACAGAGGTAGTTCGTTTGCGGCGGTTACTTCCGTGACTGAGCTGGTGATAATGCAATCGACAGGCCAATTCGGTCTTCTTCAGGTGAGCGGCGATATGTTTATATGGCATTTTCTGGAGCCGAGTTTGCAGAAGATAAACTTCCTGAATAACTGGTCAGCCCCGTTGTCCAAATCCGAGTTTAGCAGGCGGCTCGAATGTGTAATGAACATCCACAGATCCTTACCTCATCCTCGCTCCATGCTCTGCCTCCACCCGTTGATGCTAACTTCCGGTTCTTGGAAACACCAAAGTCGTGGCGATCGAGGGCGTCGCTAGTGGGGGCGTATGGGGTGTTGAGGTGAGATGTGAGCTGCATTGGTGGCGACATGGTGGAATATAGAATCGATTGGTAATTCGTCGGAAGATTTTAGACGGTGCGGCCGAAGAATCGAAAGTTGAATGTTGTTTTTAAGAGGAGCAGACCTTGCTGCTAAAGAATCGAAGCTGGTTAAAGCGAATAAAGTGTTATAGGGTTGTATGTAAACGGTAATGATCTGGTTATCAAGTTTTGCTGATTCCCCGACGGAAGACTTCCTTGAAGCGACCAAGTAATGAGTCGTCGTAGTAGATCAAGGCACGGATGAACCCAAATCGAGAACCAAATCGAATGAAAGGTGGTATAATGGACCAGATGACACCGATGACGAAGGTATTTTTTTCCCAAAAGAGTGTAAGCAGCCAAGCCAGTTGGGCAGTGTAAAGAGCGTGGTCGCTAGCTGCGAAAGAAGGAAAAAAGAAAGAGGCGCGCAACAACGTCTTGGTCGATGTACAGGTTTAGCCTAGAGGGTGTAAAAGAAGGATCAAAACGAGAGAGGCAGTGGAAGGGGGCGTCCGCGGGTAATAATGCATCTTTCTGCCCCGTTGTGTTCGGGCAGAGCTATATCCAGGCATGCAGGGCGAAAGAGGGCCAGGGTCGGGGGGGCCCAGTCGATGCCAGGCCCTGCACACACACCGCAACAGGTGGCCTTGTTACAAGCCTTACCGGAGGCCCTGGAGGAGAAAAGATGGGGTGACTGCGACAAGATCAGAAGCATGACCTTGGCTTGATCCGCTTGGCTGCCATCCATTCGTGCCACCCAAAACAATGAACCCCGGCCTTGACCAGCCTAGTCTGAGAAGGACGTGCGTGCCTACGATCCGGGAACGCAATTCCCTACCTCACCCAGCGCAACGGAAATGGCCAGGTGAGAACACAATCGAGCACGCATTCCGCGAGATCCGAGCTGAGCGAAGTAGTCACTCGACTGTCCTCTGCATCCATGGTTTATGCTCCAGATCAAGAGCCCGTACTGGTCTTTCCTGAGACAGCATCCGAATGTAGAACATTGCACCACTATAGACGAGACTCTAGATGCGTAAACCACGCATACCAATGACCGCTCATCATGGACAAGATAGATCAAGGCCGAGGCAGGGACGGCACAGGTCTCCACATATCGATAGTTGTTACGATGGGATTAGAAACGTCTGCCCCTCATCTGTTGTGTCGTCTTGTGTTCTCCTCTCTTGTTCTGTTCCATGCAAGATCATCTGGCATCGTTGGCACTACTGGTACCACTTTGTTTCGGCCGCCGAGCCGAAAAATGGTCTTGAGGTTGTTCCAGAGATGGAGCCCAGACTTTGGCATCCCCAGACGAATGCGGTCCTGCTGGTTGGTCGCGAGATTCGGGTACCGATCTCCATAAGAACAGAGTCCGCTGTGGATTTGCAAGGGGATGTATGCTGCCAGTTTGAACTGGCGGTATGCGGGCTTGCTTAGGCCGCTGCCTCTTCGGTCCAAGACCAGCGCGTGACTTGTTCATCTATAGGAGAGCATGCAAGAGACGTGGTATCATGGGAGTCTCGCCTCGTTCGAGGTCTTCGAAGAGGGTCTGTGTCTGACGTTTTACAACGGGGAAGTTCTGTAAGGACGTTGCTTCAACGTGTTACAGAGCCGCGCTTATCCCCTCAACAGGGTTGCCTATTGGGCCATCTCACTCTGTCGACCCACCCACCCCAGCTGCTGGGTACAGCGGCTCTTCAACGGGCGGCCCAGCGACGTGAAAGCCCCTGCTGGGTGCGGACCCCGGTACCCTGCAGGTCTCGCGAGCCCCTGGGCGTTCCGGGGCATTCCCCCCTCTGTCGCAAGAGCCTACTGCAGCGGCCACTTGAAGTATCGCTTCGTCCCAACCGCAGCCCCAAGCCGGCTAGGGGAGCTGAGCAGAGCCTCAATCGCGTCCATGTCGGATCTTGGCTGAGCATCTGCTATTGGCTGGTGCAAGATCTCTTGCGCGTACGGCGTGAATCCACTCGTTTGGACTGATGTTTAGATGTATCCAACGTCGAAACAAGCTCAGCATCCTTGTTTCGTTCTTTGGGCTAAAGATTAGAGTTGGCAAGGCCACTCCTCATTCGCGTGATAACAAGTGGCTGCTTCAGGGTGACGACAGAATTTGTATTTGGGTATTTACCTTATCTAGTATGGCACCGCAGTTGAGTCGTTGGCCCCGAACCTGCCTCGAGCAGTTAAGTCCTGTTTGGTCAGCAAATTGGTTGAACGAGCATTTTTTCAGCCTGAGCGGCGATGTCGAGGTTCGTCCCATGGCCATGTGATAAAAAGTACCGCCTGCTGTTAAGCGCATCGCATCAATGGCTACCAATGCCATGCCGAACCAATCCAGTAGTGATTAATGCAAACCCATATAAGTGTCCCAAAGGAGTCGAAAGGGCTGCAAGTCCAGTTGTGGACCCTGGTCAGTTTTGACGTTCCCGAAACTCGCTAAAGTCAGGGTCTGATTTCAGCTGGGTATCAGCCCTTGCCTGTCGTAGCTATCTTTACACAGCCCCAACCGTACGTCAAGACCAGCGAAGAGTCAAAGACTCGTCGGAATCAGCAGATGTCAACATATACAGCGGCGCTGACTCTATGACGTTATTTAGTATAATCTGCACTTTGCGCATTCGTTTAGAAACCTAGCTTGAGCCGCACTGTTCCTGTGATGCCCAGGAGATGGAGCTGTGGGGGGGCACTGGACCCGTCATGCAGGGCAACTCCAAGTCGAGTCCACATTCGACGGCCGGATGCGGTTTGCACTTTTGCATTCAATACCCGCGGTCTGGACCTTGGCGCATAACAGTAGCACTAGATTTTCAGTCCTACCACGCCCAAAGTGTGCTACCCGGCTCAAGCCTAGGTTGTGTGATGGGTGTACCTTCCCATGATTACGGTGTCTCTGGACGTTCACGACTTGTACCAAACACACTCAGATCCCCGGCGATCTTCATTATCACTTCACAGAATTTCATGAGGATCAGAGGATAGTGTCGATCATGAAGAGCACAGTTCAGTCTATTCCAGGCCAATCTTCACTCCGGTATGCTCGGAACGCCGACCAGGATCGCTTGCCTAAACTCATACCATACAATTTGATGTGTATGTCGGTCTGGTATGCCAAATTTGCAAAGGCGCTCTTTCATGTAATAGTGCGACGCTGGCTACGTGTCCTAATGATTAGACAATGTATCTCAGAATCATTGAGGGCAACGCAGGTCGTGGGTGTCAATCACCGGAACTCCAAGTCGCCGGCTAATCTAGCTTGAGTACTGCATTACAACCTGCCACTTAGTAATTCGCCTAGGTGTGAACTTTGCAACTCTCATCTGGTCAGATTATGCCACGGCCGGCCGGTAGATCCCCCAGGAATGCATACATGTCCATGAATGATTTGCCACTAGCATGTATCGTTCATCTTATCTTTCTAGGACATTTAGAGCCCTCTTGCACCTCTCAACCCGGAATGAAGGGCGCGACCAAACAGCCCATTCCATATTGCAGTCGATCGCCCGCTAGGTTACAGGGTAGCTTCCTGATATGGTGCTAGTTGAAGATCCCATTGCTGCTTATGTGCATCAGGGACGTGGAGGAATGCATTCAATCATGTCAAGCGTGATGGGTTGCTTTATGTCGAGGGCAGGTGAACGAGTAAGACGGACTCGAACCAGTTGTCCTCTCCAAAACTGAAATCTACTAGGAAGCTGATGGACCCTCCAAACTCCTGTTCCCACTACTGCGACAATGTACAATGCGGCGTGTCTATTGCACCTCAAAAATGACCACAATTCGGGCTTCCAACCCCAAATGTTGCTTCGGATTCGCCGAATTGTTCCTCCGGTGTCAAGCACCTTCAACGCTGAATGACGTGCAGTTCATCCACAGACTGGCTGCTTCCCGAGCGAACAGTCAGGGGTCAGGGATGATCTTCAGCCGAGGGACAATCCCCTGCGCAGCTTAACTTTAAAACTCGGCCCCGCTGAACTCGCCTCTGGAAATAATCCCTGTCAAGTAGCAGAGCCGCCATCCTCAAACCTCTTTCCGACAGTCTCAGACCTGCAAGGTTTCATTGCCGAATACCGCTGCAAAAAACTGCCCATTTTTGACGGTCGCGCATAAAAGCCTCTGTTTAAGATGTTTAAAAGAGGATAGTCTCATCTCAACAATCCCTTGGCCGCCTATGAATTCCACGCACCCGCGCCACCTTGCGATTGGCCCTAGGTTAGTAGGGCTTGGTCGCTGATGAAGACCCGTTTGGTGATTGTTCTCCTCCAAGTTCAGACGAACGTACCATCACATTCAGGCACGCTATATACCAATTCTAGCATATTCACGAATTCGGCCTGAGTTGATATAGCTGCCAAAGTCAGGCGCGTCTCTCGTTTACTCCTGAAGGTAGCAAGCGGTAAAGTAATTCGAGACTTCTGTAGATCAGGATTGCACAGCACAAGGTCAGTGAATATCGATATAATCATATTATTTAAGTGTGGTGCTTCGTGGTTGGTCTCGATAATACTCCAGGCCACTCCATTTCACACGTGACATCGTCTTTCATTAGTAATATATTAATCAAGAGGAAGTTTGGAATGCACCATTATCGCTGGGTATCAGTTACAAGGCTTGGCAAAATCGATTGGCAAGGGCACTGCGGTAGTATGCAAGGTTTTCAGGACGGTTCGGAACGATTCCGATCTAGTTTGTTTCATCTGCCAGGGTCCATGCAGCCCAAACAACTTGAAACAAGGTAAAGTCGGCATGCCATAACACACAGTTTGGTTATCGCCAGTGGTGATCCTGTGTCCTTAATTCTCACACAATGCTAGTTCCGAAAATTCCTGATCAAGACAGCACGTTCACGCGTGCTAAGCAGCACAAACAAGACTCCAAACTAGGTTGCTTACGAATATAAGGTCACTTTCTACTTTAGTAGCCTCACCAAGCCCAAGCGTCCAGCCATCGCTGGAACTGTAAGTTCACGGAACTGCGCTGTTAGAGACGACATCGCTACTATACAGAGAGCGTAGAGGGCTTTCAAAGGCCAGCATCAATTTGATACAACTGCGCGTGGGCCGCTGTTTGGTTTCGGCTTTCTTCAGTCACTCCTGGAATTCTTGGTGAAGTTTGAACTTGATCTGCTTGAAGAAGGCAGCCGTAATATGGTAGCTCAAGGTATCGTAATCGCCGAGCCTTTTTATAGATGCTGCGGTCATGCCTCTCAACTTCAAAGGATCTGGGTGATGACAGACGGGTTCTCCTGAAGTAGGCTTCAGTTTCCGTCTCACAACTTTGGCGGTTTATCCAAGCCACCAGTGCAATGATTGCTAGGGTTGACCTAGCTGCTCCACGTCTTCAAATTTGAATCTCTCTTCCGCATTGGAATAGTGTCATTCCTGGTAGAACCTTACTCCACTGGTTAGCGTATTCTGTCAAGCGCACTCGATGGTCAGGAGGCTGACTTAAACTGTTCTAGGATGAGGTTTTTGTAATCAGCCACCAAGGTGGTGCAGCTAGACGTCTGAAGGCGTTGCGGAGGCTGTTGATGTTATGATTTCTGGCTTCGCCCTGGGTATGGCAGCGAATATTGAGGTGGTGTTGGGAGCTCAGAACTGTCTGGCTCTAGGCTATTGCGTTCATGTGCTGAGGGCTATGCCCGTACTGAGAAGCCTGCAAGCCAATCCTGGACCGCTACTGGCGTTGGTCTTTTGTCCTCATTCTCTCAGATTGAGTAGCGGTGATTTCTCTCTTGACATTTTTCTGTATTGGAAATCTATTGAGCTTGTTTTGGATAAATCCTAATGGGAAATTAGTATGTTGCATTATTCTTGTGCCTGCGAGGATGTGGAAATAAACTATTCATCTCGCTAGAAACATTACTATCTTCCACATTGACAAGCCGCCGATCATGGCTTGGCTTCATTGATTGTGACAGTGGTCATAAGATCGTTTCGCATAGAGAAAGCATTAAGCACTTTCAGGGCGGCCGCCCCTCCGTACTCTGTTTCCTACAGGCGCAACTCAAAGCACCTAACAGTCTTGCTTTCTATAGAGGCAAGGATGGTCTTCCAACGTAGTTCAGCTAGCAGTCGTGGAAAGGGGGCGAATTGTTGCCTCTTCGAACCGTGACCCTTGTTCAGGTTGGTTACCAGCAGTGAGGTGCTGCACAATAAGGAACCAGGCGCCCGCCTTCAATCGATAAGGACATCTCCCTATAATATGTAACGCACTGTCACTTGCTCAATATATGGATGTGCAATTGCTATATGACTCTTCAGCGCAATACGTTCTTCCCGATCGGTCTAGGTTCCTCTAACTATGCAACATGGCATGAATCCAAAGAGGCTGAATCTTGTCCCTCGCATTATAAAGAAGAGAAGGAGACGACTATATATATCGGGCTCCCGTCGGTATCTCCTCTGAGCTCAGATAACCTTGAAGCCCCGCTATGACATGATATATTTAACTGAAGAATATTCCAACTCAAGTACCTCCTGTTATTGAGTAGGTGAGTCCTCTATAAATTACGTATCCCTTTAGATGAATAGAACCACACGTTTATAAGATTAAAGGTTAGTTTGGTTTTGCGATCTAGAGTTTATAACCTGAAGGTGGCGTTAACTTCGAGCGGTATATTATCGATTGGTGGCAACTAAGGTAAACGTACTTGATGTTTAAATACTTCTGGCGCTGTATTTAGACATCCTATGCAACCCAGCTGGTGTCACTCAGCTGTCGGCTTACCATCGGCTATTTATTTTCTCGCGGACTCTCCTGGGAATTTTGGTCTGTTTCTAGAGAAATGGCTGCTAGGCAGCCTGAAACCAGCCACGGGTCGATGCCGAAAGCCTCAGAGAATTGCATCATGGGTGACTCGCGCCCGACGGCAACCGATGACTCGACGAGGTTTCCTGGAAGGATAACAGTTGTTGGAATGCCCGCGTCTCTGGCCGCTTGTTCGATTTTATCCTTGGCCTCCCTCACACGGACCCGCAAGTCTGGCTCTTCGCTGCGGTAAGCTAGATCGGATGGTATAAAGAGCTTGACATTGGTATGTGTGATGGCATCAATCAAGTCATACTGTGGCTGTATTCCCTCGTGGCCGACCAGCGAGCTTGCATCGCGTTAGAAGCACTCCGCAAGGACGAATTCAAACCCAATGTTAACTTACATAACAACATCAATGTTTTCCATTGCAGCTATGAGGGCATCTTGATCGCCCATGTCCACTTCAAGTACTTTAACACTAGAAGGGAGCCTGCTGAGATCTGAGTCTTTACTTGTCTTTGACTGACCAATACATCTTCTTTCTTCTTTTCCACATAAGACTTTCACAGGTACTCTAGAAGCCACTAGAGCCTCCACGATCGATGAGCTTGCCCGTCCGCAATGGCCGTACACTGCGATTTGGTTCCGTGACATCAGAGCTGAAAGGAAGGCGAGGCCGAGCAGGCGCCCTGTCTCATAACTACAGTCAGCTAAATGTGTTCAAGCACCATCGGTTGTGTAGACCAGGACTCGGTTCCCTATTTAAGTGTCAATATTTGCAGGCTTTCCGTGCGGCGATGATGCGCGGAGATGGCTTCCGTGGAAGTCTCCGAAGAGTCTTATAGGCTTGGTGTCGACTTGGAGTTTCCCAAGTTACTTGCTACGCCACACAAGGATTCCTATTAGTTAAAGGGTCCCCTGCATTCCCTTCGAAGGAACCTTCATATCTGGCTAGTTTAGGAGCTTTGATGTTTATTTCTGGCACAGGTACGTGGGTCTACCGAACCGGGGTGCTGCAATCAAGGATCGGCATCCCGCTGCCACCATTCCGAAATCCAGCGCGGCTCTCGCCCCAAGCTCGTCACCAAATACCGTATCTTGCCCTATCGTACGTATCGCCAAATACTTTTCGAAGTTTGGGTAGGATCTATCGCTAGATGTTCTAGATCAATAGTGCCGTAACCTTGATGCATGGTGAAGAGCAAATTGGCAGGGTGCCCAGCCTGTCGAGCTCTCGTGTCCCCGCAATTCCAGGTCAAAGATCGTTTCGCGAAACTCCTCCTGGTCCAGATACCCAGCAAAGTTCAAATGAAGCATTGGCAGATATCGGGCGCTCTCTTAGATATGCATCTTTCTAAAAGTCCTTCCCTTGTCGTAGCATTTGTCGCTGCTGAACCAACGCGTTGTAAACATACTGAACGAGTCAAGTTTTATCAAGAGTCAGTATGTTAGTAAAAGCGAAGGGTTTTAACATTAAATAACGCAAAGTTTTGTCACCCCGGCAACAAATCAGGTTGTCAATAGCACTAGTGGTTTAGTGGTATAAACCTCCAATGTCAAAGAGATCCTATTGCCGCTCTAAGTTTCGTCCAGAACAGGCGCAGGTAGTACACAAGAGTACCTGAAGAATTGGCAGATGAACTGGAGCGTCACTCAAGGGTACCTGCGGTCCTCAAATAGATACCAACGGCCGATGACACAGGATGCGGATATGGATGCTAACCGCGGGTCTTGCCCCATAATTCATCAATCGACGATTGGCTGAAGTAGGATTACTCTGTCGATCATCATTTCGTATTCATGCTTGGCTTGTGATAAACGTTGTTGCCTAGTTTACTGATTCCTGCTAAAGTCACACACTGTTGGGAAGAGGCTTCTCTTCTTCCTCTCTTCTCCTGTCTTGTGCGCGAACGATCCATCTTTGGCGCTCACCTATATGCATCTCGGCCACACCCACTTGATACAGTCCATGTAAGTACTTCGGCCAGCCACATTCGGCACTTAACCGGAGTCATGCTTCAGCTGGGCTGGGACGGTATTGCATCATTGGCTGTTACAGTATTGATCTTCTACAAAAGCGATTTGGTACTGCCACCTTTGGCGTGCCATGGTATGTACTTACGGATGACAGTATTTCGTGGCTGAGATGCATAAATGTGAGCGCCAAAGATGGATCGTTCGCGCACAAGACAGGAGAAGAGAGACACTCTTCTGTATCGCCCAACACTCTGACTCCATCTGTTATACAAAACAGCGTTCCGACATGTATCTCTTGCCTCAGTGAAATATCAGGGCAATGTCCTGCATGGTACAGAGCAGAGCAGACAATGCGTTGAAATGCTTTGGAACCTCGTTCTGCAATCGAGGCACGTCTATGGCGAGGTAGCTGGTCTTGCGATCACGACCGTCCGTCCGAATTGAGGATCTACATACTGTACCTGAAACCTCATTGATAGCCTGTCGAATTTAAAATGAAGACATTATGTACACTTTTATATTTATGCAAATTATTCAAAAATTATATTTCATGTATAGTCACGCCGTGCGGCAGATCCACACCAGATCATGCATTTGACGAAGTGGTGAAGAAGTGAGGAAAGAGGTGCAATAGATCGTACGCAATGACAATCACGAGCAGGATATGCTTTGCCCGGACATGGTTTGCATTACCAACATCAAATATTGCTCCGTATAGTAATACAAGCTGCCCTTGCAACGGATAATTCTTTCGGTTCTTGACCAGCCCAATGCTTATTCGCTGTTGCTCAGGGAAATAACTGTTCGTTGAAGATAGCGATGCAGTCGTAGGACTGGATGTCTTTTGGAGCCCAAGCCTGAGCTGAGCCCGAGCCTGAGCCCGAGCTGTCCCCGAGCTAGAGCACAGACGTTTGAAAAACTGTCTGGTTCTGCTGGGCGACACAGAAGAGTGTCGGGCGACACTGTAATTCAAAGGGTAATTGATTCCGCTGTTCTGGACAAGGAGTGCCCGGGGGAGGGGGGACGGCACTCATGTTCGACTTCATCAGGGGTCTGCTCGATATTTGGCCTAGCCTTCATGAGTGGCATGATACCGAATCCGCACTAGTTATATCGGTACTTTGCTTGGCCGTTCTGGTCAAAGTGGTAGACTGTATTACAGTACCTCAATGTTTTGATTGCCGAAGTACTTGCTGATGACAGTATCAAGTGGGTCTGGTTGGGATACATGAATGTCAGCGGCAGATATGGATCATCCGTGCTTAAAGACAAGAGGAGAGAGACAACAGAAAGAAGCCAATCTTGATTGTGAGTTTCACGTTCGCATGTATACTGCACTGGGAGCACTAAATATATGTTGCCAATCCACACTTCTCCAGAATTGATCTGGTGATGAGCACAGCTTCCCAACTCCTCGCCCTGATATTATCATGGCCTGAAAACGGATCATGTTTGTATCAAGGTCTATTTGTATATCGTCATATTTGGACATGCTAAGATGTCGCTGACGAGAGGCCATTTCCTACCCATAACTATTGTGACCTCAGCATTGTTATTCAGAAGACCGTATTTGGCCATTCCGATATGTGTTCCAAGAATTTTATGTGCAGTTTTTATGTATGAAACGGTTCTGTGCTTGGACACGAATTGTCTTCGATATTCATAACGTGCTTGACTACTGTGCCGCTGCTGGAATACTGTGTATATGCCTTGACCGGACGTGATCATCCTCTCGAGTATTGAGATTTACTACGATATAACTTGTACCACACGTACAATAAACTTGTCATCGAATTATCATGAGCTCTGGAACAAGATAATCAATGTCGTCAGAGACTTTGCCGGTTCATTAGCTACGCCATGGCCGTTCATGTTATGGTCATGGACTTGATCTTTATAAATGCATATGCATATACTTTTCAGGCGGAATCCCTTCCGAATCCTTGCGATCATCATATAGAGAACTATTCTCCATATACGAAGACGACACCGTCTACTCCTGGTGAAACTGATCTTCCCCGAGCAGGTCCATAAAGTTCTCTTGGTTCTGCGTCGAGGCATACTGTTCAAGACCATCCTTCAAGTCCGTGACCCATGTCTCCATATCGTTGCTTTGTTGGCGGAAACTAGTCAAGTTAGCGGAACGTGTTTAAGTAGGTCTTATCAGACCAACTCACCCTTGGGCCATGTTGGTGGCTCTGGCCAGGATGGTAACGTTAGTCCAATAATCAGCCTGGCTAATACCCGTAGAGTAACTCACACTCGCTTCGCACTACAATGCTTCCTGTCAGTAATCTCAGGCCAGTAGGAAAGAATCAGGGTTTGCTCACGCTGCTGCGGATTGACTTGAAAGCCGTTGAATACCGGCCGAGAGTTGATCCAGTCTGGCATGTATCTGTTCGAGCTGGTCCTGCATTCTTCCATAATGTTAGTGAGCGTTTGCTTTCTGTGAAGCGAGGCACACTGACTGGGGTGCGGGATCAAGTTCCTCGTCTTCGGTAAGATCAGGCAGAATCGAGAGGCCTGATTGACCTGCACGCATGGGCTGGTTGATAGATATAGAAGGTACTGCTGGTTGGATGTTACCCGGCGCGGTTTGATGATTGTTCGGGACAGAAAGGTTGGTGTTTGGCCGTGCCCGGGTTGTTGACATCCCTTGCTGCTGGGCTGGCTGCGCTCGGCGATTCTGCTGCGGTCGATTCATTGCGGTGGTGGTACGACTGGTCGACGGGGATGTTCTATGTGACAAAGTGGAAGGTCTGAATGGAGGGTGCTTGAACTGGAAATTCAAGTGAGAGCGATGGTGTGTACATGTATTTTAAGTTGGTCATTAGATATGTTCTGCAGGCCCGTAAATGAACCAGAGAAGAGTAGGGCAATTTGACTACACGACGAGGACTAAAGTGGGTAAACTCGTAGCACATGTATCTCATACTTCATATTCTCGGTCAGACATAATTGATTTAAGTCAGTACTGTACTGTATCTCATTCAGTTCAATGTCCCATCGGCTTTGGCATATACCACTTCCAGCCTTTCAGAAAATGCCTCACTCCTTAACCCCGAAGCGTACCCTGGTGTTTGCTTCTGAACTATTGCTCTGACCAACGCCGGCATGTCTAGTTCAGTCGCCACGCTCAGTAGACAGTTCCGCTTCACGGCTGGGAGTCGAATTGTTCGGATATACCGTCCGGATGCCGGCGTTAATGCAGAGCCAAGCCACGAGATGAACATAGATTTACAAGACCAGACGTGATCAACTTGCAGCAAGTGGAGAAAGCAGCCGCCCGGAGTCCGGTGATGAGATCGGAGAAGTTAACCTGTGCCCTTGCACTTTCTTGTCGCCAAATGCACACGTCCGAGTGCTGTAATGTGACCAAAAGTGACTAGGTCTGCTGGTGCTGCCTCACTAATGTCAGGAAATGTCATCAACGCATGCCCGCAAGTGGCCGCGCAGTTGGGAAACGAATCGCTGGCCAAAGGGCAAATTCTTGGTCCACGGGCTGTCAACCATGTGCAGTCAGATTAAGCTCAAGCGGCACTGGGTCAGAATGGATCCTTGGGACCGAACCGTCCTATGGCTGGAACCGACTGCGGGGCATGTCCTAGGTCGTGGGATTGAACCATCCCTTGCTGTCATCTGCGGGGCGTGTCTAGCGACTAAAGTGACTCCAGAACCGTCCTTTAGCCCACTCGAACGCGATGCACCGAACCAGCCCAAAGTCCGCATTGCACGTCTACAACGTGACGCACCTCAGGTCGAAAATGAGCGATGGAAAGGGGTAAATAACTGGATGTCGAATTCCTGCCCAGCGACGACCTGAAGTCGAATGAGGCTGATGCACAAACTGGTCGGGATCTGCGGGGCTGCAGTCGCCTGCGGGGCATGATCTGGCGCAGGCACAGAAGGCTGCCTGCAGCTGATTACAGCCATTGGGGCACCATCGGTCCACTGATAGCTTGTTGACGGCGCGTAACACGCGACAGGGGGGTAGAACGCGTCCCACCTGTCAATGATGAACTTGGTCTCTCGGCCCGCTTCAACTTCACTGCGTGCCCTCTTTAAGTTCCCCAAAAATCCTCACGGAGACCACTTTGATGCCTGTCACCTATTGACTCTGCTGTCGTTTTCTGTCTGCTGTCGTGTTCTGTCTTCTGTCGTTTTCTAGCTGCAGTCGTTTTCTAGCTGCAGTCCTCTTATACATCTAGCTGTCAATAACTGACAACAGTCGCAAAAGTGTCTGCTGAAGGGGTTGTTTAGAATTGGACAATGGTCAGATTCGCTTCCCGCCAACAAGTGATGCAGGTTAGAAGTGACACACATGGACGAATAGTGCAGCGCATGTAATCGAAGGGGATCCGGACGCACGAGACGACTTTGCCGGTACTCAATTGACTCCTGGCCCACCAACACGTAACTAGCCGCGGGGTGCGATTGTTGATGCCCCGCCATAGCGTGACCTTTGGGGATCGATCCACTTGGGACGTATCCACCTACTCCCACAGCCAAACTTTGGGTGGCCTTTTTCAGCCCACCTAATCGATTCTGCGGTCCTCTTCTCGCTGCGAATACTCTGGCTTATTCCTACCAAGGGTGAGATCCAACAGAGGGCTAGCGTCTCGCGGATCTCCCACCAGAAGTGCTCGTCGTCGAGATCAAGACGCCCCTTGTTGTGAACAGTGTTGATTTCCATAGGTTCTTCATACTGTCTTGGCTCCTTCAATAGACGACTCTGAGGGCGACAAGTCCAACTTGTCCATCCATCGCAAGACTAGAGACATGGCGAAATGGCCAACGATCTCACTTACTTATCAGTGCCTTTGATGGCTATGCTGCCTATATCGGCACTCTTCCATTAGAAGAGCGCAAACGCTATAATGTTGGTTTACAAGATCCTTCCGTATTTGAAGAAATCCGCGAGAAGCTTCATATTATTCCCAACGAGCATATATATCCAACATTCTACGAAGGCGCAACTCAATTCCACGGTCCTACGGAAGAATCAGTACTTGGTTGCAATTACTTTTATAAGAAACCATGTCTTTCTAGCTATAATGGCAACAACACGATCGCCGCAGAGGTCCTCGCTGAAGTGAAAATCAATGAGAGGCTTATGCGGCACCCACATCCCAATTTAGCCGTCTACGTCGGCTGTTTCGTGCGCGAAGGCCTCATTGTCAGTCTTGTCTTCCGGAGATATTCTCAAACCCTCTACGAACGTGCCGTCGATGCGGTGAGCCTCGCCAGATTTTCCATTGCGGACCGCCACAATTGTATGGACAGCATCGAGGCTGCAGTCAAGCATATACACGGGCTCTGTCTGGCACATAATGATATATCCCCCTCAAACATCATGTTTGATGACGAAAATAGGCCAATACTTCTGGACTTCGACTCCTGTGCCCCTATTGGACACGATAGAGACAAAGGAGGCCATGTCACTGGTTGGAGAGGACCTCTCTTTGACACCGGACCAGCGTTCAATATCTCCTCGACCGAATGCGATGCATTGGCAATCCAGTTCTTACGGAAGTGGCTCGAGGAGATATAACTTGAAGTTCACAATCATCGGTGGAACACCGTCAAACATGGCGTTGGCACCAACATAGTGCCTATTGCGGTTCCAACGCAATGTTACGGTGGACCACCCGACCAAGAGCAAGCCAAGAGCCTGACAGCTGTCAAGAAGAGTGCCAGATGATAAAAGCTCGATTCAGGTTGCTTATGGCTTGCAAATTGCCCCCCAAACAGTCTCACTACGTGAGGAGACTTGACTTCTTAAGATAAGTATTGGAAGGCCGCTGTTGACGTGCTGGAATGACCTTGGAATTCTAATCAGGGTGAGGTTTCATTCGTGGGTGTTTTCGAAGAAGTCGATTCGTCATCGCTGATTTTAGGATGGGGTTGAAGTGGGTGTGGGCTTTTGGCGCAGGAGATACTACCTCGCTGGTGAGCAACAATGGCCGTCTAATTGAATTCATTTATGGTTATCATCGAAGACCTCGACTTGCTCGAGTATATCTATCATGTGAACCTGGTGATGTAGTTCTGAGCATGGCCAATAGGGTTTAGATTGAGTTCCGCCATGAGAAACCCTGATACGGCAAGCGCTGGCAAAATTTATGTGATTTTGCATGTACGGAATCAATTTCAAAAGTGTTCACCGTGCCCACGAATAAAGCTAGTTACCTAGTACCCTTAGTATGGTGCAGAATCACTATAAATCATAGTGAGCTCAGGCTTTTAACGGTGTCGAAGTGACTTGCTTACAATTAAACATTGCCTGGAGTTATAGCGCCTACTCCATAGAGGAGCAACACATAATTTAGTCTGGTCCTTCAACGTCAAAGCACAGACCATTGTCGTAGACCTCTAGAGCAAGGGCAAGAACACAAGCACCGAGCACCCAAGCACCCAAGCACCCAAGCACCCAGGCACCCAAGCACCCAAGCACCCAAGAGCCCAAAGGACGCGGCAACAAGGATCATTCTTGCCAGGGCGCATGCAAGGATTGCTGAACCTATCATAGAATGAGAGACGCCCAAGTTGCCTTCAATGTAAGGTTACCCTGTGTGCGGTGGATGATATTTCGGGTCACATCTGATCGACCAACATGAATAGCCTGGTACATGAGGCAGTTAGCAGGATCAATGCATTAATGGTAGACCTCGGTCTTGGGGTACCCGATGAGAACTAGGTAGAGCATCGGTCCCGGCGTAACCTATTTTCATAGAGCTCGAATATGTGACCCGTGCCTACAGCAGCGAACGAGATGCGAGACAACTGTTCCAAACGTAGCAAGCGTCCGCAGGCTACTTTTGTGTAAGGTACAGATGTAGCTAGGATATTGCATGGCGAAAGGTGAGAAGCTAGGTCTCCTTACTACACCCGATACTCTGGTATCATGGTCGATCTACAATGTCAAAGACACCTGTCAGATGCTGGGTATCCATCCAGATTATAAGGTGGGCCCACCCCTTCGCTCGCACACCCCTTCAGATCCACTTGACGCGTTGACGCGACCGCCACCGCGATCCATACTTCTACAACACATATCTCGTCGCCCACATGTCCAATTAAAATGGTTTCCAATGCATTAAAATCGTCAGGTTTCAGGCTTCTACTAAGCCTTTCCTTAGTGCCCAACTACGTTGTGTAGTTAGAGCCTTGCATGTTCAAACTGAATTGCATGAACAGTCTTGCGGAAGGGCAACAACACGGAGCAGCCAATTGTCACATGGGACGGTGGAAATCAACGTCACGAATAATGCATGAGAAGATGAGCGAAGGCGCGCCCATGTCCTGAAATGACAAAGTCTGCTTCTGGGTAGCTGCAGTCGTAAAAGCTGCGTTTCTCGATGGCGAGTTCCTGCCACCCTACAAGCTGCTTGCGACGAAGATAGCCCGAGCTGGGCGCCCAATACAGCGACGGGTCCCCGTCGCTTTAATAATCGACGGACCCGTCGCGATAAGGTCACGTGAGCTCTACCGGCTGCAGCTGCTTCAGCTGTCAAATACTCAAACGCCAAAAAGTGTAACCAGGCTCTGAAAAAAGGAAGAAAAATGAATTAAACTTATCGTCACCTAGAATACAAAGACTGTAGACGAGCTTGGCATTGCCCATACAGAGATTTAAGCCGGCCAAGGACCCAAGAGTAATCTCCTTCTGCTTCCCCACTCAAAAACGCGAACCCGATACAAAAGGACCGTTGGCATGCATCAACCCCGATCATGTCCAATAAAGGCATTTTATACTTATTTGTTTTATAAGTACAGTCCAATATTAAGACGTCCGGGTATGCATGAAGGTAGGCTAATGACTTGGGATGTGTGAACAGAACAGCCGTAACTCGGCCCTTTAGGTCGGTCTGGAACTGGCTCCAAAATCCTTCCTCAAATAGCTGGTTTGCAAGTGCCTGTATAGTGCTTTGGCCTTCTAGCACCTGTCGCTTGGCATCCGCGATTTTGTTATATATATCTTGTTTTGTTGCGATCGTATTATACGCTTGACGCATATATGTTCGGATGTTCTTGGGGGCGATACCGGCACTGGTAAGATCGATCAGGGTGGTGTTTTCCGTGGTAGATAGCTCTCGAAGGACTGGGTGTGAAATAGGATGTGGGCTTGGTGCATGATTATGGGAAGCGAAACGTTGATCAGGGCGGTGTTTTATGATCCACAAACCACCTGATGATTCTTTGGCTATTACAGAGAACTCACAGTCGGTGCCTCGGCTACTCGTATTCCGCTGCCGTTCTTTCGACGGATCAGGTGGCTTAGTACGACGGTCGCAACAGTATGTGACCGTCAGCTTGCCGGATTTCTCTTTTGTCGATCTTCCATTGATAAACGCGTAATGCCTTGGGGCAGCCCATGCGTTGATCGCTTTGAACAAAGCATCTCGAGATTCGTATGTGTTCTCAGGTGGAAGACAATCGGCTGAAAACGTCATGGCGGTAGCGAACGAATAGAATTGCTACTGCGCATAAGAGCGTGTATACAGGGAAACGGGCAAAAGGGGTCGCCCTGGGCCCGTCGCCGTACCAAAACTGATCACGTGACCTTATCGCGACGGGTCCGTCGATTATTAAAGCGACGGGGACCCGTCGCTGTATTGGGCGCCCCCGAGCTGCAAACGGACTAAAGCCCAAGCGTGTCTGGGAGTCCTCTAATTCGACTTCATAGTGGGGGACAAACACCCCGTCCTCCGAAATGGACTTGGATCACATTGGAGCATGCACGCGAGTCCTGTAATGTGCCTGCCAAACGTCCCTATTGAGGCTCGTTTCATTTGGTCCGCCGGCCAATAGGGCCATTCAGAATATCCTCGAAGCGGACTCTGGCCGACCGTCCTGTCATGAAGGACTGTACCCACTGGATGAGGAGATCGGGCCAGCCTTGCTCCCTCATCCGTACTACGAGCCGACCCGCGAGAGCGGCGTTGAAAGCTCACTTCACGTCTGCGGTGACAAGTGTGGCTACAAGACCCTGGTCGAGGGCCTGTTTGATGTCGTGGATCAGTGCCGCGACGAGATCTGTCGCCGACCACTTCGGCAGTGCTCCAAAGTGCTGTGACGCTAGGATCCCATGTTCGACCACGGTCCACGCCATCCTTCGTGCCAGTAGTCTCTCCAAGCCCTTGCCAAGGCATGATAGCAGCGAGATCGGTCGGTACGTTCCAGGGTCAGAGTAGTCCTTCTTCCCGGGCTTGGGGATCATGACCACCTCCGCCACCTTGAACGGCGCCGGGTGGTGGCCATTGCTGATGCACGTCTGGAAGAGGTTCCTGACCCGTTCTCCAATCACCGGCCAGCATGCCTTGAGGATCCTGACCGTCAGGCCGTCCACCCCCGGTGAGGTGCTGCGACTACCGACTGTGCATGCTTCTACTTCCTCCGAGGTAATTTCCAGGTCGAAACGGATGGATGTTCTCGGCTGGACATTGACGGACCAGGGGTCGTTGATGTCGTTAGAGGCATTGTTCCGTTCCAGCGTTGCTTTCCTTAACGCTTTTGCTTCCTCCAGCTGGGACTCGTATGTAGTTCCATTTGCTGCGATCGGCGGTGCACTCAATCCCAAGCTTAGCTTGTGCCATGACACGATCCTAAATATTTCTTTCTGGTTGTCCGCTCCATCGATGAGAGCTTGCCAGTGTTCCCTCTTCGCCCGACGGACCACCCGTCGGAACTCCCTTTTCGCCGCCACCTTCTCCTCTTGACTTATCATGCCTTTGACTGCCCTTCTGTACTCCTCGACAGCGGTCCTGCATTCATCGTTCCACCATGCCGTCGGCCTGAACCGACCCGTTTTCTGACCTTTTATCTTGACACTGCTCTGGATAATATCGCATAGGACTCGCGCGTAGCCGTCGAGTTGCAATCCCGTGTGGCCAAGTTCAGGCAATTCATGCAGTCTGCTTTCGACCATTGCCACGAGGTCAGGCAGATCTTCGTCTCGCACCACCCCTGCATCCATGTTCTGTATGGGACTCTGGATTACTATTGATCTAGAGGCACTTACCCTCTGTCAGTATGAAAAGCATAAGTGCCTCTAGATCAATAGAAATCCAGAGTCCCATACAGAACATGGATGCAGGCAAAATGATTTTCAACCCATCAGTGGCTACAATTCTCACGGCGTCTTATTTGACAGTCTGCACCGTATCACTATACTTTTCTTGGTTTTCCTTCACTCAAGTGAGCAACGAAACACAGGGAATATTCACTATAAAGGTACTGATTTTGTGGAGGCCGGCAAATTAAGCTAATGAAGCATAGTTCTCGAATCTCTTCAACGGAGTGCCTCAGCTTCGAGATTTGAATATCGAGAATCCAACCAATGTAATTCAAGGCTTGCCATCAATCACGGCTGCAGGGAGCATGCCCACCGTTGTGATCAGTGAGGGCAGCAATACGGCCACAAGTATCGTAGGCCAAGCCTCCAATTTAGCCACTAGCGCTGTAGCAGCCGGCGAATCACTAGTCTCTGAGGTCACTCCTCGCAATTGCTCATTGGGTACTCGGTCTGCTTGTGTCGGATATTCATCTCACTCTGATTGCTACAGCCTACCTCTAAATGGTTCAGATCCCTTCACTAGTATATTGAGGAAGGTCGCAAAGTCAGATTTCTCCCTGAAAATTCTGCAAGCAATACCCTCGGTGAAAGAGCTCATAATTGTGGGAAGTGTTTTTGTCATTGTATCGCTGGTCGGACTGATACGCAAAATGCCATTTTCTCGAATTTTCCTCTTGTGCTGTAGCGCAGCAAGTATGTTGTTCTTCCTGATCTCGGCATCTTTTATCTGGGCTTCGATACACGGCTTTTCTGTTTTAGCGTCTGCAGTTGATGCAAAGCTAGAAAATGGGCCAATGCTTATGGTATCCATTGTAACATTTATTTGCGGTGTGGCTAGTATTATACTGTCGTTCTTGTTGTTTCTTTGGGATTAGTCAAAGAAGTTTCAGATCAGGTAGCCATCATAGCACCAAGTTTTGATTTTGATGACTTTTAGTGGCGCTGGTCATCTTAGAGTCCCAATCCTGACTAATTCTTCAACTACGTTTCTCGCTGCACCCTGTCCGTGATGGTGGCTGCAAACCCGTCTTGCAATTTAGATACAATCAGAAAGGGATAGTAAAGCGTAGACATCTATCAACGCCCTTTATGGCCTAGTTCACAAATGGCTATCTTCACTACCAAGGACATACTCGCCGTATGAGGATTCATCTGGCTTGTGCAACGCAGACGTGACCCTGTCGCATAGAAACGGGTGAATTCGCGAAAGGTATACCGTGTAAATAGCTACCTTTACTCTGGCTGATACATAAAAGGCGTGTCTCGGGGGTCCCTTAAGCTGAACCCGGCATCGACTACCGTGTGGATGCCTGTGTGGCTCGCTGATGAGACACCACATAGATGACCATTTCGGACAAGCGAGACAATTTGTATACGCCGAGAGAATTTCCGATAATGGAAGGAGTCTGAGCTTTGATGATATGAATAGTACACGCATACTGGGCCCATTTCACCCTGCCTTGCCAGATCAGAGCCTCAATTGCTATGTCGCACAATGCGACTCTGATTTGCGAACCTCCTCTAAAAGACCATACGGCATACAATTTGGAACCTTTTAAACTCCGTTATAGGCCATTGGGAGTTTGGAATCGCGGATATAAGTTATATATACCCTATGCTATGCACAAGCCTCTACATGTGTATTCTACAGAGCACTCAACACAATGAACCATAGAACATTCCGTAAACCTGAATACACTAGGAGCGGTTACATGCCAAAAGCTAGAAGAACTTCATTGCAAGGTAAACACTCCACCCATAATCATGGAATTCTTGAGCTTTGATGGAATATTGCCCCGTTATTGTTGAAGGATTACCCAGCGAACTTCTTTGCTCAATCACAAACAGCATATCATATCGTGACGGCTTAGCTCTTTCCTTAACTTGTCGCAGTATGAAAGAGAGGATTTTACCGCGACTCTACATCAACGACGCCCAGGATAGCCCTCCTGGCACCACTCCTTTCGCCTTGCAGTTCAGTTGTTGGCATGCTAGGATGAATGCCTACGAATTGTCAATCGGTGCGATGAAGCAAACAAAAAAGGACGTACGCGATATCATAAATCGTGTGTGTGACGTCAGGAAACTAGACAAATTTGGGGCTAGGAGAGGCGTCGTTACCACAGAGGACTACGGCCTCATTTCGATATACTCAGGTGAACCCAAGAGGCTCAGTACTCTGTTAAGTCTGCGTCTTCCTACGTTTCCAAGAATTGGCTGCCGCGCATGCTCCAGGCGTTATAGTCAAGTGGATCCCCGGACACCGGGACATCGAAGGAAACGAGGCAGCTGACAAGCTGGCAAAGGACGGGGCTATGATGGAAGCAGCGAGTGAAACTTGGCCGACGGTCGCGTGGGCACGCCGTCAGCACAAGAAGCAAACAAAGGACAGCTTTGCGGAATGGTGGGAGGAGCAAGACGAACCACGTTACAGAGAATTCAAGTCGTATGCAGTGGTGTCCAAAGGGCTCGTCTCGCTGAAGAGAGCAACGATACACCGGCTCCTAGCAGCAAGATCAGGCCATGGCGACTTTGCTCGTTACCATGAGCGATTTGAACACGCAGACGCGAACAATCACTGCAGCTGCGGAGAGAAGAAGGCGCCAGAACACGTTTTCTTCTGCCGCAAGGTACAGAAGCACCGACTGCTGCCCAGGTATGCGCCACGGGCAGCGTATCTACAATACTTGGGGGAGGAGAGCGCGAAGTGGGCGAGGTTTGTGGAGGGTATGGAGTTCTTCACGAGAATATGTCCCAGATAAGGGACTGAAGGAGAAAGAATAGGACGGTCGGAAGACCGACGGGCGCAATAACGAGGATGGGCACGTGAGCGCCGGTGCATGTAGATAGTCATAGATACCTTCACAACCCTGCGATGTACGGCTCTGGGAGGCGTGGCTGGCCCTGAGAGGGACGTTCCCCACGATAAATATAAACAAACAAACAAACAAACAAAGTGCACTCCACTGCAAATTTTGGATACCGCAGACGAGAATAACATTTTCTGTTGAATGGCCTTTGCTCATTCATGCGAATCGTGGGGGTGACGACAAAGATAACTTCTATTTGGCGCATCGTACGAAGGGAAAGAAAACACGTTCCTTCCTTCGTACGTATACTAAATCGTGTCCAGAGTACACAGCCACAGCCAGGCTGTGGCTGTTGTGGCGTGTGTTCCTACCCCTATATAACAGCTTGTACCAGACCGCAGCCCAATATTCCAACATTTTCCCAGTCGCGTTGCTTGGAACCACGCATAAAGGCTGATAGGAGCGGCCCTGTGTGCACTACTGAATCCTCAGGCCGCTGTGAAAGATTTTGTGAAATGTTGCCTATAGCATCGATACCTTGCTAGGCTACGCGAGGAAAGGGCTAGGCGGAAGTAGGTACTTGAGGAGAGGCAGACGGGTGCTATCGAGGAAGGTAGCAGGACTCTGCGATTAAAATGGCAAGAACAGTGACAAAGCAGCTCCATGCGAGATCGAAGGAACGCAGTTGATGGAAGAAACGCTACCAAGCTTGAGTCTGCTTCAATGAAAAGGTACTCTTAGCTCTCCTCGGTGGCGTTGTCGTGGTTGTACGGTCATACAGAATTAAGATTCGCCCGAACGGAGAACTCATGCCTGTGAATGTAAAACCCTCAGGGCCATCCAAACCATGTTTCCTCTTCCTCCGCACCGCACATACCTGCTGGTGTTTGGGCGCCGGCCGGAGGACCGCTTGGTCAAAGTCAATCACCATGACCCGCCCGCGCTCCACGTTCCACAGCAGGTTGGCGTCGCACAGGTCCCCGTGGTTCACCCCCGCCGCCCACACCACCTCCGACGAGCGACGCCCCTGCACCTCCAGTTCCGCCGCCTCCATGCCCGCCTCTGCCGCTCTCTCGCCACCCCACGACATGAGCATCATATGCACCACCCTCCTCGCCCCCGGTAGCACATAGCCCCAATCCAGGTGCACAGGCACCACCCAGCCCTCGAGCGTCGCCAGCCGCGCGTAGACCTGGCACTCGTGCTGCAGTCGCTCGAGACCACCCGCTAGTGTCCCTTTGCCGACGAGGGTGTAGCCATATGCTGCGATTTCCACTTTGAACAGCACGCTTATCGCTCCCCTCTTCCCCCACCCACCCAGCTCTAAGCAGCCCCGGTAGGAATTGTCGTGCAGCTGCGTACTAACCAGGCGTGTGACCTCGTCGGCCGTGATAGGGTGACGTGGACTGCCTCCGGCCGCGACACGATGCGCCAGTACATTCGGGCAGTCGTCGTCGAGGGCCCAGCCCCTCTTGAGGCCGAGCAGGCACGCCTGCGAGCAATATTGCCGGCTAAGCGCCGACTGGCGCGTCTCCTCTTCCCCAGAGCTGCTATCGGAGCTGCTATGCGCTGGGCCGCCCTTCCGCTTCTCCACCGGCCTTGTCCTCGGCGGCGGCAAGCCATCTCCCGGCTCGTCCTCATTCTCGCTCTTGTCATCCTGACGAGGCGACGCCGGTGCTCTACAGGTTGTCCTCGACCGCAAGGCCACTTTCCGGCCAATGGGGCTTTCGTGGGATATAAAATCGGGATCCGCTCGTTCCAGAGGCGACGATGACGCCGGCTGCGATGACCCCGTCTCCTCGGCCAAGGAGAACTGTGCGGCACCTTCGTACGGCTCTGGCCATGTTTTCAGGACCGCCTTAGCACTCCCCAGAGCTGCGTCGAGGACAGCCCCCTGAAGCGCATCCGATTGGAGACTCAACATACAAAAGCTGCTGAGCTGGGCCACAGCCGTGTACGTCCGTTTTTCGGCCCAGTCTTCGCACGACGCGTCGCTCACATCTTCACTGGGCACAAACGGGTAACAGAACAGCGTTTGCGGGTTGGCCTGGTCGACGTGGAGTAGCAGCAGCGACTCGCCTGCCGCCACGTAGCCATACCCAACCCCGTAGGTGACCATGTAGTCAAAGACTTGGGTGGGCGCCATGGCCAGCCGCGCTTCGGCTCCGAGTTGCTCTTGCTCGGCATCCGTCCTCGATGTAGTCCTGTTCACTTGTTCGACGACATCTATAAACAAGCTTTCCTTCACAATGGCCAGTTTCACATGCTTGGCCGCAATTTTGTGAGCGGCCTTGTAGTCGTAGATAAACGCCACGCTTTCGTCCCCGCCGGGCCGCGTTCGCAGCCCGGCTCCATCCGGGTTTGTTGTCCGAGGCTTCCTTCTCAACTCGGATGCTGTTCGTTTGTTTGGCCCCGTACTCCGCCGCTCCGGCTTTTCGTGATCTAGGTCCTGCACGCCCGTGGTTCCGAGTCCCTAGCTGTCTTGCCGGTTTGAATATCTGCATGGATCTACCCATGGGCAAATTTACGGCGCATTTTCTTCATTCACTCATTCAATGAGCGAAGATATTGCGCCGCTCTCTCTCGCTGGTAGGAAGCACATCACAATGGCCTCTGATGGCTTTTTCACATATTTGCGGCTCAAGCTCGTGGCCGTCCTCATCAGATTCATAGCCCGAATTGCTCTAGCCCAGCGGGACCGTCAATTGCCCGGCAGCATCCAGCCTCAGCGCATTCGGATTGAGTCCCGCGAGAAAGGGCATTTCATCAACACGGACCTCTATTGCCCTCCCTCAACCGAGAGCAGCGGGCCGGACTCTGTGAAGAGGCCGGTGCTCGTCAACTGGCACGGCAGCGGTTTCATGGTTCCCGGTCTCGGATCAGATCGTGCTTTCTGTGCTCGGGTTGCGCGGGACACCGGCATCATAGTCATGGACACGGACTACCGGAAGGCTCCGGAGTGCCCATTTCCTGCTGCTGTAGAGGATGTCGAGGACGCGTTAAGGTGGATACTCAGCCGCCCTGAGGAGTTTGATCCAAAGCGCGTTGCTGTTTCTAGATTCAGTGCCGAGGGCAATCTGGCGCTCGTGGCTTCTTCTTCGCTTCAACACAACCTTTCTCAGACTGGGATTGACATATCTGCAGTCATTGCCGTCTACCCCCCTACCGACGTTTCCATCCATGCACGTGCAAAGACGGTCCCTGACCCGGTGAAGCCCATCACAGGCGGCATTGCAGCCCTACTGGATGATTCTTACACTCCGGACCCGGCTACTCGCAAGGACCCGCGAGTCTCACCCTCGCTGGCCGAGCCGTCATTGTTCCCGGACTTGGTGGCTATTTTCACTTGCCAGGGCGACACTTTATCCCCAGAAGCCAATGCCTTGGCCGACGGGCTCCAAGGCGGGAAGCGACAGGTCATTCATCACACATTGCCTGGAATGCCCCATGCTTTCGACAAAGGATGCAAAGAGGGAACTCTGGAATGGAAACAGAGGGAGTTTGCCTATTTGTCGATTATCAAGACTCTGAAAGAGCAATTCCCTGCATACTAGATATAGATAGGCATAGTCATCATGCCATGTTTCTATATATGGGCCTGCAAGTAAAGCACCATATACCCCAAAGTCTGGAGCCGTCCTGATCTGCCGAATGAGTTGCGCATTTGCCGAGCTAGTCACATCGTGAAGTGAAGGTGTCACGGGGTGGAGATACCTCCGCTAAACTTGCCTCGAACCTTAAATCGGCTCAGCCGTGCTGCGCGCTCGTGGCACGACGTCCGGGTCAAGAAGGGTCAAGAACAGCAGCGACACAATGTACTACTATTTACAGTTGGAATCACTATGCACGGTTTTCAGATCCCGGCCCACCATCAGACTCTTGTCTACTCCGAGGTCGATGGCCACGAGATCAAACTGGATTATTGGCTGCCCCGTAACGCCAATGGAGCGTTGCCAGCGGTGATTTACTATCACGGTGGTGGAATGACGGCGGGCTCGCGTCGGTCCTTTGACTTTCCCCATGGAATGCACAGTAAGGGCTCTGCTCTATGCCTCAGTCACTGGGTTGATAGGCTGATATTAAACTCGTGCCTGTCAGGAGAATGGCTACATGTTCATATCCGCTGATTACCGGCTGTGTCACCCATGTACAGCATTGGATCAGATCGATGATGCAAAGGCCCTTTTTCAATATCTGGGCGGACGGTTTGGAAACGAGTTGCCCGACGGTATTTCCCTGTCGACGAATCGTATAGCGGTCACAGGATCCTCGGCTGGTGCATATTCGGCGCGTATAGCCTGCTTATAAGCCGAGCCGAAGCCAGCGGTACTGATGACAGCCTTCGGCCTGGCTGGTGACTTGCTGCTCGACCACTGGTTGACTCCAAGACCAGCTACTTCTCTTGGCCAGCTTGTGAGTTTAGATAAAGTGCCTGAATTCCTCGCACACAAGACTATGGTCAGCGATGATCAGCAGTTCGACTTCAAAAAGAGTCGTTTCGCGCTTACTACTCGGTACGTCCTTCCATCCTTCTCTTGTGACCTCTTGCGACTTTCACGATTCTTGGCCTTGACTGTATTCAAATGCCCTTGTGGAGACGCATGTAGCTGTGGGCTTCAACGGTTGGATTTGTGATTCAAGGGCTGATTTTCTTCGCAGTTGGGAATTGGACGGCACCATGCTGGACAACATCTTTGGCCAACCTGGGCTTGGCAAAGAGCTATTGGCCGTGGAAAAAGAGCAGAGAGGAGATGTCATCCCCTCGAAATTGAAGCCGGCCTTCCCACAACTTTTCGTGTCGAGGGATTATCCCCCGTCAGTCTTCGTTCATGGCACACTAGATGAGGTTGTGCCCAAGGAAGAAAGCATCAACCAACACAAGCAGCTTGAAGATCTGGGTGTCAAGTCGAAATTCCTGCTTGTGGAGGGTGCAGGTCATAGCCTTATTAATCCCACATCCGGCTTCCCGCCGAAGATGGCCAAGGGCGCCGACGAGGCTTACGAGACGGCGTTTCGCTTCATTGTCGAGGTAATTAGCAGTATCCAGTAGAGGCATAGGCCAGGCATTAGATTATCTCTAAGGTAACACACCACGCGGCTGTGAAGGTCTCGAGAGCTCTGACCTGCTGATTAGGTCTTTTCATAAGCTGAGTCCCTCGTATGAAAAGATGTTGTTTCTATGCTTGCTACATGATGTATAGGCATGTGGGGAACATGAATCATGATACAGTACTTCATGACCGAAAAACCTTTCAAGCCACCGGTCCGAGACTGCCAGTTACTGGCTTCATTACTATTGAAAGGCACCAGATCATGTTCAAGCTAATATGTCTGGTTCGCCTTCTGCTGATATGAGAGGTTTATTGTAGACTTCCTTTACGGCACACCCCTCACAGAACACGTGACACTATCAATTCAACTTCATCAATCGAGATCCACGTCTAATTACTTATTATCACACGGCAGAACCCTTGCAATTGACTAACATTTCAACAACCTCATCATGTGCTTCTGCATTCATGGTACCAGTGGCAATGCTATCCGTCAGATGCAATCTATCAGTAAAAATAGACAAAGACAGGGAATGTACTTCAAAATAGCTAGAGGAGAAGCTGTTGTCTAGCCTACAACATCTTCCCAGTCTTCATAATCCACCTCTTTACCGACAGCTCAATGTGGTGTTATCACTGTATGTAGGTGGCACAGCTTATGTTACCCTGCAAATCCATGACGTCGCCAATGGTATAGTTGGAAATAAGGCCAACCATCCAGAGATTGTGATTCAGAGTGGTGACGTTTCCACCATCTCCAAAATAGTCTGTGATATCTGTGCCTGGATACTCGATGCCCTCGATCTGGAGCAGTTCTGCGTTTGGGTAATTGTCGCCACCGATTTCTGAGCCCAAAGTAAGTTAAGACATTTGAACCTTTGATATAAGGCAAAAGAAAGGAATGCCACGTACCGGTCAAACGAGTATCAAGGTCTTCCGATTGCCAGTTCCACCACAAGCGGTCGAGATTGGCGTGATGAAGGAAGAAAATCGGGTCTGTCGGGCTTGCCACTACATTTCCCATTTTTCCGCCAATACCGCCATGTCCAGCGTTATGGAGAGAACCAGAATAGCAGTCGTTTGCATCCTCATAGTTATCAGTGGCGAGGCAGGTGTCAATTTGGTCCTGCGATGCACCATCCTCAAATGTTTCGGCACGGAAATTGCGCGTTATACAATCAGACATTCCCACACCGTCGGCGTTGACATGAGAGGTATAGTTCGCGAATGGACCTGTCGAAATACACGCTCCGTCGCTATCCCCACCGAATCCAAGCTCATTATCAAATATAACCGAGGTTGTCATGTTATCCACATCGGCGAGTTCATCCCAGTACCTAGTATCGACAGTCAGGACGAGTCTATGTAGATGTTGCCACATTGGGTTGGGTCCTCACGGTTGAGCGCCAGAGTAGCCACACTCATTCTGCAGCAGTATCTCATGTGCACGGACATATAATCGATGCCAGGGAAGGAACGCGCCCTGAAAAAATAGGTCGTCTGTGTTATTAACCATCAACGCCATGTCGTTAATACACTGAACTTACGACATTGTGGATAACAGAAGCTTGGATAACGTGGGTATAGATGATCTCATCATACCGGTTCTCAGCCCAGTCGGTGAATAATTGCGGCACCGCGCTCATGAGACAGAGTTCCGCCTGTATGAACTCAGATTTCTCGTCGTCCGTGAGAGATGACCTTTACTACATTAGCTCAGCTGTAGACTGCGTGTATATGCACCAACCATGATTTTCGCTGGTTTGAAGTGCAACTACCAAGAGCATCAACCACAGGCAAGACTGCGATTGCGAGCTTGACAGTGTATGAGAGGAGACCCATAATTGCGGACTAATATAAGAAAGATATTTCGGAGGAGAAAGTAAACGTTTGAAGAAGGATCGATCCACGATGAACGAGGCAAATTTCTAGTACGGCTCTGGTCTTTAAATACACAATACTGGTGACTGTGTAATTGATGGTTGGACGCCAAACTCGCCCGTGACTTTGGCTGCGAGTATCCTGGTATGCATGCTAAGTAGGATGCTGGCCTAGTGTTGCCCCTTAAACTATCCACAGCAACGTTTCCATGCAGGGGGAACTAGTAATATTTCACAGTAAAGTCGGGAAGCCCTGCATATAATGCCCCAGTGCATTCGTCGCAACTTACGTACTCAAAGCAATGTTGACCCTTGTCGAGTGGAGAACCTTGGCAGGTCCAAGCTGAGTCAGAATGTTATCAATCCGAGCACTGGCAAAATGAGGTACTTTGAAACGCAGCATTGGCAAAATTACACTGAATGCAGAGGTTAAGGTTGGAACTTTCGCTAATATATGTATAATTGTTACCACAGGCAAAAGTGTCCCAACAGAATCAGTCTTTTTCTTCAGGATCTAGTACTCTACCTGATGATATTATGGAATGAAGGTGAATGTATTCTACCGGCACGGGCTGCCATGAGCTCTGGGACGGGACTTTGAATTGTAAATTCCGAAGTCATGTATTTAGATCTTTAGACTTTTGGTTTTGGGGAAGCTCTACTGGTCAAGCCAGTACACAGTCTCGTGTACGGTTGCCGGGCCTAATCCGTGTGGATTCCGCGCTGACCCACTTGGCGCTGACGACGCTTGCATTGCTAACAATCCCGCAGCGCGGAGCCAGGCGGTTACATCGCGTCGGGAAATATTGGATTAAGGCCTGCTTGCTAAGAGTCTTTGTCACTCTGCAATGCTAGCTGCACGTTATATTGTTGCCGCCTCACCTGGTGGCACGGTTAGCAAAAGCCTTTCTGGTGTTGGCGACTATTCTTAGATCCTAGTGAGCCTCCTATCCACCATTTCCGGCACACTGCGACTTCCAGTGTATCGCTCGCTTGCTCTATAGCCTTCACTCATATGAATGGCACGGCACCTTCTCCAACTATTTTTCTTGGCGCCCCTCTGTTAGGACGCGACTAGCGTCTTACACCCGTATTCACTAACCCTTTAGGTATCTCACTAAGAGTTCTTGGCACAGAAAACTCTGGCCACATGAAAGCGAAGCCGTCCGGCAAGACGGCGACCGTCTCGGGGACTGCGGCCGGCGGCGCCCCCAGGAGGGCCACCGGCCCTGGCCCCGCTACCCGTGCCCGGAACCGCTTTGCACTGCCCGAAGACCAGACCAACGCCGCGTCGCGGGTCATCGAAGTCGAGTTCCAGTCAACGGCCCACACAGCCGCTGGTGAAGAGCTAGACAATCTCGATGAAGACACTGCAGGGGTTCCAATACCACAAGCCGATCAGGACCAGAACGTCACAGGTGAGGCCGCCCAGGAAACGGAAGCCGCACCTGCCCATAGTCACTGCCAAGACCATGTTGCAGCCCTCCTCGACGGACACAGGCATCTCTACGAAGAGAGGGTCAAGAAAATCGAGGAATTTGCAAGGCTATTTGATAACTTCATCAACAAGGAAGAAGTCGCCGTAGACGACATTCTTAGCGATATAACTGCAGCTGTCACAAAAGCCATCAAGGAAATTCTGGGAGAGCTTCAGCCTCCCGCACCGAAGCATAAGGAAATTAAGAATACGACGAGCAGCCGCCGGACGTACGCACAAGCTGCCGCATCCAACATGGACCATGAATCAACCACACGGAATAAACAAGGCGCAATTAGTCGACGGGAGACCAATGGGGACAAAGCTTCATCTACTAGAAAGACCACGCAAGATAATCGCATATTCATTCGCATGGAACATCAACAACTCGAGCCATTCGGAATCAAATCCACTCTCGTACGACGTCTAGGACTCGGCACCCAAGACATCCGGGATGTGACCCGATGTGCAACGGGCTTTGCCATCCACCCCAAGGACAAGACCATTCAGACGAGAATCTTGACATCGCACTTGGAGATCACTGCGCTGCTCAACGCCAAGAAAGTGGAAGGACATGTTGTCTGGTACCACTACAAGATCCAAGGCTGTCCACGAAGACTGATGAGTGCGGACGGCCTCCCCATCGAGGTTGATGAGACGATAGTAAGCGATGAAGTTGAGTCACAGACTGGAATCCGGCCGGTCCGCTGCACTCTCTCACGTAGCACATCCGAGGCCGACGCCGAGACTACCTGGCTCGTGTCATTCACGAAGGAGATCAAACGACAGTTTAGGCTGTTCGCGCACTCGATGAATGCGTACCGCCTTTATAGCAGTCCCAAGATTGTGCAATGCGGTGACTGTTTCCGTTTTCACGGCCGAAACACCCGATGCGACAGGAAAATCTGCGAGCACTGTGCAGAGCCAAAGCACGAAGGCGCTTGCGCAAGACCTATCCCTAGGTGCGCCAACTGCAATAGCCCACACGCCGCCACCTTCGAGAAATGTTCAGCCCGGCCGCAAGTGGTGAAGGGGGCGATCCAAAAACTGACCTCGGAGCAACTCCGAGAGGTAAAGCGCGTGGGGAATAGGGCAAGATCCAAGGCCGTCAACGAGGCAAAGCGGAGTCTGGTGAACAGGGACGAGTCAAGTGGTGATACTTTCAGTGATACATCGAACAGCGCGACCGGAACGTCTGACGAATCAGAGGCTACTGGTAGCAGCCCCGGAGGTAGCGACAGCGGCGAGGAACAAAGCGTAGCTGTACCGCAAGCCTGTGGTAATACATGCAGGAAAGAAGTCGATACGATCGTGGTATGCCAGTAAACACGAGCAACACACGGAGGCGACGAGCACACCTGGTCGTGCATTGCGTAAACGCAGGTGGGGGACACAAGTGTGCAGAACCGACTGAAATCGCCCTGAATCTGGCCGATGGGGAAGACGAGAGAGCGGATGTTATTTTAATGCAAGAGCCGTGGGTGGGCACGCCGCCGAAGAGGAGGATGATGATCAAGACGCATCCCAACTACAATGTCTTCTCCCCAGTGGACAGCTGGGACAGCGACGTGACGAGGCCCAGGTCTTTGATCTACGTGAGAAAGCACCTGCACGCACAGCAGTTACGACCATACAAAACGAGAGACGTGACGTGGGTCAAGGTGAGAGACATTACTTTTGTCAGTGTGTATAGATCAGGGAGTGAGCCAGTAGGAGTGGACAATATTCTGGAGGCATGGACACCGCCGTTGACCTGCGTGGTTGCTGGGGACTTCAACGCGGGTGATAACTCGTGGGATGCAAGCAACCCGGACTATCACTGTGGGGCGGCACTCGCGAACACCATGGCCGAGCATGGCCTCGACCTCATCTCGGAACCGGACGTGCCCACGCACGACGGCGGCAACGTCCTAGACCTGGCTTTCTCCGACGTCGCCATGGCGGAAGCAGCAGTCGCCGACACCCCTCACTCCACCTCGGATCATGAGACGCTGAGAATTGTTGTGCCGGTCTTCAAGGAGCTGGAGAAGCTGTCGAGACCAGATAGGTGGGTGGTGCGAGACGAAGATCTGCCTGACCTCGTGGCGATGGTCGAAAGCAGACTTCATGAATTGCCCGAACTCGGCCACACGGGATTGCAACTCGACGGCTACGCGCGAGTCCTATGCGATATTATCCAGAGTAGTGTCAAGATAAAAGGCAAGAAAACGGGTCGGTTTAGGCCGACGGCATGGTGGAACGATGAATGCAGGACGGCCGTTGAGGAGTACAGAAAGGCGGCCAAAGGCATGATATGTCAAGAAGAGAAGGTGGCGGCGAGGAGGGAGTTCCGACGAGTGGTCCGTCAGGCGAAGAGGGAATATTGGCAAGCTCTCATCGACGGAGCGGACAGTCCGAAAGAAATTTCGAAAGAAAACCACACCTCTTTTGGAAACTTCTGCTTGTCAGAAAGATAATAGCAGGATTGTTGGAATGACTGTACGAGGACGCGAAGGGTTGATAGGTGTTGGTACTCATCCACGAGTTGACCTACGTACGTGTTGATCTGTTTCTGTTCTGGAGGTTGCGTGAGATCAACCGTACAATCCCAGAATTCTGGTTTTGTTCCATTTCGCCACGTGCTGATTGGAATGATGCTGTCTTCTGCCATCTGCTCGTACGTGAACAGAACGCCTTGTTGCTGTTGTTCGAGTTGTAGGTCGCCGCCTGCTTCGTGCGCACCGGTAGCTGCGCCGTCGGGAGGAGTTGATGAACTCATCTTCGATGTGAATCTATCACACGTATAATTCTTGGTTCGCACGATAGGGAAAGGACCTCTTCCAGACTTGTGCACCTTCGTACGAAGAAGAATCCGTATACGTCCTCTACTCTATTCGAGAGTAGGATCAAGCACGACGCCTACTACTACGTACTACCGTACGCGCATTGGCAGAAACGTCGTCTCTTCACTCTTGCCAATCTGTGCCTACTAAGCCAGCAAGCACTGATCAGTGTTGAATGGCCTTTTGCACATTCATGCGAATCTCGGGTGACGACAAAGATATATCTTCTATTTGGTGCACCGCACGAGAGGAGAACAGTAACTACCCCTCTCGCACGATCGTAGATAAATGGCTGAACACGTAGTGATGTCTCAGATCACCACCGTATAGCCACATCTTAGCCTCGTCGGGTGTGGCTAGTAATAGGTCCCTACTATCTAGACTCTCGTACGAGACCGCAAAGTCTAGTATTCCAACAAGGATCACAATTACGAGGCGTATCACGTACCGAGCACAGCGAGATCACGGATCTTGGCTCCTTGGCCTCTCGAGGCACAGCAGGCAGCCTTTCGACCGTTCAGGGCAAGTTCGTGACGGAGTTCCGACTTGACGGAATTCCGACTTGATTCATTCAATCAGCTGCATGCCATTGCTACAGGATGGGCTGGTAGTTGCTAAGTAGATAACCGAGGAGACTGAGCGGAAGCTACAGTGTAGACACACATGCAGAGATAGCGATTGTCTTTGAATGCATGGGACATCTTTGTAGTTCTGTGGAGTAAGATGAGGGGTTGGTTATATACTGTGTAGAGTGGTATTGAGAGCCCATGGTCCGGTTTATATCGGCTTATTGCTCCGAAGGTAGATACCAACATTTTCATGTCATTGTCTACCAGGAATTCACTGAACGGTAACAGCGGACAACCTGATACAAAGCTCATTATCTCAGCGCTCCATGCAAGGCATCAGAGCCCAAGCCACAGACATAACAACCATAAATCCTCTTTAAGCAAGCGCATCTTCCCTAACGGATGCCATGCAAGCCCTCATGAAGCGGGCGCTTACGGTCCGAGAAATATGAAGTCCAAGGATAGTCCGCAAAGTGATCTAGACTGCATCTCCTATCGAATGGGGCATTTTGAGGTTCAAATGGTGCTACAACATGGCCACTGACCTCGCATCCTTACTTGAACACGCGGATAGGTCAAGTCATCCTCTCGCCAACCTGGAACCAACTTGACAGATACAAATAGGCACATACCGAACGATATTGACCATCGCTTACTGTATAACCAACTAAGAACTTTGCTCTGGCTAGCTCCACTGATATGTTTATTGAAATAGCGATCTATCTTTCAAACTCTTCTAGGGTGGATCCTAGCTGCACACAATGCATTGTTGGCATTTGTTGTGTAAACTATACCAGTAAATAGACTCAAGGCTCCTCGTCCAATAAAGCTGAAGAGCACGGGTCGGGTTTCCTAGTTGGGGCATGTCCAACTATTCGTACTGATCTTCGCCTTCGCTCGAAAAAAAAAAATATCAAAACAGCCAGCGAATTCTCACTTCCAGTACTGGTATCGAGATCCTGGAATATGCACCCAACCTCTCTTGACTACTTGTCGCCATCGAACATTGAATGGAGATGCTCAAGGTCGGTCCGAGAGATATAATGTGGAAATCATTGTCTTTGTACGCCCAGCAAATTGGAGCAGATAGTTCTCCAATAGTTGGAAATGTAGAACCATGAGACGTGTGAGTTGGGAGTGCCTTAAAAATCTGGAGAAGTAGCCCGACGCGATCAGCATATATCTAAATCCACTCTTTAACCTCCTACAGCTGTTCAAAACTGCCCAAACACCACGCAGATACGATACCTTCTTGGTAGCAGGCCGCGATCCGTCTATCTTTTTGCGTCGGGTCGTGCTCATCTGGTATAGGGCACTATGGGATGTTATCAAGATCCGCATACGCCATAATTTTGTCAATGACTGCCATCGGCGATGACTTGCCATCATTCCGTCTGGCAGACGCCATTTTTGCCCTTCAAAAGTGTTATCAACTACCAGCGCCCGATATTCGAGTCCAACAGGGGTTAGCATTAGAGTAAGATACTATAACCAGCCAACCAAATCTAGTCCTGAGCATCGCAGTATGTCTCCGTAGCCAGCTCCACATTCATCCGCTTGTAGATCTTAAATTCCTCAATAGATACTTCTACTCCTCTACTAATTATATTTATCAATCTTCGAATAATACTGACTGCAGGCTTTGCAATCCAACTTTTGGTCCAGTCTGTTCAATGCCACCGCCTCTACTAGCCAATGCTGCCCCAAATGGTTGCCCGATCTTCCTCCCGGTTCTGCTACCACTCTTGTCCTCCTTATTCTGTCCTATATGTAGTCTCCGACAGTATCCCCGATGCTCCTCCCGATGCTATCAATGCTCTTATTTCCAAGACCACCCCCGGAGACGCTGTCTCAGATGCCGGTGCAGATGCTAACCGATGCTGCCATTTATCCCGTCTTCCCCAATGATGCCCTAGATGTTGTCTAGTATGCTACTGAGATGCTGCTTGATGCTGCATGGTACTGTTCCTGATGCTTCCTCCTCCGCTCTACACGATATCACCTGATGATCTCCCCAATTTCCTCCACAATGCTGGCCCGATGCTGTCCTTCATCATGAACAGATGCTGTTCGAGATGCAGCTCGATATATTGCCGTTACCTGGTCTCTTGGATGCTGTCCTATAAGATACCTGGTGCCGTTCGTGATGCTGACATCGATGTTGCTCCCGTCTGCTGCTCTGCTGCCAGAAACGCTCGACAACATATGGTGCTGTGTAAACATCAGCAGATGAATGCAGCGTCGCCTTGTCTTCAATCTCTATACCTATTCTGTCTTTAGTCTGCCTTCATTTTGACGCGGATGCTTCTCGCCGCGGTTCCAACAACTTTCGCAATTGATATCATGCCCCCACCGGCTCACAGGAAGCGCTACATCGCCGCATCCATTATCATCCATTCCCTGGATGTTGCTTGAACCCCTATGTCGCCATCCTCTCAGCTGATTTCACCTGTCATGTATTCTTCGACATTCAAGACAATGCCTCCACATACTCTGAAACCACCAGACCACCGGCTGTTTCAGTGCTTCTTGGTTTTCTCTTCTGCACTGTCACTCGGTCAAAATTGGTTCAAAATTGAAAATTATATAAATCTAGCTCCTGACCACTATACCGGAGAGCGTGCCAATCACTGGTCTTTCGCTACCCATTTTGCTCGAAGTGTTGAAGCCAGTCTTTTCCTTGGGGCCAAATTCCTTGCTTGCCGGGAGACAAAATTCCCTGGGGATCAAGTGCTGCCTATCGCAACATTTAGCGCCAATTAACTTGGGGATTAAAGGCCATACCTTAATAGTCTGGATCAGTCTTTTGTACGCATGACTGTTGAAATTGTAATGGTCTTGAAAGGCATCTGTAGATTAGAGATGTGTTAGCGTCATTGGGAACAAATCGAGATTTTCTAGGACCAGCTGGTTACCCATTTGTCTCAGGTGTGCTCGATAATTCGTGAGCCGGTACTCTCTTGACTTCTCGTCCAGAGCATCCATTAATAGGTCGACCCGTCGTACTTGCTCTTCGTCATCGCTGTTGTACATCGATTGATGGATTGCGGTGAAGTGTCTACGAAAGACATGACCTCCTAGCAGAAAGTCGAAGCCATGCTCTGTGAAAAGTGACATCGCTGTTGTGAGCCATTCCTTGACAAACTTGCCATCGTGCGGCAGTAGAGGAGCAAAGTCGCAGTGGGCGCCGTGTCCAGAACCATCATTTGGAAGGGCAAAGTTGATCATGCCAGCCTTCCAGACCGTTGCAACACCTACTGCCTCCCCTTTCACAGTAACTGACTCGATCGCTTTTGGGTCCAACGGCTTTCCAACCTCGCCCTCGAACAGCTCATGTTCCAGTCTTGCTGTCGGGCATAATTTGAGAATCACTTCCCGTGACCTTCTGAGTCTGGCCATGATCATCTCTTTTGTCCCATAGAAATCAAAATTGCAAGCCCAGTAGGCCAACCCATACTTCTCTTTAATTTTTTCAATAGCTTCCTCTCCCAAAGTACCATTGCTGTTTTGAAACTCGTTCCGTTTCATACCTAGATTCAACGCGTTTAAGATGATATTGGATAGAAGAGGATCATTCTGGATGATGTCATCTCTTCGAAGCTGTGCGATGGCCTCCAGGAGCCCGTCAATGTCGTCAAAGTCCTTGGCATGGACCACGACATTCATGTATGTCTCTGGGCGTGGCTGCAACCAGATGGCTAATTTAGTGACAATTCCAAGGTTGCTTTGTAGGAACAGGCCTTCGACAGACGGACCGAAACTTTGTCGACTGACTGGACCTGTCGGTGCCCCTTCAGCTGCCCATTGGCCGGTACGGACCACGTCACCATTGGCGAGCACTGCCTCCAGGCCGCAGATATTCTCGTGATGACAACCCAGCGCATTGTAGCCAAATCCACGGTCGAGAGTCTGCTTATTAGCATCACAAACTCGGTACTAATAGACGGACAAACTTACATTTCCGAGAACACTTCCCCAGGAGATAAAGGGCACACTAGCCCACAGAGACGGCGCTTTCTCGAGGCAGTAGTGCGAGAGATCCCAGAAAGTAACGCCCGGCTCGACCACCGCGTATGCCTGCTTTTCATTGACCTCCAATATTCGGGACATTCTGTATAGTGAAAGGACAACGGAGCCCTTTAAACGGGGAGCCGCACCGCCATAGCCCAAGTTCTTCCCCCGTGAGCATGTCCAAAGTGGGATACTGTGCTTGCTGGCGATTTCGAGAACTGCCTGAATCTCCACGATGTTCTTGGGACTATAGTCATATCAGCCTCGGCGTGGTGGGTTGATTGGATGCCGTGTTAGGAGGATTCCCAACTCACCACACAGCAGCAGAAGGGGTGAATTTGTTGTTCGGCGTAAATGGGTCCGTGAAGTTAAGCAGGTCCTCTCCAGTGGCGACATTGGCGCGGCCGACGATGGAAGCGAATGCCTCTACAACTACTTCGAAGACTTCCCTTGAGATTCCATGGGGTAATACTTGCTCTAGACTGGGACGTCCTTGCACAAAAGTGGCCTTGTGCAGATTTTGGAGTTCAGGCTCTTCGTAAATCTGCATGGTGGATGGATCGGTATAATGGACAACCCAAATTAGAAGAACATATAGTAAGTTCGTGACAGAGCTTTAATACATGTTAGTCGTCTTCGTTGTGGATGTGCATTCGCTGGTAAGTCCTCCGGACCGACTTTAATGGGGACTTTTCCCTCGCAAATCGGACGGAAAGTGGAGGAAATTGCTGGCAACGCCAGAGATCTACAACGCCGGCGTAGTAGCGTTAGGAGTACTCGAACCCAGCTCCCAAGACTTGGCCAACTTGTCGGGTCTCGGGGCGCCCAGAAATTGTCGGAAAGTTGATAGCCCCCGAGTCCGTAGTAATGCGTCGATCATTAGTGTATTGGCGTATCAGGGTGAAAAGTATGCAGGGTGCGGTGCCACGGCGACGGCCCCACTTGCCTGACGTCTCGGATTTTCATCACCATTGCCACATTCTACACCAAAACCTCAACAATCACCCGGTCAAGGCCTTCGGTACACAATTCAACTGCGCACTTTTTTTTCGTTCGTATTTCGTTCTTAGCAACGGGTCTTTGAACACTTTAGCAAAGCTCACATCCAGCTTGCCTAAATACGTGTTCAGCGCTTCATCACAACCATGGAAGGCAGCAATTGGAGCTCAATGATTGTCATCGCACTATATTTCGCATTGGCGTACCTAGCCGTGTACCTCGTATATTATTTTTTTCTGCACCCGCTTGCACGTGTCCCCGGCCCATGGCCAGCAGCGGTATCTCGCCTTTGGCTTTTTTGGCACGAGATTTGTGGCCATGGCCACGAAGACATCATGAAACTGCACGAAGAGCACGGTACTAAGTCTTAAAAGTTGGTGTTCAAGGTCAAGAGCTGAATCAGAAAGGTCCACTAGTTCGAATAGGCCCCAACGAGGTATCTGTGGCAGATATCGACGTTTACACAAACGCAATCTACGCCCAAAACACGAACTATCTGAAGGATGAGCGATTCTACAAGGCCTTAGATAACCCTAGCACCACTCTCCTCACAGAAAGACGCAAAGACGTGCATGCATCGGAGAAACGGCTAATGTCCCATGCGTTCTCGCGTGCAAATATCATCGGTTTGCATAATGCTATTTACGGAAATACGAATCGCTGGATCTGGAGGCTCCTCGAATCCGTCGCCAGAAAGGATATGATCCCGCTGTGGCATGCGACACAGTGCCTCACACTTGAAAACGCTAGTTATTTCAGTTATGGTTCATCCGACGGGACATCAAGTAAGGATTTCTATCACCCTCTGTTCGCCGGATTTGAAACCTTTGCTCCCCTGGCCATCATTTTCCAGCATTTTCCTATCATGGCAAGCATTGTAGGTTTTCTGACTAGGGTGTTCCCTTTCGGGTTTACGGCGCTCAACCAGGTAAGTTTCCAAGAGAACTGACAAGATCTGGTGAGTCCATCATCTTAATCAGGTCGGTTTGCTTCAGGGTGCTAAAGAAGGACTTGAACGATTGAAATACTCCAAATCCATTGGGCAACTCGACGGCATGGTCATGTTTGATAGCATGATGGCTCGGGCTCAAAAAGCCGGCGTACCTGTGGATCCGGCCAGACTTGTTCAAAACGGGTCTCTAATGTTGACTGCGGGTAAGACCAACACGTAGCAGACTCAGAGAAGGCCATTGCTTACAGTGATATCTTTGGAAGGTACTGGAACGACTGCTATCAGTCTAACGGCTGCAATCCATCACCTCGTCTCCCAGCCACAGCTCTGGTATGAACTGCAAAGAGAGCTTCTCGGAGCGTTCCCGAACCCGTCTGCAATACCGAGCGTGTATGACTTGGACAACGTTCCTTTACTCAATGCCTGTATCAAAGAAGCAATTCGCGTTAGCGTTCCAATCCGTGGGCGACATCCACGAGTTGTACCAAAAGGAGGACTATCCGTAGGCGGCTTGACGATTCCAGAAGGTGTAAGACTGCCGCATGGTTTCTAAACTTTGTCCGACAACAATTCTGACAGGAGCCAGGTTATAATCAGCGCATCGCCGCTGTTCCATTGCCATGACGCAGCGGTGTTTCCCAATCCAGAGGAATTCAATCCTCAGCGCTGGATTTCTGGAGAATCCAAGCAAATGCGACATAATTTCGTACCTTTTTCTCACGGATCTCGAAGCTGTATTGGCCAGAAGTAAGTGGTCAAACTTCACCGAGGCAAAAGCTTTCTCATTCTTATTCTTCAAAATTAGCCTTGCGATTATTGAGATGCAGGTCGCATTGAGCCAGGTGGTAATGAAAATGAATCCCGGCGAGATCGTTGATAGAAAGATTACGTATATCGACTACGGCATCACGGTACCCGACTCACTAGTTAGAGTTACCCTTGGAACTTCTACCAATTCCTGAAGTCTGCGTTTTCGTGAACGCTTATCTGAGTCAATTTAAGATAGTCTCTGGCAAGAATTTCGTTCGTTTTACAGTTCTATCAGACGGAATTTTCCCTCTGTAGATTACTGTCAATTCTGATTGGCAAAACACGCGGTTGCAGAACGTGGTGATGCGATGGTTTGCTATCCGCGCTACAATGAACCCCCCACTCGGTTTTAGCTTTGCTAGATACATGTCCCATCTCGGATTGTGGCGGAAATCAGCCTGGATTGATTTCCCACGGCAGGAATTTACTATAGGTCACCACGGCCGCATCGACGGGACCAGGAGAGCCATGGGCGTCAGAAATGCCGGTCCAGATGCCGTGAGTTTCCTGCATTCCGGGTTTCGTCACCTCAACGTATGCATGTGTTATATCTGTCGAGCCTACCATAGCGTTACATTGCAGCAGAATGGAATGGTGCTGGAGCCGTTCGATCTAGCACGGTAACTGCCTTGCCCCGCTGACTCAGCGAAGTTTTCATATGATTCTCGCCGGAAAGCGGTCTCCATCTACCGATCGACACGTATTTACCAGGCTGTTTGCAGCCCCCGTCGGAAGACGGCCCCTCACCCGTAAGGCTTCCTTCAAAACCTCGACCAGTCAATGTCCACATCTTATAAAAGAAAAGAACACACTTGCGACTCGGATGATACTACATAATACACAATGGAGATTCGTCCCTTTATGAATGTGTGGGCTTTTCTAGCCTTCACGGCGTTGCTCTTCCTGATCAGCCGAGTATTCTACCACCTCTTCCTCAATCCGCTACGAAAAGTCCCAGGGCCTTTCTTTGCGCGCTTCACAAATCTGTGGGAACTATGCACTATACATCGCAGCAACTTCAATGAAAAATGCGTAGAGCTGCACAAGAAATATGGTTGGTTCCCCCACGTCTACTATGCTTCACGTTCTGCTGACAAAGCAAGGCCCGGTTGTCCGACTGGCACCGAATAGATACAGCATTAACACTATTGACAGTGTTAAGACGATCTATGCACTGAGGAACGGTTTTCCCAAGTCCGAATGGTATGATGCCTTTGGACACCCTTCCGCAAGGAATTTGTTGAATGTTCGAAACGAGAAAGACCACACCACACGCAAGCGACTATTGGCGAGTCTTTATTCGATGTCGACTGCGGTGCATTACGAGGAACAGGTCAATCGAATTAATAAGATCTTAACAAGAAAGTTCCGGGAGTATGCAAACGGCCGACAGCGGGTCACAATGACGAAGGTGCTGCAGTACTATGCTTTCGACGTCATCGCGCAAATCACAGTAAGTAGCACGTCTTTGGTCTGGATCCTGATTGCAGCGCTATTCTGAGCTAACGGTTTAGTCAATAGATGGACGTTAATTTTGGCATGATTGACGCCGAGAAAGATACGCTTGGGCTGCTTGAAACCATCGAACAGGCCAACGATTACCCTATGTATATCGGACTCTACAGCCATCTGCATCCCTTCCTCTTCTCCCTTGGGGACTTCTTTGGTGCCCCAAACCCATTCGCGACTCTGACAAAAATAGTCGACAGACAGATCAAAATATACAAGACAAAGTATGCTGATCTCAAACAGCACAGCGATAACAGCTGCCAAAGTTTCCTGTCAAAGCTGTTCTCTCTGCACGAGACCGGCCAAGTTGACCGCCAGGCCATATCCGACAGCTGCGGTATGAATATTATTGCAGGGTCCGATACGACATCCGTTACAATGGGGGCATGCTTGTTCTATCTTTATCACACTCCACGCGCTTTGAAACAGCTCAGGGAGGAATTAGACACGAGTAAGGCCCAGGGACTGATTTCGGATCCCATTACTTTTGCAGAAGCTCAGAAGCTGCCGTATCTGCAGGCACTCCTACAAGAGACATTAAGGATGCATCCAGCTGTCGGTCAAATACTAGCGAGAAGTGTGCCGAATACTGGTGCTGAGATGGAGGGCTACCATTTTCCACCAGGGGTGAGTTCTCCAGGCTTCTAATGAAATCTTGACTCGTCGAATAATATTTTACAGACTGAGGTTGGCGTCAATGCTTGGGCACTGCACCGCAACCCAGCGTTGTTTCCCGACCCAGACGTGTTCCAGCCAGAACGGTGGCTAGAGGAAGGAACGGGCAGCACAAAGAAAGCAGATAAGTTGCTCGCTGTCAGTTGGACCGCTCTAGCCACCTCCGTTGTGCTCTTTGGTCATGATACTGACAAAGCTTGGATAGTTCGGCGGTGGAACTCGAACCTGCATTGGGCGCCACATAAGCCTACTTGAAATCAACAAGGTGGTGCCTCAAATCGTTCAAAACTTCGAGTTGGTATTCGAAGACTCTAATTCATCCCTGAATTCACGAGCGAGCTGGTTTGTCGTACCGAAGTACGAATGTATACTTCAAGAAAGGAGCGACGAGGTGTGAGATTAGGAGGAATTATTGTGTTGACAGTCTGTTGCAACCATGCCGTACATAGTACTGTCAATACGCAAATAAGATCCACCTCGGATCTTGCACACATAACACCGCAACCAGGACTATGAATTTAGTTAGTCGCAATGATGGCATAGCCCAGCGCAGCTACAGCAAAGATGGCACTAAGCCCTTTGGGAGAGGCTCGCTTCGTAACCTAACTCGGCCCATCCTTGTTTGTCAGCGCCGTGGAACACGGTCAACTCCCCCTACTTAAGCACAACGGCCTCAAGCCTTGAGTCCCCCATGTTCGACCGTGAATCCGTGGACTGAATTTCCGCTTAGCGCGCAAAACATTGATGGTATCGATGATAAAAAGCAAGAGGAGCTGACTGATAGTTGGATGCGTGCATCTGGTTCTCCTTCAATAAGAGACGATGACTCAAAACTGCGTCATGCCCCTTAATGGAGTTATTGTACACGTAATCATGATTTGAATCGAGATTTATACGGCCAAGAAAGTTCAAAATAGATATTCAAACCCCCCATCCAGGTTACCGGCTGAGTCGAACGACTGGATCGCAGTAGCAAGCTCCTGAAGTCGGTAATATCTTCTCGCCCACGAATTTCAGTTCTTTCACCAGAACTCGACACATAATAACTTCGGCATTTGGATAATCAAGACCCAAACAAATCCGCGACCATTTACTTATAAGTAGAATTCAAATTCCTTATCAAGTACTTATCCTGTAATTGGGCTGATATCGTGAGAATAAATTTACCAATACAAGGAGGTTCGGTATTTGTTGGCAGTCCCAGATCTTCCGCTGTCCACTGCAGTACTCTCGAGCTTTGCTGCTGGAATACGACGTTGGTGGAATTGAAGTGTTCCCAAGTGTGCGAGCGTGTGTTGGGGGTGTATGCTAGCTTGAATTGTCCACAATCGCCTTGTATAGCACTCGCTAACCACGAGTGCAACTCGGCTGAAGCCAGCCTCCAATGATAGATCGTTGAAGCCCCGAGCTCCGAGGTTTTGGCTACGTAGCACTGGCGATCTACCACGAATCCACAGAATGAGGCCATGTGTGAGAGCGAGGGCGTGTAAAGAGGTCCAGAAAATAGCATATGAAAGTAATGGAAAGCTCAAAAAAAGCACGAGGAAGCCGGTAGCAAGCCAACTGAGGAAGGTGAACGGCAGCGTGAAGCTGAGACATGCGCTCTTCAAGGTCTTACATTTGGTGACTCCTATGAATCATGTCGATGGAACGCATAATTGCGATACGCCGTTTGAGAATATGTATATAGTTCAGTAATAGACTTCAAGACGCTGGTAGCGGGCTTATGCCACAGAATGACACATTATTCGTCATCTTGCAGATTGCCCCAGCTACTATTTTTTTTTTCTTATTCAAATGGAGCTCAGTTGCGCCCGCTTCCGAGATGGATAATAAAAAGGATTCATAAGTATAACCGTCGAGGCTTGCTAGGCCTCACCTATAGGTAAGATAGATGCTTAGATTGATTACTAAGGTATTGGCTGGCTCTCATTCTGGAATGTGACCCTTTGTCATGGATCTACTGGATCACTGTGTTCCCCATGATCTATCGCCCTGGCCCACTGCCAAGGCCGTCCGTGGCTGTCAGCGTTGTCGGCCAGCTGTCAGGGGGGAGTTTTTCATAGATGGTCGGGGTGCCCCGCCCTCCTAGCCGGACTTTTCTTAAGGCCATGTTTGTAACAAATGTCTCCTCCATTCTAGCGGCCTCCCTGGGTACTTTCTTAGGGGCGCTAAAGCTCAGCTTCAGGTTGCAAGGCGGAGTAAGCTAGGCCCATAGCATTATGGCTGTAAGACACATTCTCCAGGTCCTCCGGTGTGACTGGACAACTGGGTCAGCAGGGTACATATAAATTTCACCAGTTCCAAACTAGACCTACGGGGAACATTGCCCTCGAAATAGCCAACTTGCTTCTCCGTAAGCTTATCGGGGTCCCAATGAAGAAAAGCTGACATGGTTTGTATAGCGGCGACTCTGTTGACGCGAAGTTCGTTGTAGAGCCGCAGTCGACCCTCAACGTCACCCCTCGACCGAATACAGGAGAACAGGACCCCCAGTGTGCCTGCATCTTCGATTGCCATAGATGCACCCTGCGCACGGACTAGAACAGGTTAGACGGGCTCAGAGCGACGCACACAACAACATGGTAACTAACCCGGAGGCATAGGATGGGCAGCATCGCCAATGACGACCAGCCTACCTCGGGCTAGGTGTTGCAGCGGTTCCCTGACGCATAACTTCCACCTTCCAACATTTTCGGCCAGACTTATCGACATGATCAGCTCCCTGACAATTGCAAAGGACATGGTGACTTACTTGCACATGTGCTGCACGGCGGGGTCATAATCCTCCAATATCTTCTCCAAAGGGGGTCGAGTATCTGCCGCGTCGGACGATCAATATCTGAACCATCATAGCCTCACAGATAAGAGGGAAAGTCGAGGAGGTAACAGACTTTCTTTATTGTCTAAGCCTGTGGGGTACAATAAACCGAAGTTTTGTAGGTCGCCACTGATGTATGTTAGCCTATAGTCGGCGGACAGTAGAAGACGGCCGTACCCTCTACAGCCATAAAATACCAGACTGCATTTGGAGTTCGCTATAATTCTCATGGAAGCGAGGCCCTCGTCTCCGAGAATTGGTCCGGATATGGGATCTGCGACCAGCCGTTCTGAAGGTATGAGAAACCGAGCCATGTCCATAAGGTGACGCAACTCGCCGCCCTCGTTATGAATCTTTGAAATAAAGGCAGACTATACAAGGTGATTTAGCCAGGGAAGTATGTGCCAAACCGGCGGACCCACCCGAACGCCATCAGCGGCAACCACAAGGTCCTTTTGCACCTGCTTTCCATCGGCCAAAGTGATGAGACCATCGGTGGTGACGTCAACCACCAAGTTGCTGAGTCGTAGTGTGGCGCGATTTCCCTTGCTGGAGTCTAGGTGCAGTGCCACGCGCTTCAATTCACTGTGCAAGTCGGAGCGGTGAAAAAACCACCAAGGAGCACCATACGTCTCTTCAAAATCCGCGACTACGTGTGATTCTCTTTGCGAAATATCTCGCGGGTCGATATTAACGTACTTTCGCATGATAGTAAGTCACGATGCGATCACACTTGATGTTGAACGTCGATTAACTCACCTTCTGAGCCAGAGTGGCACGAGACCGAACAAAGTCAAAGCCATAGTAGCGTAGTATGCGTGTTGAATTCGGAGGCGTGCTGATGGCAGCTCCATATTCGTCATTGGATTCGGACCTTTCAAAGATCTGCACGGTGAATTATATATGAGCCACTGCATTTCAGGAGCTGGAGAGGCGTAGGTTATGTGGTACCTCAACATCATGCCCGTCGGCAAGCAAGGTCATTGCAGCCGCCAGGCCACCGATTCCAGCCCCAACAATGCCAACCTTGAGAATCTTCGTATCCGCATCCGGTGCCAAAGCCTCGCGGGGTGGTAGCCCGATTGGCTGGCCCTTGGGTGTAGAAGCGGTCATATCGTGTGTCGTAAAGGTGGCCGCGTGACTGAAGTGCATGCACAATTTAAGAGGGAAGGGCTTACAGAGCTATAAGGGCGCGCCAGTGTAAGCCTCTGACGGTGGCATGGAATTCGTGCTGTCCAGCGGAGATCTCGAGAAGAATGCGGATCTATGGGTCATACATTCCCTCTTGTTTTGGTTTGACTTAGGCCGTTGGCTCCGTTCCCACGAGATCTCCTGGCCATTCCAGGCACAGCAATGTGCGGGTTCCACTCTTAAGAGCCACTCGGCTTTCCATTATTGGTAGGTCGCCTCCATCAGATGATGGAATTACGTGGTGCCCTGTGTCGCTGCGGATTCGTGGTATGTGGAGAGCCGCGTCTGCTTCCGGTAGTTGGAGAAACCGGGGCCGGCGGCCTGAGCCGGACCCGGACGCCCGAAACGGCTGCGGGGCTGTTTTACAGCCAACAGTTCGACTAGGTGCCGATACCTGGGGGCAGGCTAAGATAATGAGCCAATTGCCCTGATCCGAAAAGCCTCAAAGCTGCAGGTACATAGTTAGTCTAGCCCGCTGCCATCAAAGCCTGTGCTCGCCCGCATACTTGCTTGTACCCAACGCCAGGGAGACTGCCATACGACGAATGACAATGCCGGGCGAACGTAAGATCGCATCGGTGGTAGCCCTCCACATCGGGCAGTTCATGTTTTGCCGTATCGAGACGGACGACTGCATCGTTGGCTATGGGGAGGCCGGTATCTGGGGTCACATCAAGACTGCCGGCACTGCCATCGAGCGATTTGCTGAATACCTCATCGGCAAGGATGCATCCGCCATTGAGCACCACTGGAACACCATGCATCGATTCAGCTATTTTCAGGGCATGGCCATTAACGCGGCCATCTCCGCCATCGACATCGCCCTGTGGGACATCAAGGCCCGCGCCCTGGGCGTGCCCATCTACGAACTGCTGGGGGGTGCATGTCGAACCAAGGCCCGCGTATATTGCCACATCTACGAGAGGACCATCGACAAGGTACTAGAAGAGTGTAAAGTCAAGATGGACGCGGGCTTCACCGCCTTCGGTCACATCAATCCCTTCCTCGACGAGGGCCACGACCAGGTGTACTTCAAGACGCACATCAAGAAGATGCGCGATGCTATTTCCAACGTGGAGAAGATGCGTGGCGTCGTCGGCGAGAACGTTGACCTCCTCATCGAGCTGCACCGACGCCTGACCCCGGCCGAGGCCGTGACTTTCTCTAACGGCATCGCGCACACGCACCCCCTCTTTGTCGAGGACCCCATCAGGCCCGAGAATCCGGATGCCATGGCACGCGTAGCCGACCGCTTGGCCGTGCCGATCGCGACCGGAGAGCGCTTCGGAACCATATACGAGTTCCAGGCACTCCTCGCACGCAACGCCGTCGAATATGTCCGGGTCGACCTAGCCCTGTGCGGCGGCATCACTGGCGCCAAGAAGGTGGCTGCCATCGCCGAGGCCCATCAGGTGCAGGTCGTGCCACACAACCCTTTGTCCCCAATAGGACTCTCTGCTTGCTTGCACCTGGCAGCTTCTATCCCCAACTTCGCGATACAGGAGTATTCGACTGGTTTCGAGGCCGGCGTGTTTACGTCGATCTCAAAGCACCTAGGCAGTGATATCGTGGACTACGTGCCACCAGTGCATGACGGGTTTGTAAATATCCCATCGGGTCCTGGGTTGGGAGTCAAGTTGCTTGACAATGCTTCCGAACTCCGTCCGCCGTTGGTTCAGCCGATGGAAATGAGACCTCATAAGGACGGCTTTATTGTGGACCAATAATCAGTTCAACTGCCAACTGTTCTACTGCGTTGTACCCCTAGACAGATCGCAGATTACCTTTGACTTATAAGTAATATATTTGTTCCACTAGTTAGATGCATTGTTCACTGCGTAGTGGGTAGTCACAGATCACCGAACAGTGGTGCACAGGGTCGATATGGGCAGAACCACTGGTCTGGCAAGTGTCCGAGTGTCTCATTCTAGCTAGGTAAAGTAGTGAGTAGTGCTTAATGGCTAATTGACACCGTACATAACAGGCGTCCTTGCTGTTTCCATAGTACAATAGTTTTGCGCCACATGGTAAGCTATGAGCACGCAAGGTTTAAAAAAGCAGAAGGCTTGACATTATACGTCGAAATGTGTGATCGGAGTTTTCTGTGACTGAGCTTGTTGATACGAGACCTCTGGTGTCGTGCGCGGTTGAGCTCTTCCAATACCGCTATCTAGGGCTCATCTCACGAATCGGCATGCGTGACCGTTTCCCATCCTACCTGATCAGGTTCGCCACCTTGAAAAGGGCACTAGTTGATCTATATCATGGAGATCGTAGGAAATGACTGAACTTCAATCTCATACGTGGCCAAAAGACTGGCACAATATCACTGGATAGCCCCACCCTTACCCGAATGGCTGATGCTTCTTACGATCTTATGACGGTTGGCAAACCGTAATAAACCAGTGGATTCAAATCACTCGCTTTGGGGGATAATGGGAAGCGAGACCCAGTTCTGGTAGTGGGGAGCAAAATGAATATGGTTCAAGCCGCCAAATCTTTCGACCGATCTGGAGGGGAATCATGTTCATTAGCATGCGAGGTTCGACTGTAGTATCAGAAGTGGCAAGGGGGAGGGAGGGAGGGAGGATAGGGATCAAGCACCTTTCTTCTCCGTCGTGGGCAAATATCCCAACACCTTGCGTATCGCCGCTGCTGATCTCTAGCACAAGTCTAGATCCAGAGCTCAGAACGACGTTAGTGGGCCAAATTTCGACGTCAATGGGATAGACCTCTCCCGGAATTACTGGCTTGACGTCGGTCGAGAAATAGTCACGGTGAGGTAGCCACTCGCGGTGCCGAGGGTGGTCTTTGTTGACCTTGCGCAGACTAACACGCTGCCAGCCCTTGACAACGGGGGACTCGTTGCCGATTGTGCCAGTGTAGAAAATCTCTTTGCCGTCGGCGCCGAAATGGCGCAGGGTCAAGAAGAGATCAATGTCCTTCGGCGCAGTAGCGTATTCGAGGGACGAGGTTGCCGATACATTCAAGTGCGCAACTATGTGCCCCGTGATTTCTAACTCTGAGTCGAACGGTGCAGTACAGAATTGGATGAGCTTGGGGTCCTCAGGAGTGCTCGGCGCCTCGTACGAAAGGCGCTTGATTGGCGTGTCGGTAACATTTGGCGGGTCCAGCGACAATGTATTGCTCGCACTGAGGTAGTACTTGGTATACTGAGTGTTGGGCAACGGCCACTCTGAACCCTTCTTTCGAAGGAACGTGCTCCTTTCAGCTTCTGGGTTGTTAACACCAGGGTTTCCTCGTCGCGAAAAGTACTGCAAAATCGGTCGCTTGCCCGTGGTCCAGCCGTTGTAGTCATTGCCTTTCAGAAAGGCGCTGAGAAAGCTCTTTTGCATCTCGACGTGGTCTTCTTCATAGAACGGCAGGTCGTGTCGGCCCATGCCCAAGCGGAGGAATTTGTACTTGGAGCCTGCAAACATGTAGCCTAAGATGTTTCCGCGGAGGTGGACCACAATATTTCCCCAGTTGCCCACCGAGAGAAGCGGGACTTCAATGTCCTCCAAATTATATTCCTTGCTGGCATAGTAGTCTTCGTCGCGGAAAAAGTGATTGCCATTGTCAATAGCCTGGTCCCGACGGTTGAGCTCTAGTTCCTCCTCACTCAAGTCGCCCTCAATGGTATCCGGTCCCCAGTTGCGGGCAGCCTTGCCCGGCAGCCCATACTGGTTGCTCTTGCATTGGCGGTTGAACCAGAATTTCAGGAAGCGCATCGCAGCGATTCCACCATGTCTCGAACGGTCTCTGTAGTAATCCGACATGCCTTCGTATGGGATCATGCATGCTAGACCATTGGGTCGGCGTGCAGCCACGCGCCACTGGCTCCCTCCGAAGTAGCTGATTCCCAAGAGACCAACCTTGCCATTAGACCACGGCTGCTCGGCTGCCCACTCAATGACCTCACAGAAGGCATCCGTAGTGTTCTTGGACATCGTGTCCAGTATACCAGGTGACTGGCCGCAGCCGATCTCGTCGGCACGGAGGACAGCGTATCCTTCATTGGTCCAAAACCTGGGGTCTGGCGTCTCAAAGGCAGAATGAACAGATTGGTGTTTTGGATTGATCTCCTCAAATGAATGCTTCAGAAAGCTGCTGGCAAGTTAGCCCACGGCTTAGATGCACAGGCAACTCCCGTGATCTCACTCCGAATATGGGATATCCTTGCCATAGGGTCCGTATGTGACAATGACGGGCACCTTGTTTGAGGTTTTTGGACGGTATACATTGGCACGCACGATACCTCGGTTGTTGCTCTTGAGCTGAATGGAGACGTTCTTCTCAAAGATGTAGGTAAAAGTGGTGTTGTCGACCTCCAGAACGTTCTTGATTGGGTTAGGCATGGCGGCGAGTGGTTAAGTGGGAAAGCGTGAGAGGAGAGATGATCAACTCCAAACGCCCTGGGTGCACGGGGTGCCTCGAGTTATAGTACAGTACGAACCAGATGGCTGGGAATTGAACCTACGGGCACTGGGGACCGCCGTTGATACACATGACTGTTGTCGCAATTGGGCTGCCGGGGTATCCGGCGGAGTGTGGAGGAAGGCAGTGTGTGATGGACTAGGCTGAGTAGCGAGCGGGTAGTGGAGGTACCCGGCCGTTCCACCTTTCTGTATATTACAATGTCGCCTCGGGCGAGTAACCGCGCCTGATCCACGAGACGCGAAGCCACACTGGGTGGAATAGATGTCCTTGGTAGTGAAATCTATTTCGAAGATTTCTGCGTCGAGATACTCGGAGGCTTGTCTAAAGCGAGAGTGGGAAGCATAGGGGAAAAGAGAAGAACACATTTCTTTTATTTATAATTCAATTGCCACCAAAGTGCGCCCAGAGCCTACCAGCGATGCAATAACTACCTTCATTATTGCATGCCTCGATAGATGGTGGAAATATAATGGCACATAAGCATTAAACTATCCAAACACTGAGGTCGGGAAACCGAGTGGGTAGTACGCCTCTGACGGCTGTGATGCCCGCACCAAATTTTCTAGAGCTAAGCATATTTCCTCGGTACCTTGAGGCATTAAACCTTCGGTCCAGTTCTGGTGCAGAATTTCCCGAACAAGCTCCATCATCGATGGCAGACTGGTCAAGCGAATCGCTGTCTTCCCGAGCCCGAGCAAAGCAGGCTCCGAATTTTTCCGCTTTACGTCCATCTCGGTGGTCTCATCTGCATCTAAGGCCACAACTGATCGCGGTTGGTGCACCGACGAGCTTCTTGCATGAGCCCCTGATAAATGTCCGTAATACCAAAGCACGGTCGCTGCTTGGAAAACAGAAACGGCGTAAATATCACGGAGCATACCTTGTGAAAATTTCCTAGCGACACGCAGTACACGGCCCGCCAGCCACAAGGCAGGACGGCAGTCAGCGCTATCAAGCCAATTTCCAGCAGCCTCCGAGGATGATGGAAGCGCAGAGGCCTGGGTTCGTGGGTACATGTGCAGATGAGTCGCCGAGGCATAGATATGCATTGACAGGACAGTGTGCAGCATCTTCACACCTAACGAAGTTGTCCCGGAGGCGATTTTGGGACCTACCACTTGTAGGACTGACGCAATCTCCGCTTGACGAGAACCAAGTAGGAGAGAGCTCCAGACTCCTCGGTCGAATCTTGGGTTCGCAAGCTGACTGCACTCTTTGACAAATCCCCAGATTCCACCGAGAAACGCAAGCATGCCAAAGTCGGAATCAATTTGCGATTCGCGTGAGACGAGAATCGTCGGGTCGAAAATTGTAGCTTGCAATGGAATAGACAGCGGAATCGTGTTCAGGGATTGTTGGTAAGTGGACCGGGCTTCCCTCCATCTTCGTGGCGTTGCCGCTTGCCATATGTATGCCGGCTGAGGAGGTGGTACCTCGATATCAAGAAAAGAGTATACGGCCTGTTGCCCGTGCGCCATTGATGAGTGGGCGTCCATGATATACGCTGTATAGATCAGCCTTCGCCGGGATTCCGTCTTACTCCATCTGTACCATGCCCTGACGAGGTCTTCGTCTGATTCGATGTCCAGATGATCAGGTTGGAGAACACCCACCGCTTCCGTCTCATGGCTCCCGATGCGAATAAACAAGGATAGACACTTGGAGCAGGCAGCTGCGAGCATGATTTTGCGTTTGACTGCGCTATACGTGGCGATGTATTGCTGCAAAAGAAAAGCCTGGCAGATGGAAATGTTGCGCATGGACTGGTGGCTTTCCTCCCACTGACATGGTGCAGATGATTAGCAGGCGCAATGAGGAAGATTGGGGGGGGGGGGGGTTGCTCGCTAATTCCATACCTTTCTGAAGGTGGATACACGTACAATCTCCTGCATCGCGTAACCGAACTTGCGAAGGGCCGGCGTGTTTGCTTCCAGCGCGCCCATAGCGGCCAACATAGCCAAGAGCTCAGGCTCCTGTTCGTCAAGTCGCAGAGTCGGAAGGTGGATGAAGTCGTCGATATAGGACCTGTTGCTTCGCCTCACGAACAACCCGATCATGTTATTTAGGGCCTCGACAGAGGGGAAAGAACTCAATATGCCAGAGGCGTTGGCGGGTGAAGTGACCCCCAAGATCATATGGAGGATCTTGTCGCGAGATCCTGTTGACAAGGACGGCGTAGAACATGCCATCCTTGCATGCCCGTTGTCCGGCACCGGTTCCCTTAGGGCCAGATTCGGGTGCTCTATCTCAGAATTGTCTGACGGCTCCGGGTCCCATGATCCTGCGTTGGAAAGCATCGGGTAGGACACGAGGTCCTGCGGGGCGGCTTGGGGAAGGAAGGATTGTTGGATAATCGACAAGTCAATAGTATGCATGTCCCAGTGCGTCCCAAACGAGATCTCGGCCGTCGATGACGGCACGAGGGTTGAGAAGTCGGACAAATTAGGGACTTCATCGTAGCCCTCCGTGGATGTACCCAGCTCCAGCGATGGGGCCGAGGTCGTCACACTACCGATGTTCATGACTGGAGACTCCAGTTGCCCGCCTTCAGGTGCTCCTTGCCGGGGCGGTTGCTGTTGAATCATAGGCACGACCCGAGTACTCGCGCCGGACTGCTCGTACTCACAGAGGTTGCCACTATCGACGCATCTGCGACATGGCTTCTCTTCTGAGCATTTGGCCTTCTTGGCAGCGCACCGCAGGCAGGCCTGGCCGACGCGCTCTGGCATGCGGGACAGCGCCACCAGATCAACTGGCCCATTGACCTCGTGCGCCTCTTCATGCCTCTTGACCAGATCCCGGCGGCTGAAGCATTTACCACAGTAGGAGCATATGTATGGGCGCTGCTTGGTGTGCTTCCGCACGTGGCGGACCAGGTGGTCCGCCCGGTGGAATTGAGCCTGGCAGTAGGAACATTGGAACAGCCTGGCGGCTTCGGTTTGTTCTTCATCGCCGTCTTGCGCAGGGGGTGACGCCATGTGGGACGACGGGGACACTTCGCAATGCTTAAGGGCAAGACGGGGCAGCTGCCGGTCGCTATAAGGAGAAACGACTGCGAATAAATGCCGTGTTCGGCTTTAGTGGGAGCCTCGTTCGGCTTTAAGTGAAACGCCTAGTGGGATCCCAGGGGTGCTAGTTGTGGGGTACCGGCCGCTGCTTAGACGGGGCGTATCATCCAAGGAAGAATGTGTGCTTTCCCGAAGCAGCGGCTTAAAATGGAGCTCTGTTCTAGCTATTACGTGCTCACTTGGCTAGCTTCCTCCCCCACGGACACATCCCAGGATACTCCTTATGAAATGCACGCTAGACATAGCCGGATACTCCAATCAAGATCGCCCTGCCCCGGCTCCGTCCTGAATGGCGTCGTTCCCCTGTGCTCGGGCTCAATGTTCTCCTTGGGCCAGAGTCTCTCGACAGTCTCGACGAGTTGGAGGAGGTCGTTCGGTTCTGTGGCTCCTTTTTGGCTGTTAGGGACAACACTATCTACTTCGTTCACCAATCTGCTAAAGACTTTTTGTTCAAAGATGCAGACGGCCTTATCTTCCCTCACGGCAGGGAAAGGAAACACTTCTCCATCTTCGAAGCATCAATCACAGCCCTCTACCAACAACTCCATAGGGATACCTGCAATCTGCGGGAGCCAGGTGTGTCTGTTAACGAGGTTCCATCTGCTTCTCTCGATCCTCTACTCCCATTGATATACTCTTGTATATTTTGGGTTGACCATCTTATCGACGGAGGATTGCATGGCGACTATAGAGAGTCTGTCCAGCGATTCCTAGAGCAAAAGTACCTTTATTGGTTGGAAGCTCTGAGCTTGATCCGTACTACGAGTAGTGTTCCTGCATTAGCAAAACTCTACCAATATACTAAGGTACGTCCCATTTCTCTTTAGCAACTTATAGCTAACATACCTAGAACTGTAATCAAACTGGGACTTTAGTAGGCCTTATTAAGGATGCCTTACGGTTTTCACAATATCACGGACCCATTATTGGCCAGTACCCTCTTCAGACCTACGTTACGGCGCTTGTCTTTAGCCCCTGCGAGAGTATTATTAGAAAGCTCTTCCAACGAGAAGAGCCGGAATGGTTAGCACTAAGACCGCAAGCAGAAAGACATTGGAGCGCGCTGCAGCAGACGCTCGAGGGCCACACTTCCATGGTCAGCTCGGTCGCGTTCTCGCCGGACGGCCGGCAGGTGGCGTCGACGTCGGTCGACAAGACGGTGCGGATCTGGGCCGCCGATACGGGCGCGCTGCAGCAGACGCTCGAGGGCCACACTTCCGCGGTCCTTTCGGTCGCGTTCTCGCCGGACGGCCGGCAGGTGGCGTCGGCGTCGCTGGACAAGACGGTGCGGATCTGGGCCGCCGACACGGGCGCGCTGCAGCAGACGCTGGAAATCAGAACTGCCCCGCGACTTTTAGAGTTTACTCCTCTAGGCGACAAAATTCTAACTGATATTGGAGCCTTTCGTCTCCAGACCAGCTCCTTCTCACAAACGGAATCTCAACTTGGAGATTACGCCACTTATATCACAGGAGACGCCAAAGACTCCTGTTTAAGCGCTCCTAGTTGTGTGGGCTTAGGCATTGACCACAGCCGTTCATGGATTACGTATGATAGCAAGTACATTTTATGGCTTCCTGCAAGTTATCGACCAGTATATTCCGCTATACTAGGGTCTTCTATAGTCCTTGGTTGTGACACTGGACGAGTTCTTATCTTGCGCTTTTCAGTGTTGAAGCTCAGGGCTTCCTTTTCTCGATGACCTATAATTTTCATAACTTTGCAAAGGAGTGTCCAAGGGCCCAATTTCGAATATACTTGGCTTTATAATTCTTGAACCTTTGTGTTTGTTCTAGTTCTTGGAGGTCCACTGATCGCGGTAGCCCACAAGGCTAGGTAGCCATCCTCAAGAATATTTAGTAGGCGATCTAGAAAGAGAATATGCAGCAAGACCCCACTGTCACGGCACCACAGGCGAATTGAGGCTCAGCTGCAAATCCTGCAATATTGCGAAAAATCTAAAGCTGGGGAGGAGAGAGAGAGAGCTCCCTCCACAGCCATGGCGTTTGCTATTTACAGGTGAGGGTGGGGAAACAACCACACCAGCCACATTAACCAATGCAATCCATAACACTCCGCCGCGTCGATTAGATCCGCCATTCCCACCCAAAAAGCACGACGCTTATTTCTTATTTCTCCTAGGTCTTTTCCTGTTATTTTTTGTGTTTTGGTTTATTTCTGATTTTTGTTTGAGTTACAAATAGAGGATGAAGAGTTGGCGACCTAGTTTATTTTATACCAAACAGCTGGAAAACGAAAAAACGTACCTATCACGAATTTACCCTATAGCACCCTAGCACACGAGCAAGAAAGCTAGTTTTTCATAGTAAATACACCCTAATCTAACCCTAAGCTTCGAATTATAAATAAACGATGAAGAGTTGGCGACCTGGTTTATTTTATACCGAAAAGCTGGAAAACGAAAAAACGTATCCTATCACGAATCTACCCTATAGCACTTTACCCCTGAATCTAGATAGCACACGAGCAAGATGTGACGAATATGCTTTCTAGGATAAACCGTAGATAGAATATAGGTACGTGGGGTTTATGCTAACAGGGTATGTTAATCTCAAATAGACTAAAGTCGATAGTCTTGAACTGAGCAGGGTAAAGGTAACAAAGGGCTGTGAGCTAAGTCACAAGTATAGACGTCAAGGCTTGATAGGCCTCACCTATGGGTAAGATAGATGCTTAGATTGATCACTGAGGTAATGACTGTCTCTCCTGATCCCTTTGTCCCTGATCAGTTGATCACCACTGATCAGTCACGTGACCTTGTGCCTGCCTGTCCGTCTTGTTCTTTGCCAGATGTCCGACCTTCTAGTGCTGTAATTGGTCGAGGTACCCCGCCTTCTTGCGTCGGCCGCCTTTCGAGGCCATGTTCGTAACACCCACCACACCGACGCGACAGACACGCATCGACTCTACTTACGCCGGACACCACGAGAAGGTCAGCTACTTCGTCCTACTGCTCTTTCAAGCAGCATCCAGTGTGCTCACCGGAGGCGGCATCACTACAGCTCATGACACATCGCCCCAGCACCTTGAAGCTACGAAGTGTTCTGTGTCCCAGAGCGTTATGATTGGCCAAGTAAAGCTGGCGGAAGACGAGCCATTGAGACACGCGACGAGGGGGGTTTATCTCCCGCAGGTCCAAATACGATTGCTGGACAACCTAGCTCCTCCGTGCGCGTGTATGTTCCACAGGCGCAGCACTAGGTAATCGATGCCTATATGGCCTCCTCTTGTTCCCGTTGGTTGAACACCGCCAAACGGTCAAGCCACCTTTGAAATACAACAGCCGGCTCATACTTTGGATACTGCTCCTGGATCTTGAGGAAGTATGTACTTAATACCTTGGTAGTCGATGCCTTTCTCTTTGTGTATGTTTCCCGTCCCTTCCTCTGCCTTTAATAACACGAATTCGATCAGATCCTTCGATATGATACCTTTGTTGTCCCTCACCCAACCAAGACCCCCAAATCGCCAACGTACCGGGTTCATAGCGGCCCAATTCACTGACTTGTCCGTATTTAGAGGTGGTGTTTCACCTTTATAGCTAAAGACAGCATTCGAATTTGATAAGGGAATGTACGCAGCCAGCTGCTTGGGCTCTGTCCACAAGGGCCCATTCTTCAACCTCATGCTATAGGCTCCATACCAGGGGTCCTGGATACCGTTTTCGGTCGCAGAATACAGGAGCTAATTTTGGTGGTCAGGATCTTTCCTTCTTTGAACGAACTGATTTTGTTGTACTTACCGGGTGTTCTGCCTTGGCTTTTGCCCATTGGGCAAGCTGAACGTGCTCTGTAGTGTGATCGATGAACACAAGCTGTGTAGCATCCCCCATGGGACAATGCTCTCCGTCAGGGAGTGTCGCAGCAGCTAGAACGGGATTATTGCTTGATTCAAAGCAGGGTCGATCCAGTGGCTCTTACACTGGCATGGACGCCCCTGTACGGAGGATGCAAGGGTCGACGAAGGGCTTCTGAGCACGGAACTACGAGAACGCTGCGGGAGCTACATTTTTGATCACGAATGGGTGAACTAGGAGGGCAATTGGACCAAATTTCTTGTTCTCGTCATGACGTGTTTAGCTCCCTAGTTTTTTTTAAGCCAGAGCTTCCTGTGCAAACCTCTTTCGACACGTCGTCTGCGCCTAGGTGGCCTGTGTTGCGAACTTGAGGCCCGTTTCTGATCCCCAAGACACTTGCGAAGCTGCGCCATTTGTTCCGGCTGCAAGACCGCTGTATGTTCTGCCTTCGCGTCGTATATGATATTGCGGTCCCACTCAATGCACCAGTGGACACAAAGCCGCTGCCAGCCTTCGAAGTCGTGCTTCCAGTTCTCTTTGGCGAAGGCAACAATCCACTGCCGATCATGGTTCTCTGGGGCCCAGCTCTGAAGCGTGCCGGCGTCGGCGGCATTCAATTGAATCCACCAAGCCGGGTCCTCATTACTGTAGGTGAGCTTTTGCGTGTTGGGTACATATTTGAAGTACCAAGTCTCTGGGTGTTCATTGAGAGCCTTGTTCAAGTCTGTGCTAGTGCGCTAAAAGTCTTGGCATTCCTTAATCGACAGTCGACGGACTAGTCGATGTTCGACGAAATCTTGAAGTCGACAGTCGACAGTCGACGGAGACGTCTATGTCGACCGTCGACTGTTGGGTACAGGCCTGAGTTATACCTCCTCCACGCACTCTGGAATCGAAGGGGGGAAATATCAAGGTTCTTCGAACGTCTCTAACACAATGCGTATTGGAAAATTCGAAGAGCTGTACGGATCATGGCTGCTAGTGTATGTATACATATGCCGTGGCGTCTGTTAAATAGCCGCCTATATAATCAGTCAAGGCTTTCGAGTTCGTTCTCCTCCCTATGAGCCCTTGGTATGTACATGATATACACTAGTTGGTGCTATTCGCTACCCATTTGATACCCATATGATACTGCGTAGTACTTCGACGCTTGCCTCTGGGACCTATGTCCACGGGCTCCTGTCAATTGTTGAGTTTTTCCTTGTTTCACATCTCTCTCTTATCACAATGCTCTCATCGTCACCTGTATCTTCCAGGCTTCCCGGATCTTGTCTCGATTGCCGTATTCTGTACTGCAATCTGCAGGTTCTTTCGGAGCTCGTGCACGATGGCTTGGTACCGGGACTTCAAGTGCCAACCATCCCTGGAGCTGTGCCTTGAAGTCTGTTGGACTTTTCGCCCAAGTCGGTCATAAAGTATTTCATCGTGATCTGTCTTGGGTGTCACGGCGCTGGACCCTGCCTATAGGCAGGAAGTAGATGGACCCCAGGCGCCAGCTGTGGGCGGCCCGGGTGGACCGATGTGGACCCGCAGACCGACGATATCTTCACTGTCTCCGCCCAAACTGAAGATGTAGCTCTTCGAGCTACGTCTTGTCAATAGAGTTACCCGTAACCCTGACAGAACCGTAGAGAATAGACTGTTGTACGACCGCCTATACTGTCCGCGCCGATCCCCGTGACATTGGGTGCTTTGAAATTAACTTGAGTATCACGTGAGCTTCGCTTTCGGTTTTTTGTATCGGAGAGATAAGCTCTGCCTGCACCTCTGAATGGTGATGGGAAAGGAGTAGGTGGTCGGTAGGCTCTTGGTTGCTGTAGCACATCAGGTGTTTCAATGTAGAGCAACCGTCGCCTACGACGTACTTGTATGGAGATAGACCGGCAAGGCATTACCGTCCCGGCAAGACTTCCTATAGAATATAGTAGTGCGTCGAATTGGGATATAGTAGTGCATGGGCAGTGATATCTTTATACCTCAAATTCAAGGAGACTGTATCTCAGACAATCAAATCGCCAAGATATAGATCTTTTTTTTTTGGCCATAATTTGACTCGTATTGCACTATGTATTCCAAGAGCGTTCAATTAGGAAGTTCTATTAGGCCCGCCGCTCGCGATACGAGAGCCCTTCCACTTGGAGCCAGATTCAAGTCTTCAATATCTTCGTCCAAAAGTAGAAGTGGCCATTGTAGAGAACGCAATATAAATGACCATCGTAACCCAACTCCTGATCAAATTCACGTTCATCTGATCATGCCTTTATACAGCTGATAATGTCACCTACTCATCCGTCTCAGGCGTGCTCTCGCCGCCAGCGCCGTCTAGCATATGTGAAGATGCTCATTGAAAATGATCATGCCGTTCCTTGGTACTGGACCATGGCCACCAAGGTGTTTGTCTGGCTACTCCTTGCGGGGTTCATAGTGTTTCCCTCGACATTTACATCCTTAAGCCGTTCTGAAGCATTGAACCACACCCTAGAGGGAAGCGAACCTGTTTCGGAAGCATTAAGAAACCCCCCTCTTCTAGCTATTGCTTTACTTCTCTTCGTAGTCTCCACGGCAGCACCGGGCTACATTTGGTGGATCTGGAAAGGGAACTATATCTGGGCTCTTAATCGAATTATTCTGTAAGGCCTTCCACGGTCCAATGAAGATCAACATCGACTGACGAATATAGGCCACTCTTGGCAAATTCCTCCCTCGGTCTTATTACAACGCTGCTCAACATATCCACAGCGCAGGACGGCAACTGGTCCGCGACTGCGATCACTTCCACAGCTATCACGAGTTTCTGTCTGTTTATATCCATGATTGGGTATGCCGTGTATGACTTGTGGCTGTTGCGCCCTCTTCGTAACTGGCAAGAAGACCCGAAGCCGCCGATGAATGTCCGATTGAATAAGGTTTGAAAGGACGTTGAAGGCGCTATGTCCTCGACATGTTGTTAGAGTTATCATATGGCAAACATTAGTTTGACTTCAGTCACTCACTGAGCTGCTGCACACCGCTGAGATTGTGGGTGTGGAGTGGAATGAAGAGCTGGCCGATGCCTTGGCATCGTTCTTGGATACTGGGGCAGAGAATATTGCGACTACGGCGATGAGGAGTCGTCAGTCATTCTCTGCGTCGACCCGCAAGCCTGGTGGTGTGCCCGAGTTCCACAGTATTGTTGGGGGTTTGAACGCTTCGTATGCGTCGCGCAACTGTCAAAGTATAGACTCTTTCGTGGTTTCGAGCTCTTATCTCAGTCTATTTGATAATTACGTAAGCTGTTTGCATCATAGATCTTCTTCAGCTCCATTGAACGATTGAACATATATCGATCTACAGATCTGACAAATCCGCCATGTCAATTCAGGGCAACATTGCAATGTAACGACGATGTTCGAGGAGAGTAATCCCCCCAATCCATTCAGTTCATCAAGTATACTGATTCATTCTCGTTAGTCATCTTCTACGATCCTGCGCAGCAGAGGATGCATGTTATAAGGACTTTTCCGTAGTGTATATCATGTACTCTATTCGAATACCTGAGACTGACACGTCCAGTTAACGACCACTATTAACCACGACACCAGCTTGTGTAGGTATTATTTACCCCCAATAAAGGTATAAACCAAGCATCCTACCTGCACTTCGCCACCCACCCCGCCGTTATTGCCTGGATTGACCATCGTCAGATTGTAGTTATGCAACGTCGCCTTTTGACTCACAGTTCTTGAAATTGCCGTGTAATGCTTCACGGCAAGTGATGCCTAGTGCTCCATTGGGATCCGCGGGGTATTGAACACTCTGACTGGGCTGATTAGTCTGGCACCCGCTCTTCCATTCTACCTTGTAATCATAATTAATGCCACTCGAGGATATTCGTCTCTTGCTGTACGTGTAATCCATAAGTCGGTTACTGTAGAGTCTTGTCTTCCTATCTTGGTCGGTCTCGCAAAACTCATTAGCAAACAGTCGCTGCGTAGTTGGCGAAATGTCAGCGTGCCCTGGAAAATCCGTCTCACTCCAGCACGTGATATCCGATACCTGAGAAACAGGTATGATTCTCGCCGATTCTGTGGGCAGTGGAACTGATTGTGCACTGGTCAGCTGGGTATTACCAGCGATCGTGGACGAGATCTTGGTTTGGGACGGCGGAACAACTGGGCGACATCGGCACCTTCCTTGTGAACATATAGGTGGCTGTACGAGCGGACAAGCCCCTGCAAATATACTTGAAGAGCAGTCCTTATCGGCCGTACAAGTAAGTTCTGTGGGGGACGGGGACCTCGCAGCAGTAGATGTAGTCGCGAGACTCTGTGTAGGATCTGTCTTGCTGCTTGTCGATGTCTCTGCATCCAGTGAGCAAGCAGCCTCATCGGCGCGAGCTTGTGGGCCTCTCATGGGTCTTGTGCAACCATCAAAGCAACTTTGTGCGCTGGCGCCTCCCTCATGAATGTTTCCACGGGCTGGCAACGGATCCCAAGACGCAGTTTTGACTGTGTCAACGTGTCCCTCGAACCAAATCCTCCATTTTGCCTGACTCCGATTGTTGCTTGCCACAGCGGGCTCATATTGTACCAGTACTTTACCCCGGTTTGAATCGACATTTTCATCCTCTCTGCCGCTGCCTTGCCTAGGTGCATACGGAATTGTTTCGATAGACACGTTGCCCCCAAAATAGGATAGGATCTCGCTTCGAATCTGTTCATTAAAAGATGGTCCGGCCTTGTCTGCTCGGAGAAAGTCCCAAAATGGATTGCGATCCGAGTCCCACATCAGTTTCAGCCCAGAAGGGAATTCATTGTTGTAGTTGGGATCATTCTGGGGGGTTCTCTCGAGGGGCGCGAGGAGAAAGATTCTGGTATCGCTTTCATCATCAAACATATGTCCTTCCCAGTCATATTGAGGCTCAATAAACGAGTTTCGGCACTCTTTGAGACCCATCCTATGGTTTTGCGATGCTCCATCTGACTCCCGCAGCGCCCCTAAAACGGTTTCTTTGAACAATTCCAGTTGCTCGGCCACGGGAAGCTGTTCTTGATACGAGTTATTGGCCGGGTTTAGATAGAGCATGCGCTTCGCTGGCTGGTCGGTTGCTGGATCTATGACCGGCTTTCCTTCATCGTCTTTCATGTCCTCAACCTCGGCTGAAGGTCTGAAGAGTGGGGCCTCAAAAATATGGGCTGCCCAAGCACCACGTCGCGAGACGGCAATCACTGCTGTGCAACCGTATAGTCCTTCGACTGCGAGAGAAATTGGCTGGTCCATGAAACCCACGACTGAGGAGGTCACGCCTCCATCAAGTATCACCGACGCTTTGTTATCGACCGCGATTGCAACCTCTCCGGCCATAAAGTCTTGCGCAGGGCTATAGTTAGAGCGCTCTGCCCACTTGCAAACACGAGGCTGGATTGCCCGTAATTTCCTTCGTTTGTACAAGACGTCTCTCGACACTAAGCCGCATGATGTTCCGCAGTTGCTGATACTGCAGGCTTCAGATGGAAGTACCCCCTGGCTGATGGAAGCCGTTGAAACTATCGTGCTCGTTAATGATGGCACAATAGTGCAGTCCTCAATGGTATTATACGCAATAGTTGAGCATTCTCCCGACAATGGATGATCCTGACCAACCATTGCTGTAACGGTACAAAAAACGCTTTTTTGTGTAGCAGTGACGCTCATAATACAGCTAGTCGAGGCACTCGTCGACAAGTCCGTCATGGTGGCCTGCGAGGAAATTTGTGTTGGCCCTTCTTCTTTTTCGATAATCTTGCTACCAACTTCCTGAAGTAATTCGACTGATCGGTTAATATCACCGCGGGGAAGATTGGTCGTACCACTTATTGACTTGACGAGGGTTTCCAATATTTGCACGGCGCAGCTGACAAGCTGAGGCACACTCCAGAGCACGTCTAGGATATCGTACATCGGCGTCTGCCTTATCGATACACTAGAGCATTCTGGCTTTGGCTCAGGCCTGTCACTGAGACTGTTGAAAAGTTCAAGCACACGGTCTCGAGATTGAACCAGACTGCTGATAAATTCGAACTTGTGGTTTCCATCATAGATCCATTCCCGGTGAGCGTATAGCCAGAACAATATTGGAACACTATCCGCGGCTTGGGATGTCTCTGCTGGACCGGAGTATATCGTGCCTGACGGGATATTAGGAATTGCCCCGGGAAACTCTGTCGTTGGCGAGGCAGTTACATTCAGGGTCTCTGAGACGACGGAAGTCATTCTTGAAACAGAAGAAGGTACCACTCGACTCGTGTTTGCAAGTTGCAGATTTGATGTGATTGTTGGTTCATTACTGTTTGTATGAAACGCGAGAGAGGTTGTAATGGAAGGAGTATCTTGTGAACTCGTTATCGAAAGATGTGAACTTCCAAGACTCATATCGGATCCGGTGCTCGTAATATTTTCTGTAACCGATATGGTCAAACTTTCTGTTTCTAGACGAGAAGTTATAGTTTTGCTGCTTCCAATTCTAATGGTTGTCATTTTCCCTCGGGCGTTCGAGCTTATGTTGTTCCATGACGAGGTGACGACTCCAGAGGGTGAAACGGGAAGCCTAGGTGTATCTGCGGCCCGGTCCGACTGAGGCGTTATAAGTGGTAGCAGTGTGTCTGTCGTGTTGTGGAGAAGAGAAGAACTATTGCGGTTTGTTATTGGTTGAGGAGAAACTGTGATCGTCACATTATTGAATCGAGAAGTTGTCAGAGACGGATTGTCCTGCCCGTTCAGTCCTGGGTTATGTTCCTTTAGAGACACTGTAGCATTGACGGTAGAAGCCATCTCCAGCCGGTTGCTCTGATGTCCATACCCAACGAACCCCGCGACCGATGACACCAACATAATAAGACTCCTTAATGAAGCCATGGATATCGCATTCATAGACTTGATTATGTTCGCAGATTGATTCTCAAATTGAATTTGGAAGAAGTGTTATATCGCTAGACAGAAAACAGTATCGTTGCGTTGTGTTCTTCATGTACTTAAATAACACTGTCATTGTGTGCGCCAAGATAGACGTCAACGAATTGGTACAACTTTGGATGGCTAACAGAATGAATCGAAAGCTTGTCTCAAATCAGGATTGTACGTATGTGCAGAAGAATACTAGACCAGTAGTGCCACCCGGGGGACAGAAGGAAACGAAGACGAATGTTCAACTTTTTTAACGAATAGGGATACCTTTTTCTCACTATGGAACCCAAACTGTCTGGGTACGCTAACGTGCCTGCAGTCCGTCCGTGATCAATTAATCTACGCTGCAAAAGCTTTGCCATATATAAGATCCATTACCCATCCCTAGCTGCCAACATCACGCACACTCCATGAATAATTACCTTCTTACAATATATTCGTATTATCTTCTTCGTTCCTGTTTGCACTCAAGAGAAGAACTAGGTTTCTAGCAAGAGAAAAAAAATGGCATACAGACCTCGATATCGTTTCCGGCCGCTCGATCCAGCCAACGCGCCTCCATACATGTTTTTTGACAGCAAAAGAGACGATTCAGTTGATCACGATCCATATCAAAAAGAGAAAATTCGAAATGACATACGTGTTCTGAAACGCAGAACACTGTCATACTTGACTGATACGGAGGCTCAGGAGATAAACGAGGCTCGATTCAGGCAAGCCCAGCGAGCTGCATTCAGAATTCTACCGTGGGAAAGGGAGATAGAAAATTCATTTGCAGGTCTACAGCTAGTTCCATTACCTCCAGCTTTACCAGCATACAGTATTGAGCTGCGTGGTATTCGGGGGCACTTGTACAAGCCTTCTTCCCTGCAGCCGTTCATCGTCTATTGCGAGACCGGAGAGCTTGAGATGGCTAGGCACTTCATCGAACAAGAGGGACCAGAAGCTTCCGCGCTTGATGATGGACTTGGCTTTGCTGCTCGAAACAAACACCTCCACATAATGCAGTATCTACTTCAGAACGGGGCGGGGTTGCATAGCTACGTGGTACAAATGGCCATCTTCCATCGTTCCATCGAGCTTTTCCAATTATGCGTTATGCATGGCTACCACCCAAATCAACACATCTGGAACATCAATGGCAGCCAAGGTGTAGCGCTGCTTTCTTGTTACGACAACCCACAGATTACCCAGTTCCTCCTCAATCATGGCGCGGACCCAAATATTGGCAGGTTCGACCCAAGAGTGGAGGCCGCCTGGACTCAGAGTGACGGTGAGTTTATCCGGACGTTGATCTAGCTAGATTTCCTTTCCCGGGTGTTGAGACTCCAAATACTGCAACTCGTCACATGTCTGAGTAACAGGACATACTGAACTCGCAGTTATAGTGACTCTTTTACTTGGCAAAATGCCACCCCTTGATCGGACATCCGGCGATGCTCTCACCAAGGCTATTGCCGTGGGCAACCTGACGGTGATTGGTATGCTACTTGATCATGGTGCCAGGTTGGAATTTGCCTCACCGCTTCATACAGCATTACGGAAGCTAAAGAAATGGGAAGAGACAAAGCAAGTTCTGGAACTACTGCTGCTTCGGGGAGCCAATATTGAGCAATGCGAGGAGGAGCTGGTGGACGCGGTTGTATATGCGACAAAACCGTTGGCACTTGCTATCAAATTAGAGCGGTGGGAAGCAGCTGAGTACCTCCTCAAGAAAGGCGCGCAACCATAGAATGCTCAGCGCGTAGGTAACTCTGTACATAGTCCTTCACTATTACATAGTCATTCACTATTACAAAATAAATGTTTTCGTTCACACTGAACGCTCGAAATCAACCAGCATAGGCTTCCCCGTCTCCTCATTGCCCAGCACATTCTCAGGACGCACGTCCCCATGTACCACACCTGCCTGATGCACCGCACGGATACATTGCTTGGTCGGCCGTGGCAGAGTCGCTCCTCGGGCTACACCGCGAGAGAAGCAAAAGGTATTCAATGTAGACCCGATGATCGTAGTAGTACACCCTATGCAGCGGCCGCAAATCGATGGTCCCAAGACACACGGGCACCACAGTTCCTTGCTGTCGTTCAGGCCGCTCGTAAACCAACGCTTCATGCTGAAGGTCTGGGACGAAAGCTGACAGTGTTCCTTTGGCCACAAACGTATATCCATAAGCCAGGAGCGTGACTTTGTAAGCGCGCCGCGTACCCCGCTCATATGCAACTTGGTGATTCCTTCGTCCATCGATTTCTGAAGCTGCGCTCGAAGGAGCTCAAGAAACTCGCCCCGACGGACTGGATTGTCCAGCCGCGACTCACCTTGACGGTGCAGCGTAATGTTCGAACATCGTTCGTCCAAATGGCCTCTGCCAGACAGTCCTAGTAGACATTGATGAGTGCAATATTGCTGGCTTTCCTGCCCATTCTGGCCTTGCCGGCCCCAAGCCAGAATGCGTTCGCTGCGTTGAGACTGCTGGACAGCCTTGGTGCGCCGCTCCGACGGGCTCGGTGAACCTGGTACCGCCCGCCCGGCCTCGTCTGACGACGACTCGTCACTCTTCCTGCGCCTCGCCTGCCGTTCGGGCCGATCTCGCGCCTTCCTGCGCGCTACAAGTGATCTACTGACCCTGCCGTGCGTCGTGGGCGCATATGAGGACGCCAAGCTCGGCGGTGCTGGTGGATCATGTGACGGGATCGAACGTAACGTCGTTTCAAAGTCCTGCCCAACGACGTAGACGCGCAATAACGCGATTCCGCTCGTCTGGTGGTCGCGGCCGCGACTGCTCCTCTGCTGGTCCCAAGGCCATCAGTCTAAAGGCCAGATACTGCCCCACTGCCGTGCACGCATGGCGTTTGTCCGCCGACCGGTCTGCCATCTCAAAGCTCGGCTCGGCGAGGTGGTAGAGTAGCGTCTCCGGATCTTGCCAGTCCACCCGCAGGAAGGTGATGGCCTCGCCCGTCGTCAGCAGCCCGTACTCGAGCCCGCCCTCAATCATGTAGTTATAGGTCTGGGTGATGGCCGCCGCCGTAAGCCTCTCAGCGTGGTACTCGAACCGCGCGATCAGGTCGGCCGCCGTCGGGATGGTCTTGCGATTGACCACATCGGCGAAAATGTTCATCGGGTGAAGGCCACCTCGAAGGTGCGGCGCCGTGAGCTTGTGGGGTGCTTCGTATTCCGACACGTAGAGCATGGTGCGCTGTGTCTCGCCAGCACCCTCCGACCTATAGACGCAAATCTGGTCTGGGCGGCGCGCGAGCCCCTTGATCGGGGGTGCGCGGCGCCACTGCCTGGAGGTATGACGCCGCCTAGCATATCTAATGGCATCCAGATATGCTATCAACGCTCGGGCCGTTGCGCGTCTTACTTAGAAGCCACTCCCACAGCCCTGGCTACCCAGGGCTTCAATGGCCAAGTCGCCCTGATGCTGCTGCTTCTTATTCAGCTGCTTAATCTCGCTGCGCAGGTTTCTCCTTGGACTAGCGGGCGGGGATCCCGCAGACGCAGTCGATATTCTGCAACCTGCATCTGCCATAGGGCTTTTGTCCGTCGCACTGGGGGAGGAAACCGACGAGTCAGCTCAGTGCTCAGGTCGGAGAGGAGAGGAGGGCACATACCTTGGCGCGCTTCTTGCGACAATCGGTACATGCATTAGAGTTCACGATGTCGAGGCCTCGGTACCTCTTCCTGGTAGCGTCGTGGTTAGCAGACGAGCTACCGGGGGCTGGATGCTTCTCCGAGGTGGCCGACGCGGGTTCGGAAAGGGTGCAGCCTGCTCGGGCCTGGCCCTGGCCCTGTGATCCCTCCACCATCTCTACTATCTCTTGGGTTGAGACTAGCAGAACATTATTGAAGGCGTTGGGAGCCCAGGCACTCCTTGGTCGCCGGTCCCTTGGCCTGAGCTAGTTGAGGCACCGACTGCACGTTGCGACCGACTCGGGGATTCGGCGTGGCAGAGATGACAAGAGCAGAGATGTGATAGGTCGCGGCGAGCTGTGTTGGAGCCTTATAGTTTGATGGGCAGAATGAGCGGTCCTACAAAATGGCAGTTCATGTAGACTGGGCAGTCGGTGGCGACGGCGGGTGCCCCGTGTGTGTGCGTGTGTGTGTGGTCAACGAGGGGCACTGTTGATGAGCAGCGGGATCGGTGGAAGGTGGGTGCGTCGCGAGACGTACCTTCGATCGCATTGTAGCCGATGGTATCGTGTCGGGTCGGGTCGTGCCTGGTCTGGCACTGGGCGAAGGCTCGATTGGCACCAAGACAGTGGCTTTGTGCACGTGCTGTGTCGTATTGTATTTGAGCTTGGACGAGGGGAATGGACGGCAGACAGGATTGCGCGGATGGCCCGCGATTAGAAGATTCCGGAGGCGGCAAGTCTCCGACTTGTTGTAAGCACTTTACCGCTACACCACGAACCTGCCTATTCGTCTTCGTATGTTCCAAGCAACATTCATGGTGGGCTTGGATGATCAGGTAAACGTCCGAGTGCTGTAATGTGACCGTGGCTCCATGGCGGGTTCAGGACTTGGCCAGCAATCGTCTTGTGCAAAGTCGAGCCTAATCGTGCATTGTCCAACGTGACGCATGAGTGATCGAAAGAGGTGAATAAACGGACCATGGCACGTCGGCCAGGAAGTGGCCACACGCAAGAAATGGCTTGGAGCTGTTTTGGGGTGGCGCAAGTTCAGTGGAGGAGCGACCGGAAGGAGCGCTGTCTGGATGTCGATTTCCTGCCACGAATTGAAGTCGATTGAAGCTGGTCCGTAATGGTGGTCCAAGTCCGTGGGGCTGCAACTGCCTGCGGTCACGAAGGGCAGGACCAGACACAGCGGCGAAAGGGCGATGCGACGCTTGCAAGTAAATGACCTTTTCTTGCCCCTTCCACGACTGTGTAGGTTTATATCGACACGATGGCTAATTGCTGCCAAAAGGAGAAACAAAGCCCAGAACAGCGCTACACTCCTGGTATGCTAGTGACTAGCGTCAGAAACCGGACGATGGCACTGCACTTGGCGGCGGAAACCGGACGTGGATTTCTCATTGCCATATCGTCGGCTCTACACCGCAGCAAGGACTAGAGAGTTCAGTGGCGGGAAAGCACCAGCTACATGAATCCTTCGCTGGCTGTTTGTCTTTGGCACAGCGCCAGACCTAGACACTACAGTCTACTAAGACAGAGGTGTAATTGCTCGTTTCAGCCGTTCGTCCCTTTGTCCTCTTCTCTATTTCATCCACTGTGGTAGATACTTGATTGATGCCACGCATACCAGGGGACGGGAGGTCAAGGCGCGCAGGAGTGGAAAACCCTTCTCGGTAGGGCTCAAAGCTTAGGGAAGAAGGCAAACGTCTTTACTGGGGCCCCGTCCACTGGAAGATGCAGATCGCTGTTCATTTGCCCCAGGCCAGAAACTGCTGAGTTTAGAAACACTTGTAAGTCTCCAAAGCAGACCCTAGAACGGCAGAATACTGATGGTTACCAAGACGGCTTGACCCATCATACTGGGATCACATTGGCAAATAATGTATGGCTATTGGGATAATAAACAGCAAGGCTGTAAGCCGGTGTGCGAAGATAAGTGTAGCTTCGGGACCATGGAAGATTGTTGGTGAAGCAGCTCCACTCGGGACAAGCCCGAATCCGCCTCGCGACACCAGTCGTGCCTCTTTATTCAGCGTACGTGGTCATCAATCGCTATCAAATCGTGAATTCGAACTCTTCGCCGCAAGTTTTCCCCGAGTCTTCGTCATGCCCAATCAGCTCGAAATTCACTTCGTATACCATAGTATCATCCTGTCCTTGCCAATCGAGCTTGGAAACCTTCTCGGGCATCTGAGCAAGATATGCTACCGCAGACCTCCACCTTCGCTCCTGATAGTTCTTATCAGCGAGCAGACTGATCTCCTCTCGTCCTTTAAAACCCGGGCCCTCTACTGACAAGAAAAATGTGAACACATCTGCTGGAACCGCCAATCTCGAGATCAGGGCTTCAAACTGGGTATCCTCCAAGTGTTGGGTTAGGTTCAGGCCTCGCAGGTGGGTCGTGGACGGCCGCTGAAGAATGACGTGATATATGAAAGTTATTGCAAGCCACCTTGGCCTCCGGAGTTGAAGTTGCATGCCATTCCCCGCGCGAATACTCTGTTGTTGTCTCTCTCGTGTTTGTCGCTCGTCGAGTTGAGAACGCTGCATCGATCTACTGTTCAATGCCAGCAGTGTCTGAACTGCTTCCTGCTCGTTATTGCTGAGTCTGTCCATTGTTATTGTTTGAAGGAATATTCTGAGAATGAGCTATGATGATGGTGGCGGAGGAATTAACTTTTCGTGTTGGCAGCTGAAAGTAAACCCTGAAGAGTAAACTGTTGGAAGTAGGATTAGATGGGATGGGGCAGAGAATAGAAAGTAAGAGAAGGGATACGGGAAGCACAAGTTCAGACACGGCGAGAGCCTTGTTTATATACTCAAGAAAGTGTAGTAGCAATGGAAGTTGTCCCTAGGTCCGGCCTACGTCATTGGCATGCCGATTGACTGAGAACAAGGGCTCACCGCCCAAGTGAAAGAGCATACGAGCATGGGTTCCCATAATAAGAAGTTCTTCCATCCATGTAAGAATCCGTGTGGCTGCTGTCGGTATCTTGCTCGGATCCCGAAGGTCCCAAGATGCCTGACAGGTCCTAAGCCGATCTTCGAGGGCCGTCGGTTCTATCACCACAAATCTAGCCCAATCGCCATCTTCGACTATGCTGGGACTGCTGAGTAGAAAAGAAAGCTCCAAGCAGAGTACCGTCGTAGCTAGAAGGAAATCGTACAACACAAGCGGGCTGATGTGGCTAGGACGGGAAAGAGGCACGGCCATCGTCCCGTATTTCTAGAAAATTGTCAAAAGTCTCTGACACTTCTATACCTGGAAGACATGAAACCCGATCCGCAGCTGTATGTCGTTGATATCTCGGGACTAATCGTCATCCGGCGTCGACGGCCAATCTTGAGAACTGCCAGTTGCTTCGTTTTTTTCAGGTGGACCAAAGTTGACGTTGGTCATTGATGCATTCAGACAATATCCACCGAGAAGCATCAAGATGGAAGCCTGGTAGGCCGCTACGTATTTGGGAGGAATACATGTTTCTATGGATCTGATGTAGCTCTGATGTGAATAATTCAGTACACTCTAGCATTGTTGAGACAGATGCGGGTATCTCTCATCGAGAAAAAGCGGGCTGCTCGAAGCAATCCCCGTCTACTATATACGTTCGTTGTCCTGGCAGGATCAGGTAACAGTGACCAAGTGCGATCAAACATGTTGATCCAAAGACAAGGGGTCCCAGTGAACTGTGCTTCCCGTTGCAACCTCTTCAACCATATCCTGAACCCGGTCTCCGGATAAGTAGGCGACCTCGCCGGTTGTAGTGCTCACTACATGGAACATCAACGTCTCGTGACACCAACTAACATCCAACGGTTTGGACCTGCCATCCACTTGGACAGTGACAGAAAGATGCGGCCAAGCTCCAGGAGTCATGAGATCG